CAAAATTAGTTGAATTCATGTTTTATTTCTTTTAAAGAAGTAACTTTTTTGGGCCATTTGGCAGTGCTCAGGGTCTACCAGAATGCCACATGGCAGTGATGGGGTTGGTGGCAGCATTTGATGCTCGGGATCAAACTCAGAATTCCTGATCCCTTGAGCCACTTCCCTGACTGAGTAATTTAACTTGTGTATTTGTAGTTGCACAAGGACTAAGGAGACATTTCCTTTGTTAACAGTTCGAGAAAGACTTTTACTGCTGTCTGCAGCTGTTCTTTGTCTTCAAGGAACTTTTGTCTAGGTAGGAGGAAGGTCAAGCTTCTGTGTTAGTATATTCATGGGAAAACATGGGTGGGCTCCAGGGAGATAGCTCAGAAAGCTGGAGTGAATGATCGACTTGTAGGACTTTGGATTTGATCCTGGGCACTTGGTGGTCCCTAGCGCACCACCAGGAACAGCCTCTGAGCACTGAGCAGGAAGCTGCCTGTGAGTCTGGTGGAGGAGGGCCTGCAAAACCAAAACAGAAGTAACAAGCAGAAAAGCAAAAACAAAAAACCAGAATGGGGGAGGGTATCTGATAGAGTTAAAGTGGGTTTTGAGAAAAAACAGCAGAACCCAAGATAAACTAAAGTGGATGCTGTGATTTTGGTGCCAGTCCTCCTACAACGTAAATTATCATTCTCAGATGATTTGGGTGGCTTTCAAGGTAATAACAACACAGGGGTGTGAAGAGCAGAAGGTACCTGAGTGAATTTCTGTTCATTGTTGCTTCCTGCAAACACAGCATCAGGGTTAGGGTGTTTGTGTGACCCTAGTCCCTTTGGGCCCTCGCGAGTTGTCCCATTTCCACTCTCTCTTCTTATGTCATTCCTCAGTCTTGAGTTATTGGCTGGAGCAACTCTTCTGGATGCTCCCTGCTAGCCAGAAGAGCTCAGGGTTTGAGGAAGATACACTAAATCACTTAATCACTTAACTTCCCGTTAGTCGTCGATTTGCTCGAGCGGGCGCCAGTAACGTCTCCATTTGTCCCTGTCGCGTGCTAGTGTAGCCCAGTGGCATCTGTTCGCTCCGGGAACATGAAGGGCCTCAAACCGATCGTTCATGATCTTGGCGAAGAAGTCTGACCATCTGGTAGGTGGGCGGCCACGCGGTCTCTTGACATCCCGTGGAATCCAATCAGTAACAGCTCTAGTCCAACGGTCGTCTTTAAATCTCATTACGTGACCAGCCCATCTGATTTCCGACACCTTGGCAAATGAGACAGCGTCTCGGATCCTTGATCGTCGACGGATGTCAGAACTCCGGATTCGTTCTCTCATTTGAGTGAAACGTGATATTCCAAGCATAGCTCTTTCTATTCTTCTTTGGGAGACCTGAATGGTGTTCTCATCTTGTTTGCGTAGGGCCCAGGTCTCTGAGGCATATGTTAATGCAGGAAGAACAGTGGAATCAAAGAGATGTGCCCGGAGCCGGAGGTTCTTCGTCCTCTTAGCTATTTCTTCGACGTTCTTGAAGGCGTTCCAAGCCGCTCTCTTCCTCCTGCGCAGCTCGGGTGCCAGGTCATTTGTCATGTTGACCTCTCGACCTAGGTACACATAGCTGTTGCATTCGGAGATGGTCGTTCCATTGAGAGCGAATGGGGCGTCAGGAACAAGGCTGTTTCTCATAAACATTGTCTTCGTAAGATTCAGCTGTAGTCCTACCTTTCCACACTCACGGTCAAAGTCGGCCAGCATTTGTGCCGCTTGGCTGATGTTTGGTGTTATTAAAACAATGTCATCAGCAAAGCGGAGGTGGTGTAGTTGCCGACCATCTATCTTCACTCCCATTCCTTCCCATTCCAGTCGTTGCATGATGTTCTCGAGGGTGGCACTGTGTATTCGATATGCCAAAACCAGTAACTACAACTGGTCTCATTCATACACTAAATAACAAATATAATTTGCTTTTTACAGAAAATAGGAATATACAAAGGTAAAGAAGATCTGGCACTATTTTTCTCATTCATTCCCCAACGATAACAGTTTGATATACAATGTATTGAACACTTTTAGCTTATTTCTAGACTGTCTTAAAAATAAATGTATTTTTTTGTGGTACTAGATATTAAACCTAAGGCCTCACAAATCATCATGAACAACTTGATGAAAGTAAAATAAAAATGCAAAGTAGGTGCTTTATCTCCGAGATATGGCCCTGGCCCATTTGTCCTTTTCATTTATTTTGGTTGTTTTTTTGGTGCAGACGATTTTACAATTAACTAGGAAGATGTTGGTAGCATAAGGCATGTAGGTATTGGCATGGAATGTGCTACAATTATCGTCTTTTGGCTTCAGTCTTCCCATTTTGTATATTTCGGTAGGCTAGTCTCCTAAAAAAAAATTGCTGAATTGTACATATTTTGGAGTTTGATAGGTATTTCCAAGTTATTCCTCAAGAGCTTGTAGGAATTAATTTTAAGTAACTGACAAGTTTTATGATGATGAGTGTAGTATTTATTACAGACAAGAATATAGAAAAGTATACAACAGTCTTCACACACTTTCTTCTAAAGAAGTCTTTTTGATCATTCTTAGCTATATTTTCATAACAAGAAATTTAAAATAAATTATTTAGGTCCTGCTATAGGGGCAGGTTTGGGTCATGAGTGTTAAGAAAATCGGAAATAATGGTGGTGAGATTGGTGCTAGAATATTGAATATAATAAATCATCGTGAACAACTTGATGAAAGTAAAATAAAAAAAGTTTTTTAAAGGTTATATAAAATAGTACAATAAGGCTCCCCCCCCCCTTTTTTTTTTTGCTTTTTGCTTTTTGGGTCATACCTGGTGCCCTGGTGCTCGGGGGACCATATGGGACGCTGGGAATTGAACCTGGGTCAGCCGCGTGCAAGGCAAACACCCTACCCGCTGTACTATTACTCCAGCCCCAATAAGCCCTATTTTTTAAATTATGAAATAGGATATTTAAAAATAGTGGATGCTTAAAAATAGAAAAATAAAACTGGAAGTGGAAAAGTAATGGAGGAATTCAGTGAAACCAAAAGGTTTTTTCAAAAACGAATAAAAAACATTGGTGGTGGGAAATGTACACTGGTGAAGTGATGGGTATGGCACATCCTGAGACGGAAACCCGATCATGAACCACTTTGTAATTGTGTATCTCACAGTGTTCAATAAAAATTCTTTCTAAAGAGAGTGTAGAAAAACTCACCAAAAAACTCACTGTCACTTGTCAGTAACCTTTTTATATATATATATATATATATATATATATATATATATCTTTCTAGACTTTGCTCTGCGTGTAAAAACTTATTTTTCAACATTAGGGCTGGAGCGATAGCACAGTGGTAGGGCGTTCGCCTTACACGCGGCCAACATGGCCGACCCGAGTTCGCTTCCTCCGCCCCTCTCGGAGAGCCCGGCAAGCTACCGAGAGTATTCGATATGCCAGACACAGTAACAACAAAGTCTCCAATGGAGACATTACTGGGCCCGCTCGAGCAAATCGACGATCAACGGGAGGGCGTTTACCTTTACCTTTACCTTCAACATTAGATCAAACTTTATGAAGTAGTTTGGTATTAGTTTTCAGATATTATTTTTCCATGTCTTTTTTTTTCTCTTTTTGGGTCACACCCGGTGATGCTCAGGGGTTACTCCTGGCCTGGCGGTGCTCAGGGGACCATATGGGATATGGGACGCTGGGAATCTAACCCGGGTCGGCCGTCTGCAAGGCAAACGCCCTGCCTGCTGTGCTAGCGCTCAAGCCCCTTTTCCATGTCATTTAAAGATTATATTATCCTGTTCTAGTTCGCAGGTGCTCTTTGACTAGCACCGGTGTGCTGTCTTCCCTCTTTCCTTTTGGTTCCCCTTCCCTCCCCTCAGTCAGTGTGGTGGTGGTGATGGGGCCACACGCTTGCTTGGGTGTGGTAGTTGGGTGTACTTGCGTATAGACTCCTGACTGCAGTGTTCGCACTAGATTCTTTTTTTGCTTTTTGGGTCACACCTGGTGATGCACAGGGGTTACTCCTGGCTCTACACTCAGGAGTTACTCCTGGCGGTGCTCAGGGGACCATATGGGATGCTGGGAATCGAACCCGGGTCGGCCATGTGCAAGGCAAATGCCCTACCCGCTGTGCTATCTCTCCTGCCCCATGCACTAGATTCTTAACTGTGATCCTCACACATCCTTCCTCTAGGGCAGCCGGGGACTTGCAGACGGCCAACGTGCCCATATCGTGTTGATATATGCAGTGGCTTTGGGGTCAACCCCATGGTCTTCATTTCCATGGCAGGCCCTTTTAGACGCTGCACCATTTCCCACACCTTATTTCCTCATTTTTCTTAATCTGTTTTTTTTTTTTTAACTTTGTAGTAGATTAGCTCAATTTGTTAAGTTTGATAGGTTTTTCATGCCTCTTCCCCCCCACCCCCACTCTTTGGTTCACACTCAGCGGTATGTTTAGGATTACTCCTGGCTCTGCCTTCAGAAATCACACCTGGGACCAGATGGGATGCTGGGGATCAAACTGGGGTTGGCCGCATGCAAGGCAAGTGCGCTGTCCACTGTATGTAATATTGCTCCAGTCCCAGGTTTTTCCATGCTGCTTATTACTTACTCTCCAGAAAACTTAGCCAAAACCCCAAAATATGTTTAGTTAGAAAATAAGTTTGGAAAGGGACTGAAGAGTGCAGTTGGGAGAGCACTTGCCACACATGTGGCTGATGCAGGTTCAGACCTTGTACTCCATGTGGTCCCCTGAACCCTTCCAGGAGTGTCCCCTGAATGCTAGAGCCAGGAGTCAGCCCTGAGCACAGGCAAGAAAAAATAAGAGCTATACCTATGGTGTCCAACAAAAACGATCTTAAAACAGAGAAAGCTGCAGCTTTACTCGTTAACATTATTCAGTTAGCAAATGTCCTTTGTTCTCTTTGGTAGTTTTGGTTTTTTGTGTGTGAATCTTTGATTTTTCCATGTTGTTTTTTTGTTTACCTAGAGACCAAATGAAAGGGTTGACGCTGTATCAGAAAAGCCAAGAGAAGATCCAGTCCTAAGAGTGGAAACCCCAGTGAGTTGCTTTGTTGGGTACTGTCCAGCTACACACATGATGCATGTGAGAAGATCAAAGCAAAGTGATTAAAGCGCAGCCCATTTGACATGTCACTACCGTTTCATACTTCTGTGAGAAGTTCCTTCAAAACTTGGCATAAGCGGCGAAGATTTGTGGGAGTGGAGCAGATAGCTTAGAGGACGGGAATGTGTGCCTTGCCGTGGACCTGGGCTTCAGTCCCTAGTGCTGCCTGGTCTCCTGAGCACTGTGTGCCTTCTCCCAAAAGAGGCGTATATTTTTGTGAATGATTTTCCTTTTCAAGACCATAACGTCTAGCACCCCTCGGGGACTGCTCCAGACTCTGTTTGAGGGACCATGCGATGCCAGGGTCAGACGCAGATCTTCCTTGTGCAAAGCATGCGCTTAGTGTGTTGAGCTGTTTCTCTGGTTCCCGTTGCCTGTTTTGGTCTTGGGGTCACGCCTGGCAGCACTCGGGACTTGCTCCTGGCTCTGTGCTTAGGGCTTACTCCTAGCTGTGCTGAGGAACCATGTGCCATGTGTGGTGCTGGAAATTGAATCGAACCAGGGTTGGTTTCAAGGCAAGGCAAGCTCCTTAACCCCCTGTTTTATATGTCTCCTGCCCCTCAATTACCAGTTTTTATAGAGTATGTGAATTTGACGATAGAAACCATCAAAGCTGATTTTCTTCCCTTTTTTTGAGGGTGTTTGGGCACTTGTCTCTGCCCCACCAACACCAGTGCTGGTGGGCCGCTCTCAAGTCCGGTGATGGAGCCCACGTGGTTCGAGGGACCCAAGTGGACTTGTCCGCATGCGTGCCTTGCCCTGTTCTGCGGCTCTGGCCCCAGCCTCCCTTCTCTGTTTGGAGTCAGCTCATTGTTTTCCTTTTCGCACCTTCCCTTGTTAAAGATAAGCAGTCATCAGAGAATGGATGATTGAAGATAAGTTTTACAAGGTTAGCTGTTTCGTGTACTTTGTGCAATTTCCTTTGCAGAGTCTTCCTGCTGATATTTTCTGGCTTTTGGTTACAGGTTCAGCCAGTATTATCTTCTGTTCCGACAACAGAATTGTCTGCTGGCGTTCAGTTCCAGGTTGGTGACCTTGTCTGGTCGAAGGTGGGAACCTATCCTTGGTGGCCTTGTATGGTTTCAAGTGATCCCCAGCTTGAGGTTCATACCAAAATTAACACAAGAGGTAAGAAAAAGTGTAAATGTTGCATGTAAATATGAGAACGCATACATAATATGTAATTGGGTGCCGAGTACTGTCATCCTAACTAGCTGATAGCCTTTGCAAATGATAAAATCCTTGCTTTCCATTTTCATTCTGCACTTGTTTCATCATTTCTTTCATGCTTTTCCCCCCCTCACTTCTTTTTTTCAAAAGACCTTAATCTGGCTGACTTTTCATAAGAATTCCAAAAGGAAGTAGGTGGATAAAGTAATTATTTTTCTTACATGAACTTAAATGGCATTTGGGCTAAGTCTTACTTAATTTTGGTTCTTACACCACACTGTCTGTGCTTAGGGCATTACTCTGTGCGGAGTGTGTGCTCAGCCCTGTTGAACTACTTCTCCAGCCACTGTGTTGCACATATAATGGGTCTTTTTTACTTTTCATAATTTTATAGCATACATTGGCCATTAAAAAAGTACTGGTGAAAGGTTGGAGAGAGCACAGCGGTTAGGACGTTTGCTTTTCACACGGCCAATCTGGGTTCAATTCCCAGCATCCCAGATGGTCCCCCAAGCACTGCCAGGAGTAATTCCTGAGTGCATGAGTCAGGAGTAACCCCTGTGCATCGCCGCGTGTGACCCAAAAAGGGGGGAAAGAAGGTATTGGTGAGTCAGATAGTACAACGGGTAAGGTGCTTGCACTTGCCTTGTGTGTGACCAGCCAGGCTCGATTCCTGACATCTCTTATGGTCACCAGAAGAGCCTACCAGGAGTGATTCCTGAGCACCACTGGGTGTGAACCAAAGCCTGAAAAAATGAAAAAAATATAATTTTAAATATGTCATGCTTCTCTATCAGTTACTACTTCATACTTTTTTTAAAAAAAATTTTTTTAATTTGCTTTTTAAATTGATGTAGTATGATAGACTTCAGGTGCACATCATTATAAATTTATCTTGAAGACACATTGTTAATACCACTGGCGATTTCATTAGGAACTTCTTTGATTATTGGAAAGTTGAAATACTCAGAGACTGTTGCTAGTTTTCCAAAATTCTAAATTGTATAAAATTCAGTTTTATTCTTCTAAAAACTTTTAAAATTTTAGGCACCGTGATCTACAAGAGTATTAATAGCAAGAGTTGAATGCAAATAATGTTATAACATCATACTCTCCCCCAGAGAGTCCCTTCCCTTCCCCCTACTTCAGTTCCAGCCCCCTCTTCTTCCCACCATGCCAAGCTCACTTCTGTAGGTCAGTTTCAATTTTATTCTTAGAAATGAATGAATACTGTTGGTTGATTTCTTTGTGTGTTTTGAAGTGCCAAGACTTTTTTCATTTCTGAGGAAATACTTGCCAAATGTTCAAGTTCAAAATAATCTCCATTTTTCTGGTGTTCAGTGGGAAAGTGGTGAGATCACCTTGGAAATCAAAATGTCTCAAGAGTTTTTTTCAGGATACTGATCATACTCCAGCATGCAGAGTGCTTCATGCATATTTCCCATGTTACCACACAGAATATTAAAGAATGTAGTCGGAAGTCGAGATTCAGTCAAATTAATTTCACTGCTGTATTAAATATACTTAATAAAACTGACATTTTGAAAAGCACCGGTTTGTTCTGGTGAAGATTGTGACCCTTGTATAGTTGGGTGCTGCTGATCACCTTGTGGGGTAAGATGTCAGGGGACGTAACTACCATTGCTCTTGCAGCATTACGTGCCATTGACGAAGACTGTGTCATGGTATTGTTATGAAGATGGGTTTTTATTTCACGGTGTACCTGATAGGGTCTCACTGGCCTCTTCTATCTGTAGGTCTGTGTATATAACTTTTTTGTGTGTGTATGAAGCTAGATTGTTTTGTTTTGTTTTGCGGCCACACCCAGCAGTGCTCAGGGATTATTCCTGGCTCTGCACTCAGGAATTAACTCCTGCCATTGCTTGGGGGCCGTTTGGGATGCCAAGAATAGAACCCAGGTTGGCTGCCTACACGGCAAGCACGCTACCCCTGAACTAGCTATTTAGCCCCTAAGAAAGATAGTTTTTATTGAAACTAGTTTAGAAAGATGAGAGGGGAGGAAAAGGGAGGAAATGTGTGTTTAAAAGAGAACAACGGACTTCCCAGAGTGGAAAAAGCCAAGACAAGCAAAATACAGGCTCAAGGGATAATATGGACATGAAGAGCATGTAGCTTTTGGGTCCAGAGCGATAGTACAGAGTGTAGGACGTTTGAATGCGGCACACCCAGGTTCAATCCGCAGCATCCCATATGGTTTCCCAAGCCCTACCAGGAGTGATTCCTGAGTGCAGAGCCAAGAGTAACCCCTGAACATCACTGGGTGTGACCCAAAGAGCAAAAAAATAAATAAATTTTTAAAAAAAGAACCTGTAGCTTTCACATAGCTAGAAAGTCAATCATCCAGAACTTGGTGTTTAGAAATTTCCTTCAAGAAACTAGTCATATTCATTTGTAAAAAGGTTTGAGGCAAGAAAAATAAGTTGTGTAATCAAGGTTTTAAAAAAATCTGATAATTACAGAATTTCTGATTTTTCATTATCTTAAAATGTGCGCATTTGAATTATTTGCAGTGCTTTTTACAATGATTATTGGTTGTGTCATTTGGTAGCTATTAGAGTATATTTTTGGACAATTCAGAATGTACACATTTTAATAGAAGCAGTATTAGGGAGCTTGGGTTAGTTTCAGGATTTTGGCAAAGTGCAAACATATGCTCATGTTTGAAATTATTAATAAGAATTTTTACTTGCAGGTGCCCGGGAATATCATGTTCAGTTTTTCAGCAACCAGCCAGAGAGGGCGTGGGTGCATGAAAAGCGGGTCCGAGAGTATAAAGGTCATAAACAGTATGAAGAATTATTGGCTGAAGCAACCAAACAAGCCAGCAACCACTCTGAGAAACAAAAGGTAACTAACAATTTCCGAGTTTTGTTAAAGGGGTAACTAACAGCCTAAAAAGCTATTAATATTGCCAATAAGACATGGTTAAAGACGATTAGAATTTTTCATGATTGAGTAAAACTTGAAAGGACTTGTTATTTAGCCCCTTGAAGTTTAGTTTTAGTAATTTATTGTGCCAGTGTTTGTTTCATGTCATTAAGCTATTATAACCTTATTTAAAGTGAACTGTCTTCCGGGTCCTCTGTCGGCTTCTGCTTTGATTGAAACAGTACTAGCATAAAGGCAAGTGCTGTACATGCTGGACTATTTGCTCTGCCCAGGGATGAGTTTTTTTAAGTTTATTTATTTTTTGCTTTTTGGGTCACACCCAGCAATGCACAGGGGTTACTCCTGGCTCTGCACTCAGGAATTACTCCTGGCGGTGCTCAGGGGACCTTATGGGATGCTGGGACTCGAACCCTGGTCAGCCACATGCAAGGCAAATGCCCTACCTGCTGTGTTAGCGCTCCAGTCCCCTAGGATGAGATTTTTTAACTTTGCTTATTTTAACCTGGGCCTCTTAGAATTCAGAAGATTGTTTTATTTTCACACTTGAAAAAGTACCTTTTATCATGGAGGATTTTGACTCATTTTCATCGCACTTAAACATTTGCAGGTTTATACATGAATGTTCAACATAGTTATAAATTGATTGGCTCACTTACAACAACTTCAGTCTCTCCCCCTGGGTAACTCCAATCATTGTTTGGTCATCCTGCATACTCTTTTTCAAATATTTCTTCTCTCCTGATCAACCCTGAACGTAGACATGTGTGGAAAACGTGACTCGGGTATTTGTTTTTTCTCCTGCGTTCCTGCTTTCCTGTGTCCTGTCAGCTTTCGGACTTTCTCCTTTCTCTCCTGTGCGTCCTGTGCGCACTATGAAACAAGCTAGCAGCAAATCTTCTGACTTTCTCTTTGCCTTTAGCTTTGTTATGGTCTCAGTAGTATCCCTAACTCTTTGTTTGTTGGGGACCACACCCAGTGGTGCTCAGGGCTTATTCCTGGCTCTGTGCTCAGCGATCACTCCTGGTGGGGCTCGGGCACCAGATGGGGTGCCGGGGATGGAGCCCAGGTCAGCCACTTGCAAGGCAAGCAGATGTAGTGTCTCTCCAATCCCAGTAGCCCTGATTCTTATGGTGTCACTTTAACATGTGAGGCTGTTACTGGCCATTGAAAAATAATCATTTCTATAATCTTTCTTTCCTTTGCCTTCATTATACGGAATAGTTGTGGGAAGTTATGACTCTAGGACATACCATTTATTCTACTGAGATGTTTATGTACACCTGAAAAGATGGATAGGTTCCATGGAAAGTGCTTATTGATTTAAATGTAACTATTGGATTCTAGGCCTGTTCAATAATGCCCCCCCCCTTTTTTTCAAAGATTCGGAAACCCCGACCTCAGAGAGAACGTGCTCAGTGGGACATTGGCATTGCTCATGCAGAAAAAGCTTTGAAAATGACCCGAGAGGAAAGAATAGAACAGTATACTTTCATCTATATTGATAAACAACCTGAGGAGGCTTTATCCCAAACGAAAAAGAATGTTGCCTCTAAAACTGAAGTTAAAAAATCTCGACGACCAAGATCAGTGCTGAACGCTCAGCCGGAACAGACCAATGCGGGTGAAGTACCCTCCTCACTCTCCGGCACTGAGAACCGGAGGCAGAGCCAGAGGCGGCACACCAGCGTGGACGAGGACGAGGCGCCTCCGGTTAAAATCGCCTGGAAGACAGCGGCGGCGCGGAAATCCTTGCCCGCGTCCATTACCATGCACAGAGGGGGCCTGGATCTGCAGAAGTGTAACATGTCTCCTGTTGTGAAGATTGAGCAAGTGTTTGCTCTTCAGAATGCTACAGGAGATGGGAAATTTATCGATCAGTTTGTTTATTCAACAAAGGTACCTTCACAAGTGTTTTTTTAGATCGTCAACTTTGGCAGTTAAACTAAAACACGGGATCAGTAATTTAAATACCTTTGTATCCACTGCATTTGAGATGTTCATTTACTCTCTTCACGATGGGTGAGAAGGCATAATAAGCAAAGGGCTGTGCTTTCCTTTCTTTCCTTCCCTCCCTCTTTTGTAATATCCCCATCTGTACTAGATTATTCCTGAACCATGCAGCCAAAATGGAGCTGAACTCCCTAAAGTCATGGAAAAAAACTGGGCACTTTTCCTGTTTCTATCTTGTATAGTTAGTTTTTCTTGGTTGCAAAGTGTTCTTCTTATTCAGTCTTTTTGGAGGTTTTGTGAATTAATCATTGTATTAATTGTGTCTACTGACCAGTGATTTTTTTTTTAGGCATAAATGGGTTTGGGATATCTTGGTGCATTTTAGAGAAATGCTTGAACTATGCTCTGTACCAAACTGAGGAAAAAGCTTCTTCAAATAGTATCTCCATCCGCCAGCCCAGGGCCTCCATTTGGAACACTTACAACACTTTAGTTTTAAGACTTCAAAGTTCTTCCATAGCGGTATTAATGCTAATCCTCGATACCTCATCACTGTTCTTCCAACCTATACCACAATGTGAGCTTGACCTTCAGTTTAGCAGCACCTCTTGGATGTCCACTCTTAAAGAATTGTGTGGATTTTCCCTAGCAGACATGCTTTCTGTATTCTCTTGGAGATGGATGTGGGTTTCCAGTGTTGACCTGTTTCTGCCTATAGGGCCTGGAGGTTCATCCACAGTAAGGCTAAGCCATATGGAAAAAAATTGTATTACTCCCCACTTGATTAGTAGTTCTGATTAGTAAATGAAAAGATTGAATCTCTTTTTCCCCCCGTGCAAATTGACTTTATTTTTGGAGCAGATTTTGTCTGCTTTTGGATGTACAAATCAAACTTACACATCTTCTCCAAAGAGTGGATCAAATTCAAGACAAAAACTATCTTTTCCAGATGAAGACTGAAAACACACTCTCCTTTATTTCGTTGCATTAAAAATATCTAATGAGATGAAACTGTAATTGTACCTGCCTTTTTGTATGATGATCCATATTTGTTGGGTGTGCATTTTGGTCACCATGAATGGTGTATTTCTATATAGAAGGACATTCTGATATTTAAGACACATTGACATTTTTGTCTGCATAGTGAGGTAGTTTGTCCAAATGGAAATGACTAGCTTTCTCTTTTTTTTCTTTTTGGGTCACACCCAACAATGCACAGGGGTTACTCCTGTCTCTGCACTGAGAAACTATTTCTGGTGGTGCTCAGGGGACCATATAAGATGCTGGGATTCGAACTCGGGTCGGCCACGTGCAGGGCAAACGCTCTACCTGCTGTGCTATATCGCTCCAACCTGAAAATGGCTAGTTTTCTCTTACTGTGACATGGGTAAAGCAAGATTATTCGGGGTAGAATAGAAATGTTTCATTTTTGGTAGAAAACTCCGTGATATAGGTACTTTTTTTTTTTTTTTTTTTTTGCTTTTTGGGTCATACCCGACAATGCTCAGGGGTTGCTCCTGGCTCTGCACTCAGGAATAACTCCTGACAGTGCCTGGGGGACCATATGGGATGCTGGGAATCGAACCTGGGTTGGCTGCATGCAAGGCAAATGCCCTACCCGCTGTGCTATCACTCCAGCCCCGGTACACTTTTTAATGATTTTCATCATCTGGACTTAGTTGGGGTGTTGTTGTTGTTTTTTGTTTTTTTTTTTTTTTTGCTCTTTGGGTCTCACCCAGCGATGCTCAGGGGTTACTCCAGGTTCTGCACCAGGAATTAATCCTGGTGGTGCTCGGGGGACCCAATGGGATGCTGGGAATCGAACCGGGTCGGCCGCGTGTAAGGCAAACGTTCTACCTGCTGTGCTATTGCTCCAGCCCCTTTTTTTAAACATTGTTTTTATTGTTCATTTTAAACTATATCCTGATGTCGAAATCAAATTGTTCTCAATATGACTCAATTTCCAGCTTCCCATATGGTCCCCTCAGTACCACCAGGGGTAATTCCTGAATGAAGAGCCAGCAGTAACCCCTGAGCATTGCTGGAGAGGCCCCCAAAACAAACAAAAAGAAAAAAAAAAGTCAAGCAAATTTTGATTATCTTAGCCTAGGATGGTATTTGTCTAGTAATTAATTACATCTTTCTCAATTTGCCTTGTTTTGAAGGGAATTGGTAACAAAACGGAAATAAGTGTCAGGGGACAAGACAGACTTATAATTTCTACACCAAATCAGAGAAATGAAAAGGCAACTCAGAATATGTCATCTCCTGAAGCAGCATCTGGTCCTACAGGTGGGTGTAGCTAAAGACTTCAGTCAGTTTTCAGAGGTTACTGTTCTCTTCTGCAATAAATACTGACTTTGTTCCCAAGAAAATATTTTCAAAATTAAGTGAAAATTCTCAGATAGAAAGTGAATAAATAACTATAAAATTACAAAGACTTTTCCTTTTTTTTTTTTAAATAAAAAAATCAAATTTTCCCCCAGTAGTCCTCCTACCCCCACACCCCACCCCGCCTCTGGCAGGGCGTTCCCTTTTGCTCACTCTTTCCTTTAAGGTGTTGTAGTTTGCAGGAGAGGTATTGAGTGGCCATCATGTTTGGTCTAGAGTCTACTTTCAGCACGCATCTTGCAACCTTGAGCGAGTCCTCCAAACATCCCTTTTTTTAATTTTTTAAAAATTTTTGTTAGTGAAACACCATGAGGTACAGTTGTAGACTTACAATTTTTGTGCTTGGGTTTCAGTCATACCCATCCCTCCACCGGTGCCCATTCTCCACCACCAATGATCCCAGTATCCCTCCTGCCCCCCCAACACCCCGTTGCACCCTGCCTCTGTGACATTTATTTTTAAAGGAAAGAAAGAATAGGGCCTGAGTAGTTCTGAGTGCGGTCCCAAGCGAAAAGAATAAATAGAAATTAGAGAGCTTTATTCATAATAACAGTTAATTTTCCTATAGGAATTTTAGCAATAGGAAGGTTCTAGAATTAAGAGTATAGCTTGGCAGTGATTCAATGTCGTGTACATGTTTCACATGTAGGAGGCCATTGGTTTCATTCTTGTCACCAAAAAATAAAATCCACAACAATTAAAAAATATAATCGTGGGGGCAGGAGAGATAATACAACAGGGAGGCACCTGCCTTGCATGTGTGGGACCTGGTTTTATTTTTTTTTAATTTAATTTTTATAAAGTTGTTCATAGTATTTGATTACATTTAATAATCCAATACCAGTTCCACCACCATTACACCTTCCCACCACCATATTTCCGTCCCAAACCCAAAGCAGAACCAAAGTAATTTATTTTGCATTGCTTATTGTGAATAATTTGCTAAAAATGATCCAAAAAAGGTTTCTTAGAGGAAAGTGTGTGAAGATTGTTGTATTTCCCCCAGGAGCCGTTAAGCCCTTCTATAAGAGATTAGTAACATGTTGTCAAAGGTTGAGCCGTCTGTGCATATATATATATATAATATATATTATATATATGTGTGTGTGTGAGAGAGAGAATATAGTTCCTCCTAAAATTGGTTGCCTACTGCTTTAAACCCCGTCAAAGGTGGTGTGCTGCTCTTGGTACATCAATCGTGTAAAGTATGAGATGTCCAGGAATAGATTCCCTCATGGGTCCGAGCGTGTGGAGAGCAGCCATGAGCATGGTGGCGGTTGAGTTCTGGAGGTTTTTGGCTGCTGGGGCTGGATCCGTTGGGGCGGGGAAGGGCCTCACCTGGCCCGCTTCCGGTTGCCCCGAATGAAGTGGACTGGTGCTGGGGTCTGGTGGCACGGCTATGGCATCTCATCCTGTGCTCTCAGAGATTTATTGTAGAGTCTGGATTGTGGCCGTTGATGAGATTATATGGCACCAGACGTGTCTTGTGAGGGTGACTGCCAAGCTGCTGGAAACGGGGACGTGGGGAACGTCACCCATTCCCTGTTCCCTTGAGTCTGGAGTTTTCAGTCACAAGGGACCTGGTTTTAATCCTCAGCACCACATCAGGTGCCCTCAGTCTTGCCTGGGGTGATTCCTGAGCACAAAGCCAGAAGTAAATCCCTGGCACCCCAGATGGGTTCCCTGAGTACAACCAGCAGTGGTTCCTAAGTGAAGAGTCAGGGGTACCCCTGAGCATTGCCGGGTATGGCCTGCGTTTCAATCTCTGGCACCCCATAAGGTTCATTAAGCCCACCAGGAGTAACCCTTGAGCCCAACTGAACACTGCCAGGTATGGCCATAAACAAAAACAAAAAAGATTTACTCACTAGGGCCTGAGTTACAAGTAATTCAGAATTACATCAGGCTTTAAGCTTCTCAGAAAATTAACTGGTTCACCTTTTCGGTTCCAAAAAGATATTTTTTAAAGAATAAAGTAAACCAAACTCCTTTCTCCTAAACTAGACAAAGCCAGTTGAGGGGCTGGAGCTGTAGTACAGGGGTAGGGCATTTGCCTTGCACGCAGCCTCCTTTATGGTACCCTGAGCACTGCCATTAGTAACCCATTAGCATCACTGAGAAGGACCCACACAGCCAAAATAAATAAATAAAAAAGACAGCTAATTGACAGCTCTTTTGTTAATGGCTGCCTGAAACAGTAAAACAGATGGAAAGTCCTCACGAAGCCTGCCCTTCAGGCTTTGGGGGTTGGATTGAAAGCATTCTGAATATGGTATTGGGAAGGTGTAATGGTGGCGGGATTGGTGTTGTAATGTCAAATGTAATAAATTATTGTGAACAACTATATAAAAATAAATGTAAATTTAAAAAAAGGAAGTCTGCCCTTCCTTAAAAATTATTTTGACCATTCCAGAGTTACAGCTTTACTAAGTATCAGCACTCGTCTTGAATAAAGAACAGGATACCTGGCTCTCAGTTCATAGCACAGGAGAGTTGGGCCCCCAGACTGCTGGCCTGGAGCACACTAGCGGCGAGGAGTGTGCCATTCTCCTGCGGGCTACAGCGGGAAAGGGGAAGGATGGGTTTTCAGTACTGAAAAAGTTAAGTAAATAAGAAAAAGAAAAAAGTAAGTCGTTGGTCTCATGCACAGAAAATAAAATAGTGCATTTTCTCAGGTATGTATAGATGTTATAACATAAATATATACACATAGAAGTGTATATGTATACATACAATTTGGTTTTGAGGCCACATCTGGTGATGTTCAGGTGATGTTCATGGTAATTAACTGAGGCACTAATGAATATTTTTTGTTTTAGTGTTTGGGGTCACACCGGCAGTGCTCACGGCTTACTCATGTCTCTGCGCCCAGAGATCACTCCTGCCCTAGAGGCAGCTGGGGGGTTGGCAGGAGGGAGACTGGGGACATTGGTGATGGGAAATGTACACTGGTGGAGGGATGGGTGTTGGAACAGTGTATGACTGAAACCCAGTCATGTGAGCAGCTCTGTAATGGCGTGACTCACGGTTATGCAATAAAAGGAATGTAATTTTCAAGAAGAAAGAAAAGGAGAGGGGCCGGAGCCGTAGCACTTGCCTGACTGCAGCCAACCTAGCGTTGATCCCTGGCACCCCATATGGTCCCCAAGCTTGCCGGGAGTGATCCCTGAGTGCTGAGCCAGGAGTAAGTCCTGAGCACTGCTAGGTGGGCCCAAAAATCAAAAGAGAAACAAGGGAGGGAGGGAGGAAGAAAGGAAGGGAGGGAGGGAAAGGAAAGGAAAGGGAAAGAAAAGAAGAAAAGGAAGGACCAGAACCAGATTTGCATCTTGTGACCTTTAAAAATAATATATAAAACAATGAAGCTCTAGGGTCCAGGTGAGAGCCCAAAGCCCTCAGGCATATGCAAGGCCTCAGATTTGCTTTCCCATCACTACGAGGCCCCTAGCATCCCTTTGTGTGCCCTGGATGGCGCCTAAATTCTGTCGGGGAGTCCCTGCTGGTTGGTTTCCTAGCAGCACCAACCCAGAGCACTGGTTCAGGCCCACCCTACTGGGCCAGGAGTGACCCCTGGGAGCATCAAGCAGTGCTGAAGGCCTCCCCTGCACAAAACAAAATGGTAATGGTGATGGAACGAGTAAGTGAATCTTGGCACTGACCAGCCATAGCCATAATTATTTGAATATTAAAAGAATCTTTGGCCTCAGGTCTTCATGGTTAGGTATTTCATTTTGTTATCTTTCTTTATACAAACTGTTGGTAATATTCTGAATTTAAGTGTGATATATAGACTAGAAAGGTTTTTTATTTCTAGACCTTTATTTATTTGCTTTTTGGGTCACACTGGTGATGCACAGGGGTTACTCCTGGCTTTGCACTCAGGAATTACTCCTGGCACTGTTAGGGGGACCATATGGGATGCTGGGAATCGAACCCAGGTTGGCCGTGTGCAAGGCATATGCCTTACCCATTGTACTATCGCTCCAGCCCCTAGAAAGATTTTTAAACCTATGCCTTTCACCTAGGGGGAGAAAATAAGTTCTTCACAAATACTAGACAGATTTTAAATATTACACATTTACCTTTGATGAAAATGAAAATTATTGAACACTTGGGCTATAGAACTTTTTCTCATATATTCTTTTCATTATGAGTTTAGTTTCTGCTATGAATTGCCTTTTCCTTTTTTTTAAGTGAAAGGCAAAGTAGAAGACTTGAATTCACTTAAAGGCACTTAGTTCCTTCCTTAGGTAAGCATTTATAGTATTAAATTATTTTAAATTAGCACTGTAGCACTATCCTCCCATTGTTCATCGATTTGCTTGAGCGGGCACCAGTAACGTCTCCATCGTGAGACTTGTTACTGTTTTTGGCATACCGAATTCACCATGGGGAGCTTGCCAGGCTCTGCTGTGCGGGTGGGATACTCTTGGTCGCTTGCTGGGCTCTCTGAGAGGGACAGAGGAATCGAACCCCAGTTGGCCGTGTGCAAGGCAAACGCCCTACCCGCTGTACTATCACTCCAGCCTACTGTGCTATCGCTCCAGCCCAATTTTAAATTTTAAATTAATGAAATTACCATATTTGGGCCTTTCCCTTCCTGGCCCTCCCAAGGCTACATGTGTGCTAAAGAGACAGCTTCAAAGGGCTGCGTGCAAGCCTTGCTTATGTCAGTCCCGGCACCACGTGGCCCCTAGGCACGTCCTCCAAGCCCTGCCAGTTGTGGCTCCACCCTCACTCCATTTAAAGTAACTTAGATGTGTGTGTGAAAATTTTTAGTAAATATTATAAATTAATACTAGAACCTCAGTTGGGGGTGAGTGCTGTAAAACTTTGACCTTGTTTTAAATTTGCTTATCAGCTATGTAAATTTGCAATAATTAACCATAATTTAAAATGGCTGATAAACATTTTACCTTTTTTTAAATGAAAAATTTGCTTATTGTATAAAATGGCTTCACTTGTTGAAAAGCCAAAAGGAGAAACTTGTTCTTTCTTCAGAAGCCAATTACCTCATTATCTAAGTAGGGAGAAATCTTGAGCCTTCTTCCTGGTAATATTTGGGAAATACAAAGAATATGTTGTACTGCCTTGTTTGTATAATATTAATAATTGTATTTATATTTATGCCAGGTTTTGAAGTTATTTTCCAAATTTAGAGATTTTTACCTTTTGTCTCTTAAAAGATAAACATAATATTATTTAAGAGCAGTAGAATATATGTATTTTTCAGGTGCTTCCAAAGAAAGTGTTATATATAAGACTATATCAGGTCTGACCTGTACTTTATCTAAATTATATTGTCATCCTCAGCACAAGTACAGATTTCTTTGTTTTAAGTAGTTGTGTTTTTTCTTCTTCTGGTGGGCCCTTAATTATTGTTTTAAAGTATTGGTCTCTGGACTACTCAGGTATCAATAAGGGTAGGGTATGTGTTGTCTTAATAAACATTTTTATTAGTGTAGAAGAATGAGGTAAAAAGAAAAAAAGCCAGTGTTGTCATTTGTGACTTTTCTGTTAAAAATTGCCAGAGCAGTAATACAGCAGGTATACTCTTGCCTTGTATGCCGCCAACCTGGGTTCAATCCCTGGCATCCATATAGTCCTGAGCACCACCAGGATGATTTCTGAGTGCAGAGCCTGAAGTAACCGAGCATTGCCCCCCACCCCCGCAAAAAAAAAAGGTGGTTACTCATAGGTCAAGCAATATATCATTATCCAAACTACCCACTCCTCCAAAACAAAAGGAGTAAATTTATATTTTGTTTTGGCTCTGAGCTAAGAGGGAAGTCAGTTACAAATACACAAGTACAGTGGAACCAGAAAAATCTCAAGGTGATATGAAATCTTCATTGAAGTAACTTCAGCCTGATCTTATAGGTATTAATAAGGTATTAAAAAGTTTTCTTTCCTGCAAGTGCAGGTGATTATTATCGAGAAAAACCATTTATGTGGTCCAAGTACTGAACAAATGCAGAGCAGCTGCCTGAAGGTATCTTCCTTCTCTGACACGGAAAAAGCCCTCCCTGACTCGGTGTCCTTTCAAGGTGTGGTCTTTCCAAAATTGGGGTCCATGTGGATTTTCTTCTGTTGGTCTGGAGCTATAGCACAGTGGGTAGGGCGTTTGCCAACCCGAGTTTGATTCCCCCGTCCCTCTTGGAGATCCCAGCAAGCTACCGAGATTATCCAGCCCGCATGGCAGAGCCTAGCAAGCTCTTCGTGGCGTATTCGATATGCCAAAAACAATAACAACAAGTCTCACAATGGAGACGTTACTGGTGCCCACTCGAGCAAATCGATGAACAACGGGAGGACAGTGCTACAGTGCTACTTTCAAAGAATTATACTGTTTAAGAATCTTAATAGTTTCTTGTTTTACCATTTACCATGAAAAGCTTGATGATTTGTTTCACCTGGTTTTCCATGACTATTTCTTTTTTTTTCCTTTTTGGGTCACACCCGGCAACACACATGGGTTACTCCTGGCTCTGCACTTAGAAATTACTCCAGGCAGTGCTCCGGGAACCAAATGGGATGCTGGGAATCAAACCCAGGTCAGCTGCGTGCAAGGCAAATGCCCTACCCGTTGGACTGTTGCTCCAGCCCTCCATGACTGTTTCTAAACTAGAACAAGTACCTTAATATACAAGTTAATAATTCTGCATTTTTGTGGCTTTCCGCCTTTTCCCCTTTAAGTACAAACACTCAACAATAGTACAACAATAGTAAAACATTAGTGCACCAAATACTATTAAGCATTTTATATAGAGAGTTGGGCTGGAGCAATAGCACAGCGGGTAGGGCATTTGCCTTGCACGCAGCTAACATGGCCGAACCGAGTTCGGTTCCTCCGCCCCTCTTGGAGAGCCCGGCAAGCTGCCGAGAGTATTTCGCCCGCACGGCAGAGCCTGGCAAGCTACCCGTGACATACTCGATATGCCAAACACAGTAACAACAAGTCTCATGATGGAGACGTTACTGGGCCCGCTCGAGCAAATCGATGAACAACGGGAGGACAGTGGCAGTATATATAGAGTTAATTTATTTGTAAAATACAAAGTATGTAGTACTGGTTGAATATTTAACCTATGATTCCTAAGGTCAGCTGGCTAATAAAGTCATCTTCGCTTACCGCTGAATTTTTTTGTCTCTTATAGTTACCTAGATGTATTTTGCCTTATAAAACTAAACTGTGTCTTTACCAATTTAGTTTTATAATTTCAATCCTTTTTCATTGATACCATTTAGAGTCCTTTTTGAATCCCACTTTTAATTTATTGGACTTTACAATTTGATCTATAAAATGTTTTATGTGTTCCCAAGTAATAGTTTTTTAACGATTTATAATTAAAGGCAGAGAATGCAGCCAAATCTTAATTTTATAAATATCATGGTACCCTTAAGTGAATTTTTATTTGCTTGTCTTTAAACCCTCTCTTAGGCTCAGTAGAAAAGAAGCAGCAGAGAAGGTCGATCAGAACTCGTTCTGAGTCAGAGAAATCCACTGAGGTTGTGCCAAAGAAGAAGATCAAAAAGGAGCAGGTTGGCTTCCTACCTGTAGAGAGTTAGAACGTTGTGTTTGTAACTCTTGTTGCTTCTATTGGTACCTTAAGAGAAAAAGAAACTGTACCACACTGGGTTTCCTCTCTGGACTGTCTTATGCTTCTGCCCTGGTGAGTTCCAGTGCCCGGTTCTAGCACAACCGTCCCTTGATTCTGCTACAGAATAGTTTTCATGGAACACAGTCAGGCTTCAGGCATTGGGAAGCCAAGTGGTACAAAGCTCTATTCCTCACATTGATTTTGGAATTTCTGTTATGAGCATAATGATTTCATGTTTTTTTTATTTGGAGCTACTGTTGAGTTCCTTTTTAAATTTTTTGGTTTAAACTGCTGTTCTATATTGTTTCTATTTTTTAAACAAATCAAATGAACTCTTAATCATATTTAAGAAACAGATAATCATAGATGGTCTGGTTTTATGTTAGTATCATAGATTTTTTGGAATGTTATTTTCCTGGAATGACATATCCGTTAACTACTATTTAGCTAAGAAACAGAGGAGAGGCATTTGACTAATGGGCCTTAAACAAGTATAACATTAAATTACCTTTTCAAAGAAATTTTCAAAACCATTAGTCCTTTAAGTTCACAGTAGAATTTTTTTTAAAAAAAGAAAAAGTGAAAAATTGTTCCTTTTTACAGCACAGGTAGGAAATTCTGAATATTATTCATTCCAATAAGTATTTATTTTTAAGAACATTTAAAATGGAAGAGTATTAACTTTTCTATTTAAATTTTTGGTCATAATTTTAAACATACAAATTTAAAAGGTGACTTTGTGGATTAACTGTGGTATCATCAAGCATATAAAACAATTTTCCCAGCAATAATTTTGCTAAAATTTAAACAATATACAGGTTTGTCATTCATTTAATGTCGTTAACTTACATACTTAGGAAGTTATATTCCAAAAAATCTTTCTTAGCTCTTGCAGATCTACAGTATTGATTACCAAAAGGAAGTTGTGATTTTGCCAGCTTATTCCCAAATTCAGCCTGTGACCAGTCAGTTTAAAATGAATAAGCAGTATGATTACAGAAAAACGGGACAAATTGTTAATGCCACTGTGTTGTAGTTAGTAGTAGAACAAATCTAGTGATTGTTTAGAAGATTTTATATTTGTATTATTAATTGTATCTTATAAAAGCACTTCTGTTGTATGTTTTTTTACCTGCTGTAAAAAATAAAAGACATTTTTTTAAAAACTTAGAACAATTCTTAAGTATTTACAAATGTGTTTCAACATGCATATTCACCACATTTTGAGAAAATATAAAAGTTAGTAGTTTATGGGGGCTGGAGCGATAGCACAGCGGGTAGGGCGTTTGCCTTACACGCAGCCAACATGGCCGACCCAGGTTCGATTCCCAGCATCTCATACGGTCCCCCGAGCACCGCCAGGAGTGATTCCTGAGTGCATGAGCCAGGAGTAACCCCTGAGCATCGCCGGGTGTGATCCAAAAAGCAAAAAAAAAAAAAAAAGTAGTTTAAACAGGAACTCCTCCAAAGAGCATTCTTTTTAAAATTCCAGTGATTCAATCCTCCAGTTGCCACGTGTTTTACATATGCAGAATGATTTCTGATCTCATTCTCCTACTGTAGGCTCAAGACACTGTTCATAAGACACTCAAGAAAGTGCTTTTGCAATATCACAAATTGACTTTATTAAGTTTGTACTAGCAGCCAAAGGATTGCACTTGCCTTAGCGGTCTCTACTGAGAGGGTCCAGCTCCCAGCAACTTAGCTGTGGGTGAGGCACGGGAGCGGGGCAGGTCTCAAGGTGGCGTGAGTTACATTTCCCTGAGTACCATACTAAGTAAACGTTTATCCTAACATCTTTGGGGTGGGAGGGATTTAGAGCAACGCCGGGACTGGTTGTAGAAATGACCCACGTCCTGCCTCCCAGGCACTGAGGAGAGTGTTGTTTTGCTCCGTGTTTGGTGGGAGTCGGCTTCACCAGAGTGTATGGCTGTAGTATTCAATAAGGCAGCTAGCCACACTTGACCTTGAGACTGAGCATTTTACCCAGAAGATGGGGCTGAGTTCAGATTCCAGATACATTTAGTCACTCATTATTACTTAGGCTGATGAGAATATTATTTTTCCCTGTTATTTATAAGAGAAGTTCCTTTATTAATGTTTTCTCTTTCTGTCCAAACAGGTCGAGACAGTTCCTCAGGCTACAGTGAAGACTGGATTACAGAAAGGTGAGTTATTATAATGTGGCTTTGCATTTTCTTGATTAAAATAAATTTTAAAGAATTACCTATTTGTACTTTATGTATTTTTGTTTGTCTCTGTAAATCATTGTTGCTCTTCAGTCAATAATTTTGTGTGAAATCGCATTATTCCCCGGTGTTCGTGTGTGTGTTCGTATGTATGTGTGTATGTGCTACCTTTAGAGTTCCTTTATTCTGTGCCTCCATGTGAAAAGTCATTTGTTTTGGTAAATTGGAGAACACCGTGTAGCCTTGATACTGTTTCCGACTTTTCTCCATAAGATTCTGGGATTTCACTAGTTTATCTACTAGGGATGTGACGAATCCACTTTTTTGGTATTCGACTGAATACCGAATAGTAGCTATTAATATATGTCAAAATGGACAATGACAAATCAGACACACCTGATTGAAAAAAAATCTTGCCATGTTTATTTTTACAGTGCTGTAAAATCTTTTTGTAAATTAAAGTGATTCATAGCATATTTATGGCCATTATCAGATGACCTATGCAAATCTATTTGAGATATGCACAAAGTTTAAGAAACCTTAAACTTATATTTGTATTTTCTGTGTGCAATTTGACTACAGTACAAACTCCATAGCATGATTCGTGCGTTTTGGGTGAAATCATTCAAACTGTATTTAATACCTATAGTTTACTCTGGGCAAATTGCATTATTAAAAAAAAAAACACCAGCCTGTCTGCATTCTCGGGGAGAAGTCTGCGGCGATGGTCTCCGTGGAGATCTCAGCAGAACTGCGGCTCTGGAGGGAACACTGCTTGGCGGAGCTCCAAGAACAGACATCGCGATCGCTGCGAGATTAGGAGGCCTGATTGCGTTGTGTTTCCACCATTCCACAGGGTCGGCGGACCGGGGAGTGCAGGGCTCTGTCAGATTCAGTGACAGCTCCGTCTCCGCAGCGATTGAGGAAACTGTGGACTGAGATTCCTGTACAATTTCATCCCAGAAACTCCAGACTTGTAGTCTCCATGCAAGATTTCTTTGTCGGCGGCTTGATAAACAGTTTCTTTGTTTTCAGTTTTGATTTGCCAATCACCATTATTGGCATTTTCCTGCCTGGTTTCTTCTTCAAGACTCTGAACAATTGCTTTAACATGCAAATGATTTTTTTTTTTTTTGGTCTGAGCTGGATGGGTACAGCTTAAATCATGGGTTCAGCCTAAAAAACCACCATAACTTAACTGATCAATTTCAACATGGACTGTTTTTGGTTTTTAAATAAAGCATCATTAATGCACATCTGCAGGGTTTTGCCAAACAGCCCAAACTGTATACATTACCAATCATTAAAAGCTCTTATTTTTTTTTAAATATTAGTGCCGTTATCATGGAGAACAGCATGGCAAGCTGTCTTTGGCAGCCTGTCATTTTTCTAGCATTTTCAGAAATTCATCGGAAATGGCGGTACCTGTGTTTCCCTTCGAAAGCCTCTCAGTACAGCACTCCTGTTCCTCTGTTAAAAACTCCTTGTTAATCCAGTGATCTTATAGGCCAAGGAAATATTTTGTGGTGGTGTTCTGGGTCCATACACCAGCAATGAAGGAGATAGATTTGTGTACTTGTGTTTTTTTTTTCGTTTTTGTTTTTGTTTTTTTAATCAGCGTTAACATGGGCAGGCACCCTCATTTTTAGATGTCAGGAAACGTTCAGTGAAAGACGTGTAGAATGGGATGTGATACCAAGGTTCCAGTTCTCTGAGCAGTCTAAAGAGGCCCACATCCTCCACCACAGAACCTGGCTCTGTACCACGTGCTGCTCCCTCTCAGCCTCTTGCGGATCTTCACGGCCCCGGAGACTTGTTTCTCCGCGGTCCCTCCTGGACTGCACACTGCACCATAGCTTACTGGGCTGATCTAGATGTCTGTGTGTTGTATGGAGATTTTGGGGGAAATATCCAAAACACAAACTGTGGTTTGAAATATTAACCGTCTCCTTGGTTCCTTGATACTCACCGTGCCTGATCTGCACATTTCATCGTGGCTGTTTCTGTATAGCCTAGACTGCATTAGCCCAAGAGATTGTTGCTTTGTAACTTTTTGCACTATTGTTTTGGCTGGATTTGTATTACACACAGTTTTAAAAAAAAAAATTCCACACTATTCTCTGCCTTTTTTTTTCCCCATAATTATTCTTTCCCGTACAAATTCTGCCGAGAGGCCTCTCCTCCAGCTCTTCGTGATTTGGCTGCTCTTGAACATTGATTGTCCATTTCCAACCCTCAGCAATGTGCCTCCTAATGGCATGACCTATGTAGATGTGCTGCAGCACTTGTTAATGGTCACAATAAATTTTACTTCACCAAGGAAGTCTCAGATGAACGATTCTGAACATCAAAAATTTATTTGGGGGGGCAATGATCAACTGAATTGCAAATTTTGGGGGAAAATGGCACTATCCGTGTACGAATCGAATACAAATCAAAGATTTGTCACATCCCTAATAAAAAAAAAGATGGAGATGTCTCTGCGACCATATTTGTAATCTACACAGTGTGTTGGGTTTATGTCTTTCCCCCCCAAATTGAGTGGTTCTTTGCTCCAAATCAATCAGCGATCCTGCAGCTTTGATAGCATCGGGTTTTAGGTTGGAATTTGGGCTCTGTTGTCTGCATATAGCTTTAGAGAAGGAGTACTGAAATAAATGCTTTAGTAGAGAAGTTGTAAATTAAATCATTCCACTATCAGAAAGGTCTGAAGTTTTGACTTGTGACTTCAGGATTACAAAGAGAGCTGTGCTTTTTCACACTGCAGATGAGTTTGGGGAAAGAAAATATTCTGCCACAAAACAAAACAAAACAAAACAAACAAAAAAATCTTAAGCACTATTTTAGGATTAATTTCGGTGTGTTGTATTAAGGTGCCAGCGAGATTTCAGATTCCTGTAAACCTCTAAAGAAAAGGAGTCGTGCTTCAACTGATGTAGAAATGACTAGTTCAGCATACAGAGACACATCTGACTCCGATTCTAGAGGACTGAGTGATCTGCAGGTAAATATGGCCGAGAATCTGGGCACAGTGCTCAAATTTTTGCTTTGCAAAACCAAATAACTTGATGCTTTACCTAACTTAATTGGTGAGATTGAGAAATCTTGAGAATCTGCATGAAAAGAGATTGTTTTGTTTATTTTCTAACTGATCAGTGTCTTGAGCTCACTAATCCCTTATGTAACAAATGTAGGGTTTTTTTGGTTGTTTTTGGTTTTAATTTTAACCACAGCTTCTCACAAAACCCTAGATTTTAGACAGAAAACAAAAGAGATTGCAGCGAGGTTTTTCTTAAGCAAGTCTTATTAGGGTTTTTATGAGAAAACCTGGGGAAATTTTTGTTTTGTTTGTCTTACGGAATCTGTTATATTTTCTCTGTAGGTAGGCTTTGGGAAGCAAGTAGATAGCCCTTCAGCTACTGCAGATGCCGACATTTCTGATGTACAGTCAGTGGACTCAAGTCTTTCCAGAAGAGGCATGGGAATGAGTAAGAAGGACTCAGTGTGCCAGGTAGGCCGGTGACCTGCCTGTCCCCTGGACAGACTGCTTGTTGCTCTGTCAGTGCTGTACTGCTGTTGCAGAGGGCATCTTTCTAACTCTGGTTGTAATTCTCTGTTCTTGATTGGAAAGAAATGGCGGGTATAAAAATACATCGTATCTTTCATTAATTCAGTTTTGTTTGTTTTGGGGGCAACACCCGAAGATGCTCAGGACTTATTCCTGGCTCTGCAACTCAAGAATTACTCCTGGCGGTACTTGGGTGACGGTATGGGACGCCAGGGATCAAACCTGGGTCCACATGCAAGGCAAGTGCCCTAGCCACTAGACTGTCTCTTCGGCCCCTTTTTATTTTTCTTAATCTTTTTTTTTTTTTTGGTTTTGGGGTCACACCCAGAGGCACTGGGGGGCTACTCCCTGTTCCATGCTCAGGAGTTATTCCCATTGGTGCTTGGGGACCATATGTGGTGCCGGGCATTGACCTGGGTTTCCCTCTATGCAAAGTGTGCCCTCAACTCCTTGACCTGTATTCCATCCCCAAAAAATGTTTTCTTAAACTTGTTAGCTTTTTTTTTATTTTGGGGGGCCACACCCAGCAGTGCTCAGGGGGCGGGATGCGGGCGATCTTGCTTTTCCAGTCACGTGCCAGGCAAGCACTTTATCCACTGTATCATCTCTCAGGCCCCAAGTTTATTGACGTTTTAAGTGTGTGTTTATATGTATATTTCAAGAGAGTACTCTTGAAAAATGCTGCTTTCTTCTATGAAGAAAAAGTTGAAAGCGTGCAGATTACGAAGAAGAAATGGTAGAAACTCAACTATACTCAGACTTTTTAAATCTTTATTCTGTACATGGTCTGGAATTGTCATCCGTTGGTTCAGAGAGTGGGGTACAAGCTTTCGGAGTATGTGCATTATCAGGATACTTGATGGGAATGCCAGTTCTGGACCCTGCCCCAGACCTGACCAGAGCAGGGAGGCGAGACCCTCCTCCAGGTGGCTCTCCGGGCCGACTCCAGTGGACCCACTGCTTTTTTGTCCTCCAACAGATCTGTGAAAGCTCTGGCGACTCTTTGATTCCTTGTGAGGGAGAGTGCTGCAAGCATTTTCACATGGAGTGCCTGGGGCTAACATCGCTGCCTGACGGGAAGTTCATATGCGTGGAATGTAAAACCGGTAAGCTTACCTATTGGGATTAATGCCAAAAGCTGGACAAAGAGAAGTGTGCAATGCCACCATCTTCCATGACATCTATTTTTCTTACACTTTTCATCTCTTTATTTTCCTTTCCCATAACTGTTTCAGATTAAAACCAGAAGAGACTAGTCTATTGATAACTCTGAACAGAATAATTCATAAGTTTAGCTTCCTAAGATTGATGTGTAGTTAGCATGTTTTTTTTTTTTTGGTCAAATTTCTCCTTCCTTTGCCATTTATCGAGTAGTCAATATGTATTTGCATTTTCTCTAACTAGAGATTGTAAGTTGAATTACTTTTCAGGTGGGTTGAGTTTTTGTTTTTAATAAATTGATTTTAAGCTTCCTGATTCTAAGAGACTGGAATCAGTGTAAATCAGAAACTATACATGGTTATTGTACTCTCAGCGGAGAGTCAAGCTACTGGAAGTTATCCTTAAAACATGAGGGCCCATCACGGAATGGGGGTGGAGCCGACCCTTTCTTCCCCACCCCAACAAGAACCCGAGCTGTCGCCCACGAATAGTCTCTCTGACTCCTGATCAAGCTGCTTAACGGCCATGATCCAAGAGACTCAGGAACAAATCTCGGAACCCAGCAGGTTTTGGCAGAAATCTCTCCAGATTTAATTGTTAAAATTTCGGAATTTCAAAATCGCGCGGCCACTACTGCAGCCAAGCAACATCATATGTTATTCATAACCAGCAATAGAGAACAAATTGTCTACTGTTGCCTTTTCAGCAGATCTGAGTGTTAGGGTAAAAATCCCAAGTAATAATGGTGGGTCTGGTGTCAAAACATTGAATGTGATCAAAGTAGAGAGAGAGTAATGTGGAAATCATCTGCCCCACAGGTAGGGGAGGGTGTGGGATGGGGGTATACTGGGGTTGTTGGGGGTGGAGAATGGGCACTGGTGAAGATACGGGTATTTCATTGTATGACCAAGACTTAGACCCGAAAGCTTTGTAACTGCTCTCGTGGTGATTTAATAAATAAAATTATAAAAAATGGGAAAAAAAAAGTAAGGTGGAGTTCATGCCCAATTCAATCAGCTAATCAGTGGCTGAACAAATAGCAGTACTCCTACATTTAAAAAAAAAAAAAAAATCATGAGGGCCCAGACTCACCATTCTTCCGTTTTCCGTTGTTTGTTTTTGTTTTGGGGGCCACTCTCTGCTGTGCTTAGAAGTTACTCCTGGCTCTGTGCTCCAGGTGGTGCTCAGGAGACCATGTAGGATGCCAGGTACCAAGCCTGGGTCCACACCAAAGTAATAAAAAAAGTTGTTTGTTTGTCGTTGTTTGGGAGCCACACCCAGCATTGCTCGCGAACTAATGGCTCTGCACTCAGGAATTAATCCTGGTGGGGCTTGGGGGACATATAGGATGCCAGGAATCAAACTCAGGCCAGCCGCTTGCAAGGCAGATGCCCTCCCTGTTGTATTATGGCTCTTGGCCCCTAAACTTTAATTTTATTTCTGCAGCATTGCCAGCAGGGAGAAATTTTTGCCTGTCAGTTGTAAATACTCTTTTAAAGGATTTTTGAACCCAGAGAGATAGTTCAGCAGGCTAATTGCATACTTTGCTTGCAGGAGACAAGGTGACTCACCCATACCACATGGCCCCATGAGCACCGCTGCCATGAACACTGCGCCCCTCAACCCCCCAAATAAATGAAGGACTTTTGTAATTCAGCGAGTTAAATTTAACTGTCTTTGAAAAATCTAAACAAACCTTGTATCGCTGCTAAATTTTTTTCAACCTTAGACAAAAGTGTCTGGAGAGATAATACAACAGGTAGGGCCCATAGAGGGGACCCGGGGTTTGATCTCCGGCACTCCATACAGGCCCCAAGCCTCACCAGCAACAGCCCCTCACCTCACAGTCAGGAGTGACCCCGAAGTACTGCGAAGTGTGGGTCGAAAACAAAGGAAGGAGAGAGGGTGGGAGGGCAAGAGATTTAAAATCTTTTTCAAGTGGCCAATTAATGGTTAAAATTTTCCCTTGTAAACAGACACAAAATGAAAACATCCACTTTTTCCCAACATTGTATGAATGTTTCTTACAAAATAATATTAAGAAAATGTTGATAAGAACAGAAAAATAAAGAGAATAGAATTCTGAAAATTTCTGAAATATAATTGCGTTCTTTATGTATTTAGATATTGATTTCTTGTGAGATAATATAGATTGCAGTTATTTTTTTCCATTTTGATTTTGTAGCTTGTTTCTTTGTTTTGTTGATTGTTTCTGGTTTTTTTTGTGTGTGGTTTTTTTTTTTTTTTTTTTTTTCCCAGTTCACGGGCTGGCCATTTGTTCAATACAATATATCGGTTCCCTGCTCTGGTTCCCAGCACCATGCCCTTAGTTTTAAAAAGACAGAAAAGGATTGGAGTGATGGTATAGGGTGCTGGCCTTGCACCACACAGCCAACCCACATTCAACCTCTGGCATCCTGTATTGTCCCCTGAGCCTGCAAGGAGTGATCCCTGAGCACAGAGCCCTGAGTAAGCCCTGAGCACCACAGGGTGTGACCCCCAAAACAAAAATAAATGGGCAGAAAATTACGCATATAGCTGCACCTATAATTACATGTAGCTACACATATATTTAGATTAGGAAAACAATGTTTAAATATCACAGAAATGATAGTTGCCATTAAAGAAAATAATAAGCATGTTATATTTTTGCATATCTTTATTTTTACCCATTTTTTCCTACATATTGACTTTCCCTTCATCTTCTTCATTCATTATTTGCAGCATTAGAGGTCTGCATATCCCTTGTTAGTATTTAACATTTATTCCTAATTATACAAATAGTAGGTATAATGTTGTGAAAATATTCTAACACGATTCTGGGTGTTTTACTCTTTAAGCACTTGAATTTTAGTACAAAGTGAGAGATGGAGGTCAAATCAACTTTCATTGCTATACCTAAAAATTGATTATTAATACTTTTCTAGAAAAATTTATTAGTTTTTAATATAACCATTTCTTTTCAATGTCTTTTTGTAAGTGAAATAATTTTACTAATAGCCTTTTGGGGATGACTCTTTGATGTCAATTACTGCTTCTACTTAAAAGGAATGTGCTTTAAGCCAGAGCAATATGACAGCAGTTAAGGCGTGTGCCTTGTACGTGGTTGACCAACGTTCGGTCTTCGGGATCCCATATGGTCCCCTGAGCACCGCCAGGTATAATTCCTGCGTGCAGAGCCAGGAGTAACTCCTGCGCATCGCTGCGTGTGACTCAAAAACCAGAAATTAAACAGGAATTGGTTTCATCAAATTTTATTTAATCCATGTTTTTCAACTAATTTTCCAGGACAACACCCATGTTTTTCATGTAAAGTTTCTGATACAGATGTGAAGCGTTGCTCTGTTGGTGCTTGTGGGAAGTTCTATCATGAAGACTGTGTCCGCAAATTCCCCACTGCCATCTTTGAATCAAAAGGATTCCGCTGTCCCCAGCACTGCTGTTCTGCCTGCTCTATGGAGAAAGATATCCACAAAGCAAGTAAAGGTAAAAACAGCTAAAGAAGGGCTGGGTGTTCAGGTTTTCATATATATATATGTGTGTGTGTATATATATCACAAATCACAAATCATCCTGTTAATCGTCGATTGCCTCGAGCAGGCCCCAGTAACGTCTCCTTCATCCTAGCCCTGAGATTATATTCAAGGCTCTTCAGGAGAGTGAGACCCATCATTGTTACTGGTATTTGGCATATTGGGTATGCCACGGGGAATTTGCCAGACTCTGCCGTGTAGCCTGCCAGTTTGTCCAGAGTAGGAATGAGATAATAAGATGTCATAATAGGATGTCGCGCAGCCACGAATTCATATATATATGAATAAGATTATGTGCATTATTTTAAAGAGCAAATACAGGGCTGGAGTGATAGCACAGCGGGTAGGGCGTTCGCCTTGCATGCAGCCAACCTGGGTTCGATCCCCAGCATCCCACATGGTCCCCCAAGCACTGCCAGGAGTAATTCCTGAGTGCAGAGCCAGAAATAACCCCTGAGCATCGCTGGATGTGACCCAAAAAGCAAAAAAATAAGTGAAATAAAATAAAGAGCAAATACAGCTCTAGATCTTCCTGTATCTCCCAGTGATGCCTTTTTACAGGGTTTTTTCCTTCACTTATCTTTGGGCAGGCCGAATGATGAGATGTCTGAGATGTCCTGTAGCCTATCACTCCGGAGACTCTTGCATTGCTGCCGGAAGCATGTCTCTGTCCCCCTACGTCCTCATCTGCAGTGACCACTCCAAACGGAGCAGCAGTTCTTCCTCTGCTGTAAATGTAGGGTTTTGTTTCGTTTGTGCAAGAGGTGAGTGTCGAGCCTTTCTCTGGATTTCTTTACGAGTTTATTGGTGTATTACTCCATTACGTTTGATTTTCAGTAATATCTTTGAGAGAAAGGAATACCTCCAGTATCTATCCCTCTTGTAACTTTAAGACATTCAAATAGTTGTGGTATCAATTCTTTCATGCATTGAGCTAAAATCTGCATTTTAAAATAGTAAATTTATGAATTATTCTTTTCAGAGTTATCGATAGACTAGTCTCTTCTGCAGTTCTCATGTCATATTCTTCTCCTATAAATTTTCCCCATGTCATATTCCTTAATACAGGCTTTTCAACTGATTGAGATATCACTTGGAAGACATACATATATATTTTTTCAGTTGATTATTTTGCAATTTATTGTGTTTTGGTCTGGCATTGGGGAAGGCCTCATGGATACAGCCAAGACAACATATGTGGTGGTGATAATTAAGAGCCAAGGGTGCATACTTGCTTTCTTGCCAGCTGTTGATATTTAAGTATGCCAAGAGATTGATCAACTAGAAAACAATATTGTGTCCCGGGGCTTGGGGACAGGGGTGAGCAGTGATACTGAGTTTGTGATTTATATAAAACTTAGTTAAATGTGATACAGAATGTCTAGCTTTATTTTAGCTGTATTAGGAATCATTTAATATCCTCAAATGCAGTTTGTTCTCACACATTCTCTCTGTTAAAAGTATAATTGATAAGTTTTCAAATTTCACTTAGTGTGAAATATCCGAAAGGACTTTGGTGTCAGGCCTGTGAGATTGTATTTAGAATACAGTGAAGGTGGTTTTGGTTTACCTTAAGAGGCAGCCTTAATTTGTTGACAGTATATTAATAAGTTATGTTTAATAAGATGTATGTACTATATAAATCTTTGATGTATAGATTTATACATCTTATTTTTTAAAAATCTTATTTTTAAAAAATCTTATTTTTAAAAAGTAAAAGGGACCAGAGCAAAAGTATAGTGGGCAAGGTATTTGGCATGTGGGCAACCTGGATTGATCCTGTCATCCATTATGGTCTCCTGAGCACGTCCAGGAGCAGTATCTGAATGCAGAGCCAGGAAGAAGACCCGAGCATTGCTGGGTGTGACCCCAAAACCGAGTAGTTTCTTAAAACTTTTTAAAATGATAAACTGTGGGGCTCAAGGGATGATAATACAGTGGGTAGGGTGCTTGCTTTGCACATGGCTGGCCCAGATTCAATCCTCAGCATCCCAGATCATCCCCGAGCCCCACCAGGAGTAATTCCTGAGTGCAGAGCCAGGAGCAACCCCTGAGCCTTGCCAGCTGTGGCCCAAAAACAAAGTATAAGGCAACGGACAATAAAAGCTTAAATAATTGATGTCTTTTTGTCCCAGCCACAGGACTCATTGTAGAGACTGCTTTCATTATGCCAGAGATTGGTAATGAGGAGGGCTGTCTTTCCTTAGAGGGGCACTGTTGTGTCTTTCTTTACTAAAGAATTAGAGTTGCTCTTGAATTCTGCTAGTACTGGAGGGAAGGAAGAGGGGAGGACTGAAATGCTTACTGTGCGACATTGTTACAGGTTGTCCAAGTAAATGAGTGTCTTGTCCATATGTCTTTATAGATAATGCTACTATATGTATCAGTGGTTAATGATTTGTGCAAAGTATAAAACTGTTCAATTTTAATTAGATGATCCATGCTCATTTATTATACTATTAAGCAAATAAGCAATTTCTGCATTAAATTTTTTTTAATCAAAAGTAACTATAAAATGTAAAGAATGAATTGCCATTAAGTGACTACTTTTGGAGATTTTTAAGCAAATGTGTATCAGGATAACAAAGTATATCACTTTATATTTTATTCTACCATTCTATTCACTTACTTTTACGCGAGGTGTGTACATGGTGTGCATGTCTGTGTTTGTGTAACTGGTATCAGGTTTATAACTACTATCTTGTCTTACTTTGGAGCACAGTTTTTTTCTTGTTGGTTTTTGGGTCACAGCTGGCAGTGCTCAGGGTTTATTCTTGGCTCTGAGCTCAGGGATCACTCCTATACTGTCACTCTGGCCCCTGGAGCATATTCTTAATAAAGCACAACCAACACTGTATTAGGTGTTAAATAATACCTCTTCTGAGGCCTTTAAAATTTAAGTTAGGTAGGAAATGGACCACTGTCAGGGAACCTGACCGTTTATAGAAACTAGCTATTTTTGTGGGTTTAACAATAAGCATTGATTAAAAGCTTGAGATCATGTGAATGAGGGGGGAAACTCAGGGGTTTTTTTGTTTTGTTTCGGGGGGGGTGGGTCAAACCTGGCATTGCACAGGGGTTCCTCCTGGCTCATGCACTCAGGAATTACTCCTGGCGGTGTTTGGGGGACCATATAGGATGCTGGGAATCAAACCCGGGTTGGCCGTGTGCAAGGTAAATCCACTGTGCTATACTCCAGCCTGAAACCCAGTTTTAGCAACAGTATCTATGCTTACATCTTATTAATTTGACAATATGAAAGTTACTTTATTTATATGCCTATATATGAAAGCTTAGTAAGTTCCCTGTATTTTAACTGAAGTTGTTTTCAGTAAACAGAAACTTTGCTTTGTTTTGTCTGGTTTTTGTTTTTTGTTTTGTTTTGTTTTGTTTTTGCTACACCTGGCAGTGCTCAGGGCTTACTCATGGGCTCTGCACTCAGGGATCACTCCTGGCGACTAATTGGGGGGCTGGAAATTAAACCTGGGTGGGCCTTGTGCAAGGCAGATCGCCCTACCTGCTGTACTATTGCTCCAGGCCCTACAAAGAAACTTATTTCCCAGCATTTTACAAAAGCTTACTCTAAACAGATGATGAAATTCGAGAAAACTATTTCTATCATTTTTTAAAAATGAATATATATTTTAAAAAATCCATGTTTCATCTTTTTTAATATTTTAATCATTTAATCATTTCTGGTGTTAGAAAACTTATTCTTTATTTATTATTTGCCTTTGTTTCTTGTCTCAGAATTTTTGTCCTGTAAAGGATTTTTCTCATTTCTTAATTATCATTTAAAGTCACTAGGGTTAATCAATGGCTGAATAAATAGCAATACTCCTACATAAAAAATAAAAAGAAAGTCACTCAGGTAATTTTTATTGTTGTTGTTGTAATTGGGGGAAGGGTTGGGCCACTCCCAGCAGTGCTCAGGGGCTATTCCTGACATTGTATTCAAGAGTGACTCCTGTTGATGCTGGGGGCTAGATGTGGTCGGGTCCAGGCTGGGCCTGGGGTCAGCCGCAGGCACAGTGAGGGCCTCACCTCCTGATGCTCTCCAGCCTCCGGAGCCATTCTTCAGGACAAACGAGTAACAGTGCGTTCAGAACGTTTAAAGATTTAGAGGACCCTTTCTCCTTCCCTCTCCCTATAATATCATGGAAAATGTTGAATCACTTCAGTGTTGTGTATACATTGTTGTGTATACCCTGTGCATCGCAGGGGTGGCCCAAAAAGCAAAAATAAATAATAAATAAAATTTTAAAAAACTCAGCATGATTTGTATCTTAAGGATTCAGATTCTTTTAGACTAACTAGAAATCAGAGAAGTTTTTCACTGATTTCATAATTCCACAGGTTTGAGTGGCTTATTGCTATATGATGAACTTAATTAAGAGAAAGAGGACGAGAAAGAAGTGGGTGTTACAGGTAGTTGAGAGTAGATCTTACATTTTTTTCCAAGTAGGATAACTTTATTGGTGGAGCAAAGGGGCGATTTTTATTAGTATCTTAAGTAGGTAATCATTATATATCATGATAAAGGATATATTGTAATGATTTCCACTAAGTAAAGTTAAAATTTTATGATTCCTCTAGAATCATACATCTTACTACTAGGAAAAAACTTCATTATGACAGGAAATTTGACTGTAGTATATTTCAAGATATGAATAGAGAAGAGACTCAATTCTGCATTTAAGTGCCACTTGATAATTGAAGGCATATCAGACTCTGGCTCTGTTATGTTCTTATTCCTAGTAAGTAAGCCCTGTGTCATCTTATTCTTTGAAATGCCATCATAGTGCATCTAAATGTTAAGGAATAGAGCCTTATTTTTGGTATAATGTCAAATGCAATTTACATCTTTAAATTGATTTGAAATTTTCTGCTGTATATAGGTTTCTTGATAGGGATAAGGCATTAAGTAGCTTAAGCTCCCTTTAATAACTTTAGAAAGCCTCCTATCAGATCTTCATTTTTCTTCATATTCTTCCACCACCCCTCCCCCCCATGAAGCAGCTACATCATAGGTACTGATTTATTTTTCATCCTCATGGAATCATGGGTAGTTTCATTGCAGCTCATCTCTTTCTGTTTGTTTCGTATAGGGCTGATAGTTCAGGACCATTCAGACCCCATGTTCAGTTCATATGCCTATAAGTCCCACTACCTACTGAATGAATCAAATCGTGCAGAGTTGATGAAATTACCTATGATTCCTTCTTCGTCAGCTTCCAAAAAGAAATGTGAGAAAGGTAATAATCAAAATAGTTTATCTCTTGCTTTTATTTTTGCATTTCCTATTTTTCTCTCTTTAAATAAGGGGGGAAATGTATGCCTGTCAAGCGCCATCTATTGCTTTCGGTAAATTCTACCTTGGTGGTTGTGACTGTCTTCATATGGCTGCAAAATTATTTAAAGGGGCTTAAAATAATTCCATTGTTACAAAATTTTACTAATTCTTGTCCTGAAATAATTTCATACCTTCCATATACCTGTGGGTTATCAAAACTGAAAGACTAGAATTTTACTCAGTATAAAAGAATATTGTAGGACTTTTTCTTTTTTACCCAGTGTAGAGCTTTCGTGGTAAAATAGAATAGAAAGGATATAATATGTTACTTTCAACTAAATAACAAAATGGGTTCTTAAATAGGACACCAAAATTATAATATTTAAATTAGTTTAGGATACAATCTCTCTCAATCTCTCTCTCTCTCTCTCTCTTTTTCTCTCTCCCCCCCCCTCTCTGTCTCTGTCTCTCTCTGTGTATACTTTTGATAAAAAGTATGCTATGAAAATTAGTTGCCCTTCTCCTACAAGATGAGGTGCTGGGTTGCAGCTGGAGCAGATTCCCCAATATAGACTCTTGCAAGGCAGATCAGTTTAATTGAAGAATTATTTATGGATAGTGTGTGTGTGTGTTCATGTGTGCGCGCGCGCCAGAGCTCAGACTCAGAGCCTCATAGTTGCAAGCATATCCTCTATCACTGAGCTACATCCCCAGCTGCTTATATATAGATAATTTAGCCACAGAGAACCAAGAGCTAAATGTATCTCAGAATCTCGCAGTTAATCTAAGGAAGAAAATCTTGCCTTGTGCTTAGCTTTACATAACCTACTGGTAATAAGGGAAAAATTGGTTTCATAATAATATAATATTTGGAAATTTTTATCCCAGATGGTCAAAATAAATAACCTGAAATTGTGAGAACCTGTAGATTTTCCCACTATTATGTAGAGGCTAGGGTGAGAATCTTTAAAGAAAAATTAATCTAGACCTAATACACACTAGAAATTTAAAATGGGTTTCTCCCTATTCCCACCATCGTTCTTTGTGTTGCCTGCTTGATGTAACTTTATTCCATCTGAAGGGGCAACTCATAACAAAGAAAGTTGAACTAAAAAGTGAGTTGATTTGAGAGCCTAAGGGAGAAGTGGGTTTTTAAGTGCACTGACATTCCCATTGTCATTGAAGTCAGAGTATAATGACAGCTTGCTGGTGATACCATCTGCATCCAAAATAAAGGTAGACATAGGTCAGACTGATTCCATAATGCAATATAGTTAGACTAACCAGGCGTTAGGAAATACCATATCTCCCTGTTGGTGCACTTACGAAGTTAGAGTAATTCAGTTGTTGCTTACTTTGTTCTTAGTATTCAGCACTAATCTTGACATGAACGGAAATTATTTTGAGCCCTCTGTTTGCTTGCTTAGCTTCAACCATGCTCTCTCTCACATCCCAAAGCAGTTTTCGTGCATAGCACCAAGGTGGATTGTTTGCATTTTCATTTTTTTCCTTTCTTTGTGTAATTTTTGGTCCAAAATCATAATAATTTTTTACTTAAGATTCTGTCTGTATTTCCTCTGAAGACTTAAAATTAAGGCTGGGCCTTAATGTTAAAGTGGCCAGCCTGAATATTCCATGTTAGCTCGAGTAATTACGTATCCTCCAAAGCTGTTTTCAAAGACTGCTCTCCCTATTGGTCATCCTTTCTGTTGAAAAATTAGAGCGAATTATTTTATTTTACTTTGAACTTACAGAAGAGTTCACTGTGTAGGAGAAGAGCACTCAGGTAGCGAATCTCTAGTCTCGAGAATTGGAGCAATTAATGCATATTAAAATATCTACAAAGGAAAAAAATCTCAATGATTGAAGTAAATGCTTTGAAGCAGAGGAAATATAGTAATTTTATTCATCACTGATTGTATATGAATTTCTTTTTATGCTAATCATTTAGAACTTTGAAAGCCTACAGAACAATAAAAGCGTAAGGAAAAATCATAGCAAACCCTTTAATGGTTGGAGCATATGATTTGCATAGGTCTCTTCAACTTTTGCTTATGATGCTTTAAATCTCCATAGATCGATTTTCTGCTGGAAAGATTTTTTTTTCTTTTCAGTAGATGTTTTTATTATGTTCCATCTCTCCTGGTAAACATCCTTCACCACCACTTGTTAGAATGATCTCCACCAAATCTGTTTTATTTTTTTGCATTTATACATGTTTTGTTTGCTATACCTATTTTGTTCTTAATTCAAAGATCGTCTTGTGAACTTCGAAGATTTTGCTAGGGAATTTAGAAGGAATTCCTTGTGTGTGGTGCTTCATTCTACCCTGATATTTATGCTATAAAGCAGTGGTTCTCAAGAAATCAGAAAAGACTTTATAAGACAAATTTTGGGGGCGGGGGACTGGAGAGAATGATAAAGAGCTGGAGCACCTGCTTTGCATGCAGGAGCCTGAGGTTCAAACCCCAGCGCTGCATGATCCCTGAGCACTGCTGGGAGTACACCCCAAGTACCCTCCCTTTCAAAACCTTTCTACAATTCAGATACCTGAAGCACCAGAATCACGCATTTGTGCAAAATAAGGTTGCAGACGATTCTTTATATCTGGCTGTAATTTGGGTAGAGGAGTGTTGTGGGCACATCCAGCAGTGCTCAGGGGATCTCTTATTGCTGGGATTGAACCAGGGCCAGTCACATGCAAGGCAGCCGTCTTCATGCGTTGCCCTGCAGGGGGCTGACTGAGGTAGCGATTTCCCCTGTACTATGTCTCTGGCCCTTTGGCAATGATTTTTAACAATTCAATATGATAAATGGTAATTTTATTCTAGAGCTCAGAAGCTCTGATTGGCAGTTACATATTGCTTTGTTTAGTTAAAATGTGAGGTTGTTACATTTAAAATATAGGGACTGGCAGAAATGTGGCTTAGAGGTAAAATGTTAGCCTTGCATGCTGAGACATGGGTTCAGTCCCCAGCACCATAACAATGACAGTAATATACCATAAAAATTAAGTGTAAGAATTTGGTTTTGAGGCAGTTTGGTGTTTTTTTATTTTTTTTGGTTAATATATTTCAAAACATGTAGGTTCATTACAAAGGGAGATCGTGGGTGATGAAAGCTGCAAACCACTGCTGTATAGCCTTTTTGACTTAATCCTCACCGAAAAGGGACTAATAATGTAATCATCAATTTGAGAGTGCCATCTTTTCACGTTTTTGTATTTTATGGGACGAAGAAATGGTTGATCAACCTGTTGGCCATTTAAATTTTTACTTACTTTGTTAAAAGGGATTTAGTTAACTGTAGCACTGGATTAAAATACAAAGACGACTGATACTTCTTCCTTTCACTCTCAAGAAATTTGCTACATACTTGTTTGAAAAATTTTCCCAGTTTACTGAAATCTACTCTAGACTTTATGCATCTGTTTTGTCCTGTGTTAAAAAGTTTCGGCTCCCGCCAAGCGAAGAAAGCAGGAACGTTTTCTGTACTCAAGAGCTTTCAGCTTCTAGCCGCCGAAGACCTGAAAAGGGACTGAAGTGGCCAAGTGTGTTCTGTCGTTTCCTGTTTCAGTTCCATTGCTACACGCATAACTAAATCCCTTTCTTGTCCCCTCCACCCCGTTCGAGTCGAACCTAATGTAAACCTCACGTGCTTCAGAGGCCACGTTCTCCCTTTTCTTTCCTCTCTCCCCCTCGCTGTTGTGTGTTCCAAGGGGGAAGACTGCTGTGCTGCGAGTCGTGCCCGGCCTCCTTCCACCCCGAGTGCTTGAGCATCGCCATGCCGGAAGGCTGCTGGAACTGCGACGACTGCAAGGCTGGCAAGAAGCTGCACTACAAGCAGATCGTTTGGGTCAAGCTGGGGAATTACAGGCAAGTGTTTCTGAGGACAGGGAGGAAGTGTTCTGTCGTTGTTCGTGGCCTCTAAGAAGGTGGCGAAGGTGGGTAAGACTGCATAGAGCTGCTTCCTTGGGAAAAGAGAAAGGGGCCAGAGACACAGTACAGCGGGTCGGGGGCTTGCCCTGCACGTGGCCAACACAGGTTCATTTCTGGGACCTCGTATCATCCCGTAAGCACTCCCAGGAGTGCGCCCTGAGCATCAAACCTCTCCCTCCCCCTCCAGAGAAGAGGGCACCAAGGAGAGTGCAGAGGGCTCGAGCAGCCACTTTTTTTTTTTTTAACGTAGGAGTCCTGCTATTTATTCAGCCACTGATTAGGCTGATTGAATTGGGCATGAACTCCACCTTACTTTTTTTTTTCATTTTTTATAATTTTATTTATTGAATCACCGTGAGAGCTGTTACAAAGCTTTCGGGTTTAAGTCTCGGTCATACAATGAAACACCTGTACCTTCACCAGTGCCCATTCTCCACCACCAAAAACCCCAGTACCCCCCCAACCCACACCCTCCCCCTACCTGTAGGGCAGATGACCTCCAGATTAGTCTCTCTCTACTTGGATCACATTCAATATTTTGACACCAGACCCACCATTATTATTCGGGATTTTACCCTAACACTCAGATCTGCTGAAAAGGCAACAGTAGACAATTTGTTTTCTATTCCTGGTTATGAGTAACATGTGATATTGTACAGCTGCAGCAGTGGCCGTGCAATTTTGAAATTCCGAAATTTTAACAATTAAATCTGGAGAGATTTCTGCCAAAACCTGCTGGGTTCTGAGATTTGTTCCTGAGTCTCTAGGATCATAGCCGTTAAGCAACTTGATCAGGAGCCAGAGAGGCCATTTGTGGGTGGGTCTTGTTGGGACGGGGAGGAAAGTGCTGGCTCCATCCCCATCCCGTGAGGCCCCACTTGTCTTGTCACTGAGGGCCCAAACCTAACTGACATTCAATGGCCTCTGGAGGATGGCAGCCACCGAGCCGCCAAGGGGGAGCACGTGGAGGGACAGCACCCTTTCCCCCCTGGGATGGCCTGGCGACAGTAACCTACTGCGGGATCCAGTCGCATTCCTTCAAGCACCCACTTTTCAAAAAAAATGTTTTTCTTTCATTATTTTAAATTTACTTATTTTACTGAATCACCATGAGATGCAGTTACAGACTTACAAATTCTCATGATTATGTTTGAATCAAACATCGTTTGAGTACCAAACCCTCTCCCAATGCCCTTTCTCCGCCACCAATGTTCCCATGTCCCTCCTGCTGCCCCCACCTCTTCCCACCCCCTGCCTCTGTGGCAGACGCATTCCCTCTTACTCTCTCCTTTTGGATGTTATGGTTTGCAGTGTAGGCACTAAACAGCCACTGTGTGTGATCCATAGTCTACTTTCAGTAGCATCTACCATCCCAAGTGATCCTCCAACCATCATTTCATCATTTGCTCAGTGGTCCCTTCTCCCTCCGGCCTCCTGCCCTGCCCCCCCCCCCCCCCCCCCCCCCGCGCACATGGTTAGATTCCTGGCACCAAATGCGCCCCTAAACTCTCAGGAATGACCCTTGAGCACCACCAGATGTGGCCAAAAGAACAAAAGGAAAATTAGTTTCCATTTTATCCTTCACAGTGATTCTAGTCACTAAATCTGTCTTCTGCTCTCAGCCTCAAAGAAATAAGTTTTGAGTCTGACTTTTTAGAGAATTGAGAAGGTTCTTTTGTTGTTGGATTTTTGTCTTTCTTTTTGATTGGTTAGTTGACTCATTGATAAGCCTTGAAAGTAATTTTATACCATTCGCTGTAGGATACCAGATTTTAGAATTGTTTTTATTTTTGATAGGAGATTTTCTTTTTGTGTTCTAACTCATTTTATGTTACTTTTGTTACCATAATTTATCTTTATATTTTACATAAATGTGAATATATTTAGATATGTTTTGAGGACCACACCTGGCTGTGCTCGGGGCATAATCGGGAAGGCTCAGGGGACAGTAGTGGGTGCCAAGGATCAAACCCAGGTCAGCTGCATGCAAGGCAAGCGCCCTACCCACCAGACTAATGCTTCAGTATATTATAGTCAGGAATTTACAGTCAATCCAAAATAGTTCTCTGTGCCCCTTAATCTGGTCCATTTCAATTTTAGCCAAGCAAATGCTTTGAAGGCTTTAGAGAGGGTTGGCAGTATAGCTCAGAGGGCAGAGTGCACGACTGGCTTGCCTGAAATCCCCAGCACCGCATTGGAGTGGTCCGTTCGCACCCAGAAGTGCCGCCTTGCCAGGCCTGAGCACCAGACCATCTGGTCCACAGCAGCTGATGAGGCACTACAAGGGAGCCTCCCACCCTTCCCCCACCAAAAAAAAACCAAAAAAGGAATTTAAAGAAAAATTATTTCATTAGTAGTGTGTAGTTCCTCCGGAAATGAAATGGGAAGTATGTGTGAAAGGTCAGGGAGATCACTCAGAGGGCCGAGGCCCGGATCCACTCTCCGGCACTGCCTCGGCACCACAGACATGGGCTGTGGCACTTGGCAGGGCTGTGCCAGGCAGCACCATGGAGCCAGGCTGTTTCCTCAGGGGCTCCCTCGGTGTTTACTGGGATTCTGATGTAATTTCTTTCTGTCTTCACTGAACAGAATCACAATATATTTAAACTTTCTGACTTCTAAGGTTTGAACAAGTGTTTGTCATTTTACCAAGAAAATCTATACAATTCCAGAGAGCACAACAGAGCTGTCTGTTAGAGTACGAAATAATGTGAACTTTTATAGGTTGCCACACACTGAAAACTTTTTTAGCAAGGGCTGAATCACTTGTTCCGTATTTTATTTTTTATATCTTTATGTTAAATAGGCAGCCTAGCCGTTTAACTTCCAGTGCTCTGTTACTAGCCCAGAAGGGCCAGTGAGGCCATGATGCTACCTTCTTATTTTTTAACATCTGACAGAAAACTTTTAAGTTGGGTTTTGTTAAATTAGCCTGAACACATAAACAACTTTATACTGTATGTTAACGATACCAGAGTTTTGTTTGGTTTCTGAGCCACACCTAGTGGCGCTCTGTGGTGCAGGTCAGATCTGGGCCCCGTGAGCATTAGCCCTTGCATCTTTCTCTCCAGGCTGAAAGATGCCATCGCGTTTTACAGGGTAAATGTCAAACAAGGGGAAAGTGTCTTCTCTTCTACTTTCAGTCAGAAAAGGCAGAGGGCCTGGAGTCAGTAAGAAATCTTCATTTTTTTTTGTTTGTTTTGTTTTGTTTTTATTAGTGAAACACCATGAGGTACTGCTGTAGACTTACAAACTTTCGTGCTTGGGTTTCAGTTATACAATGACCAAGTACCCATCCCTCCACCAGTGCCCATTCTCCACCACCAATGAACCCAGTAGCCCTCCCAACCTCCATCCCTCCCACCCCGCCCCACCTCTGTGGCAGAGCATTCCCTTTTGTTCTCTCTTTCCTTTAGGGTGTTGTGGTTTGCAATAGAGGTATTGAGTGGCCATCATGTTCGGTCTATAGTCTACTTTCAGTGCGCATCTCACATCCCGAGCGAGTCCTCCAAACATCCTTTACTTAGTGTTCCCTTCTCTATCTGAGCTGCCTTTTCCCCCAGAAATCTTCAGATTCATAGATAAATTTCAGAATACTTCCTTTCTGTTCTCCCTTTGAAAAAAAAGGTGAGGGCAGGGGTGATACAATAGAAGTTAAAGGACTGGAGCGATAGTACAGCAGGTAGACCATCTGGGTATGATTGGCACCCAAATGGTCCTCCAAGCCCCGGCAGGAGTGCTCCCTCCTGAGCACAGAGCCAGGTGGGGCCCAAAGCCCGCAGCCTCTGCGCTGTTCCTTGGGAGTTAAGGCACATGCCTTCCATACTGACCGGCTCGGTCCCCAGCACGGCACCCTGGAGGCAGGGCTCTGGCATTTGGATCCTGGCATCACTGCATTTTTGGGCCTGGGCAGAGAAGCAGAGACCTGGTTGGATAAAAATCACCAGGAACTGCCCTGGGCCTCCTGAGGACTGCTTAGGAGCAGCTCTATTTATATAGAACAGATAGTGTCAGACATACAACATGTTTCAATATTTGCATATATTATACTGTCACTATCCTCCCATTGTTGGTTGATTTGCTCAAGCGGGCCCAATAACGTCTCCATTTTGAAATTTGTTGTTACTGTGTTTGGCATATCGAATGCATCACAGGTAGCTTGCCAGGCTTTGCCACGCAGGCGAGAGACGCTCAGTAGCTTGCCGGGCTCTCTGAGAAGGGCGGAGGAATCAAACCCAGCTCTGCCGGACTGGCTGCGCGCGCAAGGCAAATGCCCTACCGCTGTGCTGTCGCTCCAGCTCCACATATATTATAAGCCAGTCAAAATAATAAGTTTAGCTAGTAACCTTCACCATACGTTACAAATTTTATTCTGATGAGAACTTAAAAGATCTCTCTGGGCAACGTCTAAATATAAAATACAGATCGATTAACTACAGTCACCGTGTATGCTGTACATACTGCATTTTTAAGTTATAAATATGAAAACATTCCGTTTCATTTAAATGCTTAATTTTAATCTCATTGCATTTTAAACCCAAAGTGATGATCCAGTTTACACCAGATTCTTGCTGCATGTTTTGGGGAGACTTCCATCCATGAACTAAATCTTGTTTCCTTCCATTCTGGCCCAGTTGTATCACACACATAAAGACTTTTCAGTAAGCAGCTACTCTAAAATGAAGCTTCCCAGCGAATATAAGGACCCAGAACCACCATTGGCAGAAAGTATTCTCTTACCGGATTACTCCAATTAATGCAGATGCCATGTGCATACTTTATACCTTAACCTGATTTAGAAATAAATTATCTCCACTCCTGCTTTGAAGGAAAAATTAAAGCTAAGTACACAAAATAGTTGTTTGATGTTAACATTTTGAGCATGAGGGTCCAGGATGTAGCTCAGTGGTAGAATCAATTTAAAATTTAAATTAAAATATTTAAGTAAATCTTGGCATGGACTTAAATTACCCGTCACTGTCGTCCCGGTGTTCATCAATTTGCTCGAGCGGGCACCAGTAACGTCTCCATCATGAGACTTGTTGTTACAGTGTTTGGCATATCGAATACGCCACAGGGAGCTTGACAGGCTCTGCCGTGCGGGCAGGATACTTTCAGTAGCGTAGCTTGCCAGGCTCCCCGAGAGGGATGGAGGAAATCAACCCGGGTCAGCCACGTGCAAGGCAGACTCCCTACCTGCTGTGCTATTGCTCCAGCCCAGATTACCCATATTTAAATTATTTCTTAGATCTTTAACAGGCTACTTTTTGTTGATTTGGTTTTGGTTTTTTGGGCCAGTGATGACCAGAGGCTACTCCTGACTTGGTCCCCCAAGTGCTTTGGGGACCGTGCAGTGTGTGGGGATCAGGCCCGGCCTCCTGAGTGCAGAGTAGGTGTTCCTGCCCTCCAGCAGGGAACTCCATAGAGGAAACAAATTCCAATCTGCACTAAGATCTGCCGGCGTGACCGTGCCATTTATCTTCTATATAATACAATTGCACGTGAAATAAATGGCTGTTAGGCATGTGTAAAACAAAAAAAAGTAATTTTTATATATTTACTATTGATGTTGGTCATTTAATATGTCACAAAATCTTCACCCTTTAATTCTTGACTTGCCTGATTACTGGAAACTGTCAAATGTGCCACACAGACATTTAATTTAGTAATTGCAGTAGGGTTTTTATGGTTGTTGTTTGAGGCCCATGCCCAAGCTGTGCTCAGGGATTACTCCTGACTCTGCTCAGGGATCACACTGTGGGTGCTAGGGGGCCATATAGGGTGCTGGGGATCAAATCTGGGTCAGCTATGTACAAGGCAAGTGCCCTACCCACAGTTCTATCTCTCAGGCCCATCACTGTATCACTGTCATCCTGTTATTCATCGATTGCCTCAAGCAGGCCCCAGTAACGTCTCCTTTGTCCTAGCCCTGAGGAGATTTTAAAAAGTGCCACATTTGAGACTCTTTCAGGGTCAGGAGAATGAGACCCATCATTGTTTTTGGTTTTGGGCATATTGAATACACCACGGGGAGTTTGCCATACTCTGCCGTGTGGGCAGGATACTTTTGGTAGCCTGCCGGGTTCGCTAGAGTAAGAACTAGATAATAATCCTGCTTCTAGGAGCAGGGTTTTATAGTCTCTGGGTCTTGGCCATTGATGGGATTACACAGTGCCAATTGGCAGTTGGTGGGTGTAACTGGAAGGTGGGGCATCTGGGTGGAGGAGGCCCCAGTCCCGATCCGAGCAGGCTTAGAGATCTACGCCCCGGGTCCCACACACCTGGGTTCCTCTGCCGGTTGCTTCATGCGTGAGGCCCGTCCAAATGTGTGAAAAGTGGTCTAAGACTACTCAGGCCCATATGGTGGTTTTTAACCATTATTAGCAAAATGAACTGTTTTCATTTTGTCCCAAATCCCACATATATTATGATCGATAATGAGTTAGATTTTAAAATTCAATTGAAATAAAACCTGCTGTTGATTAAAAATACTTAGTTCTAAGTTAGAAAGTGTTTATTTGAATGGGGATGTTCATTCCTTGACATTAGTACTTTTTTTGTTTGTTTGTTTTTGTTTTTTGGGTCACACCTGGCGATTTTACAGGGGTTACTCCTGGGTCTGCGCTCAGGAATTACTCCTGGTGGTGCTCAGGCGACCATATTGGATGTCTGGAATCGAACCCGGGTCAGCCATGTGCAAGGCAAACGCCCTACCCGCTGTACTGTTGCTCCAGCCCCAACATTAGTACATTTTTAATGGTTTCTGTGGTGATCAAAAATAAACTTTTACAGTATTGATATTAAGAACATTTAAGTTTAGAAATAAACAACTTTTCTGGAATTAAAATTTGATATAGAATAGTATTGGTAGTATTTTAATTCTGAAGTTGGATATCAGGTTTATTTTTACTTTACTGTTGTTTTTTTCATAATTTAATGTTTTGATGTATATTCTAAGTACCAGATTTTTAAAGAAGACTAGAGGTATTTAGGGCCTACTTTGTTTAATGTTTTCTTTGTTTTTTTAATCATTATGGTTTTACTGATATATCATTTGAGCAGGATGAAGATAGGAACGGTTGGGACTGGAGCAATAGCACAGCGGGTAGGGCGTTTGCCTTGCACGCGGCCGACCCGGGTTCGATTCCCAGCATCCCATATGGTCCCCCAAGCACCTCCAGAAGTAATTCCTGAGTGCATGAGCCAGGAATAACTTCTGTGCAATGCTGGGTATGACCCAAGAAACAAACCAAAAAAAAAGGAAAGAAAATAGGAAAGGCATGACAATATGACAATATTTTTGTCATTTAGAATATGAATGGAAATTGCAAACCAGCCAGCCCTGTAAGGAAGGTAGGTTGTTTTCATCTCCCGAGTCTAAACTCGCTTCTTTTTCCAGGTGGTGGCCAGCCGAGATCTGCAACCCCAGGTCTGTGCCGCTGAACATCCAAGCCCTCAGGCATGGCCTGGGCGACTTCCCCGTGTTCTTCTTTGGCTCCCATGACTACTATTGGGTGCACCGGGGCAGGGTTTTTCCTTACGTTGAAGGAGACAAAAGCTTTGCTGAGGGACAGACTAGTATTAACAAGACTTTCAAAAAAGGTAAGTTGGAGAATATTTTCGCAGTGACTACACACTAAGATGCCAGTGTTGTTTACATAGCATCTTCTGACCTGCATCTGACATGCATCTGTTATTAGGTAATTTTCAGCAGCGTTGATGGCCCCAATGTTTATGAATTTCCAGTCCCATTGAGACTGCATAAGAATCCAAGCATGTCCAGAGAGATAGTACAGTGGGGAAGGCTCTTGCCTTGCATGTAGCAGACCTGGATTGAATCCATTAAACCACCAGGGGTAAGCCCTGAGCGCAGCTGGGGGCAGCCCCAACCTCCCCCCCTCCCAAAAAAAATTAGAAAAATACATTCCACTATAGTATTGTGCTGAATGTATATAAATATGAAAGGTGGAGTTTATTCAGGGGGTAGTTGCGTAGTCAGGTAAAGTTCCTCTCCACAAACTTGTAGGAAAAGCCATAAAACTGTTTTTTCAGGAAGTCTGGTTTTCTGGGCACAGGTAAAATTAATTTAAATTTTATGTTAGTTTCATTTTTTAAGCTTCTCTTTGATTTTCAGAAGTCTCTGGACATGGAAGTAAGGGTCCCTTCTCCTGAGACAGAAGCTTGCAGAGTTTGGTGTAGTCACAAATGGCCGACTTGCTCTGTTTCCGCATGGTAGTAAATGGCTCTTTGCAAAATGGAATTTTAAAAAGAGATCAGGCCCAGATTCAGTTGGAGCACAAAATTCAGATACAACACAGAAAGTGAATGGACCCCAGTGGGCTTCATTTTACTTGCTTCTTGGTGGCATATGTTGTTTGGTTCTTTTTGGCAGCACTGGAAGAAGCTGCAAAACGTTTCCTGGAATTGAAAGCACAAAGAGAAAGTAAAGAAGCACTGGAGATGGAAAAAAGCTCAAGGAAGCCTCCTCCCTATAAACACATCAAAGTGAGTCTTTGCTCAGGAAAACGGCGGTGTTGGCAAGATTAGACACATGACTCTTAGAATGTTCGAATGCTCTTTTGACGTGTGGATACTTGGTAATTATCAAGTTTTCTGTGAAACCAACAGAGCTTCTATTAGAAGTATCAGATGGGAGTCACGGCTGTTGGACTGTGGGGACCAGCAGTGTCTTTATTAAAGTCTCACAGACCGAGAAACAACACACTTCATATTTTATTTTGGGGAGAGGGGTTCTGCATTAAGTTTTAGCATGGAGAGGAGAGATTCCCCATACCGTCCACAGCAATTCCTGGGCCACAATAAAGTATCCCAGAATTCAGCTCAAATCTGTCGGATCTACAGGTCAGAGGCTCTGAGTTCCAGCACCTGCCCTCGCTGAGGCCAATAGCCTGTCGCCAGCCTAGATCATGGACTGTGCTGTGACTCTGGCGCCCCCAGTGTCTCCTCCCTGGGAGCAATGAATTTGGCATTGTGGCTCACAGAGCAGAAACATTTCCTTACTCAGTGTTGGCTTCTTCTGAAATACCCAGGAGCGCCCGCCGGAAGCGCTTTGGGGAAGGGCTCGTTCCCTCTCCTCCATTCGCCAGTTTCCCAGTCTCAACACGTGCTCCAGCCCAGAAACTTCCTTTGTTTCTATGGGGGTTGTGTCACAGAGGCATGGTTGATGAAGTCAGAGAATCCCGGTCTTATTTGGCCTGCCACCCCTTTCTGGGAAAGAAAAAAAGATGCTCAGTACCTCTGGAAAGCTGGCGTCTCCACACAAACAGAAGAATCTTCCAAATTCACCAGTGGCTGCTGTCACCCACCCCCTGGGCGGTTCCAGCACCCCTGGGGAGAGGATTTTGTCCACTTTTGAAATACTGAATTAAGTCTTTGGCACGGTAGGGGGACCGGAAAGTTTTAGCTGGCAATTTATCAGTGGTTCCCATGACAACTACATCTTCCCTGCTAAGATGTAGTCCAAAACCCACCTTATTAGCATAAGCCAGTTGTGTTAGGAAAGGGCTTGTTACAAATAGTAAGACACCCACGTAAGGGCAAGGGACTACAGTGATAGTACAACAGGGAGGGCATGTGCCTTGCACGCAGCCAACCCAGGTTCGAGCCCATCCCTTATGGTCCTGACAGTGCTCGGGGGGAACCAAACTCCTGCAGAGCCAGGAGTAAACCCCTGAGCATCTCCAGGTGTGACCCAAAATGACCAAAAAGGGGGGGCGGGGGTCAAGGTACCAACTGTGTTTAATTTTGTCTCTTCTTTGTGGCTTTCTAGGCCAACAAGGTTATGGGAAAGGTCCAGATTCATGTTGCAGACCTGTCAGAGATCCCCCGCTGCAATTGCAAGCCGGCTGACGAGAACCCCTGTGGCCTGGAATCCGAGTGTCTGAACAGAATGCTGCAGTACGAGTGTCACCCACAGGTGTGCCCCGCTGGGGAGCGCTGCCAGAACCAGTGCTTCACCAAGAGGCTCTATCCCGACGCAGAGATCATCAAAACAGAGCGGAGAGGCTGGGGTCTCAGGGCCAAGAGGAGCATTAAAAAGGTAACTGGGCTGGGAGGCACTGGCAGAGCCTGGAGCCCACGCTGCCCAGCAGCTTCGGGAGGGAGAAAGACAAGTCGTAGGATGAAATCTTAAAATTTCTCACTTCACCTTCTTGGGCAGACTCTAGTAGGAAGAGGTCCCAATAAAATTGACGTAAACTTTGGGTACCGTGATAAGTCACTCTTACAATTGGCAAGAGAGCTTTTCCTTATCATGGACAAGAGAGTTTCTAAATACTTTTTTTTTTTTTTTTTTTTTTTTTTTTTTTTGCTTTTTGGGTACCCAGCGATGCACAGGGGTTACTTCTGGCTTTGCACTCAGGAATTTCTTCTGACGGTGCTCAGGGGACCAGATGGGATGCTGGGAATAGAACCTGGGTTGGCCGTGTGCAGGGCAAACGGCCTACCTACTGTGCTATCACTCCAGCCATCTAAATACAAAATTTTTCTAGAAATGAAACAGCACCAGCCGCTGGAGAGAGTACAGCAGCAGGAAGGCACTCGCCTTGCACACGGCTGGCCTGGGTTCAGTTCCTGTTAACCCATCAAGCCCTGAGCCCTGCCAGGAGTGATCCCTGAGTACAGAAACAGAAGTAAATCCTGAGCACAGCTGAGTGTGCCCCTGCGTACCCCCTAAAAAAAAAAGTAGAAGAAAAACATTAATAAATCCTACTGTTCAAACCTTGTCTCAAACTTTAGAGATCCTGAGAACCTCCATGTTAACAAATAGTCTTAGGTAGAACTTCTTAAACTTGCTTTATCCACATCTGACCCCTTCTTGTTAGAGAAATTTTTATGTGACTCTGAGCATATTGGTATGTAAAATAAGTCTATAAATCAAACATACTGCTATTAAATCATAAATGTATTAAAACAAATCTTTTGAAGTTTTCATAACTCCCACATTCAAGTCTGTGAATTAATACGGGATTGTTACTGACCCACATTGTAAGAACTGCGTACAGTCAGCCTAGGTTCGATCCCGGGCATCCTATATGGTGTCTGAGCCCACCAGCGCCAGGAGTAAGCCCTGACCACAGCAAAATAACAGGGCCAGAGCATTAGTTCAGTGGGTAGGGCACTTGCCTTGTACACAGCCGACCCAGCTTCCATCCCCAGCGCCCTGTATGGTTCGCCCAAGCCCACCAGGAGTGATTTCTGAGCACCAGGCCACGAGTCAGCCCTGAGCACTGCTGGGTGCCCCCTTCCTTGCCCCAAAATTTAAAAAATTAAAAATTTGTCAGAGGAGATGGCTGGAGATGGGTTGTCTTTTTTGTGTGGGGGGTGGTGGAGACCAACTTGGCAAAGCTCAGGAATTACTCCTGGCTGGGCTGGGACCATATGGATGGGGTGGTGGGATCAAACCCTTGGGTCTTCAGGCTTTTCTGGGGTATGCTACAAATTATAGTAAAAATTAAGTGCATAAAAGAATATACAATCTGAGTTATTCTTCCCTTAGTGTTGTTGAAATTGCTAATATGAGACAGGTGGTCTTTTGCAACATACAAATGTACGGCTACTGAAAAGTAATCAAAAATACGTGGTCGGGGGGGCTGGAGTGATAGCATAGCGGGGAGGGCATTTGTCTTGCACGCGTAGCCGACCCACGTTCGATCCCTGATATCCCATATGGTCCCCCAGCACCGCCAGAAGTAATTCCTCAGTGCAGAACCAGGAGTAACCTCTGAGCATTTCTAGGTGTGGCTCAGATAACATCCCCCCCCAAAATAAATATTTTTTAAAAGGGCTGGAGCAATAGCACAGCGGGTAGGGCGTTCGCCTTACAAGCGGCCAACATGGCTGACCCGAGTTCGATTCCTCCGCCCCTCTCAGAGAGCCGGCAAGCTACCGAGAGTATTCGATATGCCAGACACAGTAACAACAAAGTCTCCAATGGAGACGTTACTGGGCCCGCTCGAGCAAATCGACGATCAACGGGAGGGCCTTTACCTTTCCCTTTACCTTTTAAAAGTACTTGTAGGGAAGAGAGTCCGGGGGTGGGGAGGGCACTGGCCATATGCAGCTAGCTTGGGTTTGATCCCTGACTCCATATACCATTGGTCCCTGAGTACCAGCCGGAGTAACCCCTGAACACAGCCAGGAGCAAGCCCTGAGCACCACTGGGTATGACGCCCAAACAATTTTTTTTTTAAAGCAACACTTTGTAACAACAATGAAAATATTTTTGGTGCATTAAGAGGCAGAACCAGGAGTGACCTCTGAGCATTTCTAGGTATGGCTCAGATAACCCCCCCAAAAAAAAATATTTTTTGAAAGGGCTGGAGCGATAGCACAGCAGTAGGGCGTTTGTCCTGCACGCAGCCAACATGGCCGACACGAGTTCGATTCCTCCGCCCCTCTCGGAGAGCCCGGCAAGCTACCGAGAGTATCTCGCCCGCACGGCAGAGCCTGGCAAGCTCCCCGTGACGTATTCGATATGCCAAACACAGAAACAACGAAGTCTCCAACGGAGACGTTATTGGGCCCGCTCGAGCAAATCGATGATCAACGGGAGGGCCTTTACCTTTTTACCTTTTTAAGAAACAGAAAAAAAACTATAAAATTAAATGTACACAGTTCCATTTTGTACATTTTAACTCTTGAAAATGTTTTCAGTCAAGCAAGGAACTTGCTGTTTTGAAACTGGTTTCCTCCTTGAAAATTAAAAAAGTTATATGAAATACCAGATTAGACCTGTCTTTTGCTTCAGTTTTTTTCAAATCATTAAAAACTTTTAGTCTCCTTTACATTAAGTAAACATCCATTTTACAAGGCTTTACATTCACAGGTATTCTGGTTTGATAAAAACTCCACATACACTGGGCTCAGCAGGAACTTAGCTGGTGCGGGTCAGTCCTGGCACCCAATGGACCGAGCACTGCTAGGAGCAGCCTCTGAGCAGCCCTGGAGGTGGTTCAAAACCAAAAAAAAAAACAAAAGGAAAAGGAAAATGGAAACTTCACTGACGTGTTTCCAAACCATAGCAGATTCACTTTAATCACTAAAATATAAAGGCAATGGAAGAATTATTATAAAGCATTAGAGGTCTCCAAGGCATCATGGGAGAGAAAATTGTTCCGTATGTCAGTGGTATCAAATGACCTTACACCGAAGTCACAGGTGCCGGGAACCGTGTCAGCCCGAATGGTTCTGGCTCTGCCTGAACCTGAGTCTGAGTCTCCCTAGATGCACTCCCGTTTGGACTCGCTCCTAAGGGTGAGCTGCGTAGGGCGTCTGGGTCCCCTGCTGTGGGAAGGGGTGTGTGACACCAGGCTGCGTCAGGCCTCTCACCGCCAAGCTGGCTGGACAGAAGAACCTGCTCCCGCCCGCTTTCCACTGCTCACTCTTGGCGGGATCTCAGAAGTGTCTTTCCCCAGCCGCCTCCAAAGGACAAACGACTCTTTTAAATATCTTCAGGCTTTGCTGTCGGAATGAAATAGAGGGAAGAAAGGGAGTTTTTCTTCACAGTTCTGACCAGACGGGGTCTGAAAGGGCAGCACACTGCAAACTGCTCAGGCTCTCTAAAGGATCAGTGACAGTGTGTGACTATTTCATAAAAATGACACACACCAGGGCCAGAGCTGTCGTACAGCGGGGAGGGCATTTGCCTTGCATGCGGCTGACCCGGGTTCGATCCCCAGCATCCCATATGGCCCCCTGAGCACCGCCAGGAGTAATTCATGAGCAATGCCTGGTGTGACTCAAAAAGCTGAAAAAGAAAGAAAAAGAAAGAACACAAACTGTAGGTCACAGAGGGTTTGGTGACTGAATGTGCGGAAGTTTAAATTTATATATCAGTAATAAATCAGGCATAACTTATATTGCTAAAGTTTGAGGGATTCTCAAGGCTGCTAAAATCGTATTAAGGTCAAGACACTTGCCTGGCATGTAGCTGTGGCCAGCACCCTGGTTTGAATCCCACCCCTGTCCATGGTCTCCGGAGCTGCTTGGAATAGACTCCTGGGCACTGTGGGCTCTGCCCCTCCCTGGCAGTCTCCATTGGCACAGTTGAAATGATGCTTTCAAACACTTTATTAAAGGAGTCTCACCTTCAGCAGTCACCTGGAAAGCTGCTGGCTCTTGGTGACCCATCTCTTCTATTTTTTGACAGTTAGAATTTTTGATATTCCTTAATTTTTGCATTCACAAATGACACAGTTACTGTTTTTAAAGTTCAGTGAGCAACTCTTTGAAGTTAAAGATTTTCACTTTTAGGATCTCTAAAATGTTTCTGTCTCTATTCTCAGTAGTATAGTTTATGAGACTTGCATTCATGTCTCTATGAGCCCATCATTTTTGTGTCTTTGCTGTATTTTCGTGGAATGGTAAATATAAACAAGACAAAGGGCTTCAAGTTTTTAGGGCCACTGAATCATTTCTTCAAATGGTGTGTGTGTGGAGTAAAATATCTTTAGAGAAATTTACTTAGAGAAATACAAAAGGAAAGAGAGAAAAAGAAAAGGACAACGGAAGAGAAGAACATTAGGGGCCAGAGAGGTAGTGCAGGGGTTATGGAGCTTGCCTCGCTGACCCAGGTTCGATCCCAGGCACCGCATATGGTCCCCTGACTACTACCAGAAGGAATCCATGAGCACAGAGCCAGTAGTAAGCCCTGAGCACTATCAGATGTCACCCTCCCCTCCCAACCCACACCACAAGTACGCTTGTTCGAGAAAGAGGGAGCGAGAGAGGATGGACATAAGAGAACTTCTCAGGTTGAGACAGATGAATCTCCAAGATGGAGAATAACCTTCAAATGAAATCTTACCATAAGTCCTACAACGAAGATGAAGTGAAGCTGATTTGATTGAAATTTCCCCCTAAAGCTTTCTATTAAAAAAGACTTGCCATAAAAACTCTTATTACAGGAACCAGAGCAACAGTACAGAAGGTGGGGCATTTGCCTACACATGACTGACCCGGGTTGGATCCCCATCATCCCATAATAATAATTACTCCCCACCAGGAGTAATTATTGAGAGCAGAGTTAGGAATGACCCCGAGCATGACTGGTGTGCCCCCCACCACCACCCCCAAAACAAAGAACTTGCCATAAAAATTACAGGGACCCAGTGATAGTACATCTGACCCACGTTCAGTCCGCATAACCCCATATGGTACTTTGACCCCACCAGGAGTGATTCCTGAGCTCAGAGTCAGGAGTAAGCCCGAAACCTACCCAAAAACAAAAAATTAATGAAACTTCGCTCTGCACACCTTCGCTTTGTTGGAACAGGAAGATGAAATAGTGGTGTACATAATTCTTGGAACGATCTAGAGAAACAAGGTTTCAGACATCAGGAATATAAATGTAAAATGATCCGGCTTTGGAAGCTAGTTTGGTGATTTCTTTTTTGTTTGTTTTGTTTTGGGTCCACTCCTGTTGATGCTCAGGAATTTCTCCTGGCAGTCCTCAGGGGCCCATTTGGAATTCCAGGGATCTGCACATGAAGGCATGTCCCCTACCTACTGTACTGTCGCTCTGACCCCTAGCCTGGCAGTTTCTTTAAAAATTAACCCTAGGTCTAGGGAGCTAGCTCAGAGGGTGAGGGGACATGGTTTGCATGTAGACAGTCTGCACTCGGTCCCCCAGACACCAGCAAGAGTGACCCACAAAAGTATGCTGGGGATGCCTTGGCTAGCATCGAGTGTGGCCCGGACTCCCCGCCAAATATGTGCATATCGCTGACAAACCATTCCTAGCCTTTATCTCAGAAACATGAAAACCTCTGTCCACACTAGAACTTTTACCCAAATGTTCACAGTAGCTTTATTTGCAATAGCCCAAGCCTGGGAGCAATGAGCATTTCCTTCTAGGGACCAGGTGGATGGTGTCAAGGGTAGGGCACTTGCCTTGCATGTGTGAACTCAATTCCTGGCACCTCAGCTTCGCCGTGGGTAATCCCTGAGTACAGAGCTAGGAGTAAGCCGCGAGCTCAGCCGAGTCTAGTCCAAAAATAAAATTAAAGATTTTTTTTCCTTCTCTAGGTGATCGAGTAAACAAACTGTGGTCTATATATACTGTGAGTTGCTACCTCAGAGCACCAGTGCGGTGTGTTTGTTTAAAAATCAATGGATTATTGATACACTCAACAACTTGGGTGAATTTCAAGGGAATAGAGCCGAGGATTTTGTTATTTTTCTAACCCAAGCTGCACAGGTTACATATCATGTGATTCAATTAACAGAACATCGTTTAAATGACAGTTTCAGAGATAGAGAATAAATCAGGACTGGGACAGACAAAGGACGGAGAAAGGTCATGTTTATGAGAGCAGCCGTGCAAGGATCTCTGTGGTGATAGGGCAGTTCTGGTTTTGCTTGGGTTTGAGACTCCTGACTGCATTCACGGATCACTCCTGGCAGGGTTCAGGGGACCACATGGGGCCCCAGGGGTGGAACCAGGGCTAGCCACGTGCAATGCAAGTGCCCAGTCCCCCTACTATTGCTATTGCTCCAGCCCGCAGTTTTGTGTTTTAATTGATTATTGTATTGCAAAGATTGGTTTACCAAGAGTGTAAGTGTTTATGAGCTTAGGGATCTACCTCAGTGTCACACTGCAGCACAGTTCTGCATCTTGGTAGTGGTGGTGATGACGTGATTCTCACCTGATAAAACTCCATGGAAGTGTACCCATGGGCATGCACACACACACAGTCCAGGGTGGCAGGCACCTGCCTCCCAAGCACGAGTCTGCGGGTCCGTGCTCGGTGCTGCCCTGAGAGCAGTGTGTCTTGGGCCCTGGGCAGGCGAGGAAGGGAAGGGGCAGGATCAGGAGCTGCCGCTTACAAGGAAGAGTGACATTGGAGGACTGATGCAGTAGCGAATAGGGCGGGGTGCTCACCTTGCTGCAGCTGGCCCACGTTTGATCTCCAGGCCCATATGGTCCCCTGGACACTGCAGGGAGTGACTCCTGAGTGCAGAGCTAGGAATATGTCCTGGGCACCGCTAAGTATGACCCAAAAACAAAAATAAAATTAATTCAGGGCTGGAACTGTAGCCCAGTGGGCTGGAGCACGTGCCCTGTGCCCCGTAGGCCAAGCCTCGGGCCCCAGCACCATGTGTTCCAGGAGCCGCCCGGAGCTCAGAGCCTGAGCAGCTCTGGATGTCAGCAACAAAAAGGGCTTAAGCAACAATAAACAACAAAGGTTTTTAAACTTAACAATAAAAGTTATGAGATGGAATAAGATTTGTAGCATGTAGTAGTGTCGATGTTTTTGGTTTTAATATTGTGCTATTACAAATGCTAATGTAGGGGCATTTGCCTTGCACGAAGCTGACCTGGGTTCGATCCCCAGCGTCCCATATGGTCTCCCAAGCACCGCCAGGAGTAATTCTGAGTACCTGAGCTGGAAGTAACCTCTCAGCATCACTGGGTGGCCCAAAAAGCAAATCAATAAATAAATGCTAATGTAATATTGTGCTCGTTGTGTAAGACCTTTCCACTGAGGTGAGCCAAGGGAACAGTGCACAGATTCATATTGACCTTTTTTAAAGTGCTCATACCACCAAGGGTCACTTCTGAGCCCCTGAGCACCACCGTAGTGGGTGACCCCAGTACAGAACAGCAGAAAGTGTGCTCATTCGCTTCACAGCCATCTTTTTCACATCCAGGCCCAAAGCTGCAAACCAGAAAAGTCTGTTGCAATACAGTTGCAAGGACTTAATCAGGTTAGCTTTCTCCCCCGAGTCCCTAAGAAATACCATGATGGTGTCACTTGGATTATGAAATAATATTAAAAGCAAGTAAAGACCCTTTTGGGTGGGAGGGGAGGTCAGAGAGGTTTGGCCTCACCTGGCAGTGCTCAAGGGAAACTCCCAGCTCTGTGCTCAGGAGTCACTCCCGGCAGTGCTAGAAGAGCTATGTGCTGGGAAGAGAATCAGGCTTGAGGTATTTTCACAAGAAAAACGGTGTCACCAGAATGCCTCCAAGTAATAACTGTTGTTTCTAGGTCTGAGTTACATTTCTAGGATTCTTTTTTAGTTAATTCTCTTGTTTTTACCTGGTATCGACAAGCGTTTTCTCATGCTATACATGATTCTATACTTATGTACTGCTTGCTCTCTCTAGGGCGAATTTGTAAATGAATACGTCGGCGAGTTGATCGATGAGGAAGAGTGCAGACTGCGGATCAAGCGAGCCAATGAGAACAGCGTGACCAATTTTTACATGTTGACTGTTACCAAGGTAAAATGGATTCTTTTGTTTTTATAAAAGACTTTAGGGGCTGGACCGGTAGCACAGCAGGTAGCGTTTGCCTTGCACGCGGCCGACCTAGGTTCAATCCCCAGCATCCCATATGGTCCCCCAAGCACCGCCAGGAATAATTCCTGAGTGCATGATCCAGAAATAACCCCTGCTGTGCAGTGCTGGGTGTGACCCCCCCCCCCCCCAAAAAAAAGACTTTATCTTTTGTCTCATAGTCTTAGGTAGAGCTCAGTTTTTACTGATTTGATATTACCTGGGCATACTGTAATAATTTGCAGTAGGCATTATTATGCTACCTATTGCAATGTATTATTAGACCAGGACACAAAATGACTCTCAGAGTCTTGCACTTGTCTTGAGAGACGCACTGTGAGATGGAGGAGAGTCAGGAGCGAGGGCTGACACTCCTGATGTGGGGTCTCAGCTCTTGAGTCGCTGATGGACTTACTCCTGCACTTATCACTGAAGAAAAGAAAATCGCCTCTGTGACTCTGAGCTGTAAACCACTGTTAAAGTTCTGATTTAACAGCAAGCCTAAATCCAGCCTCTCCGTGATACTTTCCTATATTAGGAAAATGAATCTGTCTTTAAAATGACAGTGAAACGTTTGCTAGCGTAATACGTGTTATTATGGTCTATTTGATGCTCGTTACATCCGTTATCACCTATGATTTACAGAGGATAAGAAACCGCTTCAGGCACTTTAAGTGATTTGTTGGCTCCCTTGGGGTCCTATGGTGAAGGGCTTGGGCTAGCCATATTACCCGTGGTCCAGACTCACTGAAACTGTCAGAATTATCATTGAAAGAAAATAGAGATCATTAAAAAGAAATATCTTAATTGATGTGCACTGCCTGAAAGTTTTACAACTTTTCATAAACATAAAGTGCCATGTATTTATAATGGTGACTAGTCCCTTCGGTCCTGTTCTCTCTGCCAGCGGCCCTGCCGGCCATCTTCACAGTACTAGGAAGGGCATCAGGGCTTACATTAAAGACTAAACGTCGTGTTTTTATTGTGTTTTGAACATTTCATTGTATTTTGAAAAAGTCAAAAATAGAATAAATAATGACCCCGACAGAGAACATCCCAAACTTCGGCCTCCTGTTAATCAGGCCTTCAATTCCCAGAGGTTTCCCAGTTGTCCTTCCTCTGTCTGGCCTAAACCTCCCTCTGTGCCTTCCTCTGCGAGCCTTACATCCTGCTCCAAAAGGAAGAGGAGGAGCCGGAGCGATAGTACAGCGGGTTGGGCTTTTGCCTTGCATGCGGCCGATCCCTGGCATCCCATATGGTCCCCCAAGCACCGCCAAGAATAATTCTTGAGTGCATGAGCCAGGAGCACCCCCTGAGCATCGCTGGGTGTGACGCAAAAAAGACAACCAAAAAACAAGAGTTAAAGGAGGGCTGACAGTAGGCACCAGAGTTTCCATCACAACAGACTGAATCTTTCCAGTCCTACCCTGATGGCCAGATCAGCCTCCCAGACAGCTTTATTCTTTGGTCTGTTTCCAAGGTGTGGTAGGTGGGAACGTAAGAAGAAGCTCAGCCTCACTTTCCCTTTATTGCAGTGATGCCAACCTCCTCCCCTTGGCGAGTGGGCATGGAGAACGGTCAGTGTCAGGCAGCTGTGGGGAGGAATGGCTGCCTTGGGGCTCTTGGTCAGGGTGACGTGTCTGCTCGGTCTCAAAATGACTTTTGCTTCTCACCTTCCTCAAGGACCGGATCATCGACGCTGGCCCCAAAGGAAATTATTCTCGCTTTATGAACCACAGTTGTAACCCCAACTGCGAGACCCAGAAGTGGACGGTGAACGGAGATGTCCGGGTCGGGCTCTTTGCTCTTTGCGATATTCCTGCAGGTGAGTCCCTCGCTACCGCGCCTCTTCCGAGGGAGCAGTCCTCTGCAAGGCCTTAGCCCTGTAAGAATTTAGAATCAGCTGCCTGTAGGACAGTAATGCCTGTGTTTCGCAAAAGGGAGCGAGCAAGAGCCTTGATGTAAGAGAAGCCATTACAGAACTCCTTGTCCACGATTTTACTGAATTAGCTCTCAAAATGATTGTTGTCTGTATAATGTAACCAGATGTTTAAGCTTCTCTCTCTCTCTCTCTCTCTCTCTCTCTCTCAAGGATCATAAGTAATTAGCCTGTGTTCACATCATCTGGTTTTTGGGTTTGTTTTTAGAGTTTTTTGATTTTGTTTTAGTTTGAAAGCTCAATCTGTTCTAGATTAGACATGAAAAGCCTCTGAGGCCAGAGTGATTGCTTTCAGTTTTCCTTGCTCATCTAGCATCCTAACGATAAACTTAGTTTCTTTCCTAGATTTATAGAAAAATAGGTGAGAACTGTCATAGCTGAAAGAGATTTCAGCTGTGTTTCTAGAATGCACTATGTCCTGTCAGCGGCAGCTGAGTTAAGACAGCTTCCTCGTTTGCACCCCTGGGCCTTTGGTAGGTAGAGGGACCCTCGATCTTGTTTGGTGCCAAGCAGCAGTGACTTACTCTGTGCTCAGGGTCCCGCCTCAGTTTGAACCTCTTCCTGCTCCTGGTGTAAGGGAAGGGACCGGCCGGAGAGAAAGTACAGTGGGTAAGGCGCTTGCTTTGCGTACAGACAGCCTAGATTTCATCCCTGGTACCTGAGAAGGGCCCCCAGGCCCTCCAGGAGTGACACACAGTGCACAGCCAGGAGTAAACCCGGAGCACTGCCTGGTGTGGTCCAGGAGCCCAAACAAAGAGAGTGCTGGTTACTGGGAATTTATGGCCATGCTGTTCATTTAGTAACAGGAAAATTAGAAAAAGGAGCTTAAGCTGGAAACCATATTTCTTTTTTTTTGTTTGTTTCAAATTCATATTTGCATAGTTTTTATCCACTTCAGTGAAAAGAGTGAGTTTTTTTGTTTGTTTCTGCTGTGCGGGGTCTGGCGCAGCCTCACACAGGGAGACGTGGGTGCTGCCTCCGCCAAGTGCGCAGAGCGCGCTCCTTCTGGGTGCGTGGGGCTCGTATGGGGTGCACGCTGTTGCTCTGGCACCCCGGGACTTTTTTTTTTTTTTTTTTTTTGCTTTTTGGGTCACACCCAGCCAATGCTCAGGGGTTACTCCTGGCTCTCCACTCAGGAATCACTCCTGGTGGTGCTCAGGGGATTATATGGGAGGCTGGGAATCGAACCCGGGTCGGCCGCGTGCAAGGCAAACGCCCTACCCGCTGTGCTATTGCTCCAGCCCTGGGACTTTTTTTTTTCCTGCTAAACTCCTCCCCTTTGTCTCCCTCATCACTGTCCTCACTGGGAACCTGGGGAGGGGGAAATCTTCCTGTCAGTTCTGTCTTTCTCCCTCACAGCTGTCTGTGAGGACGTTTCTCTCCCCCACGACCGAGGGTGAGTAATGACATCTCTCACGCTCTAGGGATGGAGTTGACCTTTAATTACAATCTGGATTGTCTGGGCAATGGCAGGACCAAGTGCCACTGTGGAGCAGAGAACTGCAGCGGTTTCCTGGGCGTGCGGCCAAAGGTGAGCGGTGAGGGGGCCCAGAGAAGTGGGAGTGGGCTGTCGGGGCAGCTTGTGTGTGGCCACGTCAGGGAAACGCCATCAAGAGTCACCTCTTTCTGTTGAGGAGTCATCGGTTATATTCGCCTGAAGTGTAGACACCCTGATTGGCGTGGAAATAGATCTTAGTCCTGAAAGTGTTTTTGCATTTCTGACCAAAGTTGAAGTTAGTGTAACCCTTATCAAAACCTTTCTAATTTGCAGTATACTAAAAACCACTGAATCTTACACTGAAGGCACCAAATTTTACAAGTGAATTATATCCTCGGTGTCTAGTGTTTTTTAGAAAACACCTCATTCAGAAGACCAGGGAAAGGAAGCCCTTTTTTTTAGGGGGGCGCCAGGTGGGGGTGGTTCCCGAAGTGCTCGGAAGGCCCTGGGCTCCTCCTGGCAGTGCTCAGCCCAGCCAGGCCCACAGCAGAGGATGCAGTGCCGTGGGGTGCTGCAGGCCCGGGGACCCAGCCCACAGCTGCTGCACGCACGGTGAGCGGTCCTGGAGGCCCGTGTGCGGCCTGGTCTGCGTCTCAGGCAGCGAGACAGTAGCCACTCCCGGGAGTGCTGCCGGCAGTGTTTCATTCCTGTTCCTGCACTGATCCTTTGCCTCTGCAGTCGGCATGTGTCTCAGCAGCTGAAGAGAAGACAAAAAACTCCAAGTTAAAGCAGAAGAGACGAAAAATCCGAGCAGAACCAAAGCAGATGCATGAAGATTACTGTTTTCAGTGTGGAGACGGTGGAGAGCTCGTCATGTGTGACAAGAAGGACTGTCCCAAAGCATACCACCTCCTATGCCTTAACCTCTCGCAGCCGCCATTCGGTAAGCGCCCCGGCGTGGGCGGGTCTCCTGCAGAGCACATGCACACGCAAGGGTGTGCGGGACCGCCACGGAGCAGTCCCGGGCGGCCCCGAGCCAGGTGCGGCTCCCGTGCGGTGGGTCAAGCGTCGCTCCCAGGTCTGGGCGTATGTGCGATTCAGCAGTGGGCACGTTGAATCCGTCTCGGGGCCGAGAAGCGGGGAGCTGGGGGAGAGGGTGACAGGGACAGCCACTAACTCTCAACCCCCCGCCTCTCCCCAGGAAAGTGGGAATGCCCGTGGCATGCGTGCAGTGAGTGCGGCAGCGCCGCTGTCTCCTTCTGCGAGTTCTGCCCACACTCATTCTGTAAAGCGCATGAGAGAGGGGCGCTGGTGCCCTCAGCACTGGGGGGCCTGCTCTGCTGCTCGGAGCACGACCCCGCCGCCCCTGTGCCGCCAGAGTACTGCAACAAGATCAGATGCAAGTTGGAATCCCAAGACCACGGAGAAGAAGCGAAGGAATGAACGGGTCGTGATTCTCTCTGTCTTCTTTTTATGTGATGGGGAAAAGCGGAACAGACCAGATCGTGTGTTTGTAACGAGAACCGGCTGCAGTGCAATCCAGCCTTTGCCATCAGTGCTGCCTTACTCTGACGCAAAAATGGACACATGGGCCCGTGTACAGGCAGAAGCCCTGGCGCTGTCTGGTTTCTCTGTGTTGATGTGGTCAGTCTTCGGTGGAGGGTTCAATTCCCTTGGTCTTTTCTTGCCTTGTATTGTGCTTCAAGGCCTTTGTGGCTAGAGAAAGAAATCTTTGCTCTTAAAATAACAAAAGGGAAAGAAAGTTCTGCTAATGAGATAAAGTTTAGGATGTTACCGTGGTGTAAGAAGCAGAGGTTCCTATCATTCATTTATTGATTTTCTTTTTTTTTAAATTTTGAGGAGTATACTTCAGATAATCTCGTGTGTGTGAGTGTGTGTGTGTGTGTGTGTGTGTGTGTGTGTGTGTGTGTGTAGCAGGGATTGGAGGAGGCCCTCTGGAAAAGGGTCTGATGAGTTTCCCGCTGTACTGACGGGGGTGGGGGGGTGGGGGGGGACACACTGCTTCTCTTTTATCTTCAAAAGGTCCCTCGTATCTTAGAGAAGGGCTCAGTACTATTTTATCTGGCCTCTTGAAAACAAAATGCCTCAGCGGGTTTTACTTCTGTGGTCTTTAAAACTGTGGGCTCTTCAAGAGAATAACTTTACCTAAGAGGTATATAATGTAGTTTTTGTCATTTGTTTGTTTTGGAGAAAAAAAGAAATGATTGTGCTCACGAGCTGGAAATGTTTTCCGTTGACAATGAGTATTGTGATGAAGTACATTTATGTGACATGAATGCATCATTAGAATGAACATTCCTGTTATCATGGTACACTGCTCCCAGCAGCTGACGGGAGAGAAAGGTACACACCAGATGCTGGACCATGCATATACGTACTATTTTCTGTCCACTTAATGTGGACCCTGATCTGAGTGGGAGAGAATTACGGTCATTTTATTTTTGTCTCTGCTTCCCTCTCCTAATTAAACATTCCTTTTTTCAGTTGACCCTTCAGTCATTTCTCCCGATGAAAGCTACATAAATGAATTGAAATAGTATTTGAGTAGATTTTTGTTTAGTGACTCTTGTGGTGGGGAATGTGCAAAAGGGCTTCCCCAGGATCGATGTAAACCGTTTCTGTGAAGTATTACCCAGCACTTAACAGTTGCCCCGTGGAGAAGGGGAAGCGCATCTACTCTGACAGGGTATAGGAGACAGGTAACACACTGCATCCTAGGAAGAGCACTTCGGGACGATTCCCAAAGAAAGTCAGTGTTAGTGGAAATGGTTGACTCTGCTGCTTGGATCTCACAGGTGCAAGTGGTGTACGAGGTGTCTGCCCCCAAAACTCACTTGCTTTTAATGCCTAGGAATATGTATATTCCAGTATTCCTTCTATGAAATGGTAATGTCAAATATTGTTTTAACACTGTACTAAGTAGAAGTCTAGGGTTAGCTTGAATGAACATTAACGTTCTCTGTGAATTTTGACTGCTTACAATTGCTGGTACCTGATAGCATTGATTTTTCCCTCCAAAAAATACCTAGTATCTTTCTTAAGGTAGGGGGGACAGCCGCCCTGCCACAGTCCTTTACGTATGTGTGTTCCTTTTTTCTTAATAATTAGAGTTCTTCTCTGGAAAAAAAGAAGAAAATGGTTTTGTGCCTCTCTTTTGTTATGTAAATGTGCAATTATACTGGATTTTTTTCCTTGTTAAAAAAAGAAAAAGAAAAAAAAAAAACACCCAAAACCCCACAACACTACAATTCCTTTACTTAAGCTCCTAAACTGCCATTTGCCTGATTCTAGCAATTAATTCTAAGGTAACTTACTGGGCCTCCAATAATTCTGTTGACTAGATATGGCCCCAAAGAAAGAGCTGACTGGGAAATGCTGTCGTGTTACCAGAGGTGATTGCTCCAGGTAACATGATCACAGCTGACCAAAACACTACCCTGTGCCCTTTGAGCACTTCTGTCATCCTTTTAAAAAATCATGTAAGAAAATCTAGGTTTTATCATACTGAAATGTTATTTTATATGTGTATGATAAATGTTTGCTTTTTTAAACTTACTAACATGATTTCCTTTAATGTTCAAAATGCAACTCTTACTGAAACAGTATCTAACATGAAATTTTATCTCTTGATTTCTTTTAGACTTAGTGGTATTTAATACCTGATGATTTTTATATGGTAAACCAGGGTATCCTGTGTACTTCAAATACCTTAGGTTTAAGTATTTTTATGCAGCATCTTCATTGAGTCACATTTTGTTTGTAAATCTGTAACCGAACTCTGCTGAGATGTTATCTTTTTGTTTTGGTGGGGAGGAAAGCGAGCGGACGGGAAGGGTGGTTCTGCCGTTTCAGAAATCAGGGTAGGAGGCCAGCAGCCTCAGCGCCGGACTCTTCCACGGCTTGGAGGGTTGAGTCACACCGGCCCCAGGAACTCTCCCCACACCGCTGCCTTGTCACTGGTGACCTACTTTCTTTATTTGCGGATTATGGAAGTCGCAAAGGATTGAGTTGTGCTTTGTGTTTACATAACATGTCCCATGCTTGCCTGGGCTTAGTCCAGACAGCATCTTGCTCACTCAGAGCCTGAAAAGCTGGTATTGGTCAGTATCTTTGAAATCTCTGTGTGGTCAGAGCATAAACTGTTGGGTTTTACTCTTGTTCAAAAATGAAATCATGTACAGCAGTATAGAATAATGCTGGCATTTTTTAACCTCACGTTAGTTCCGTGGAAGCAGACGTGAATGTAAGTTTTGAATCCTCGGCAAGTAAAGCTTCAGAATTTGGATTCCTCGCAATAGTGAGATCGTGGGAACCCTGTGGGCACTTGTCAGCGCAGGGAGGGACGGGGTGTGGTCGGTGAGGGGAGAAATGTCCCAGGTGGGGGGCCCTGCCGGGAGCCAGATTTCACTCACTCTCCCGGGCCATCCCACTCAGCCTGGGAGCCCTTCATGGTGCCCAGGATTGGCCCAGACCTGCGTGCAGGGATTGTGCCCACCCTCTGAGCCAGCTCCCCGGCCCACTTTCAGTTTTACTTGAACAAGTTCTGTGTTATTCTCAGAAGTGATGCGGTCCTAGCCAACGAGTAGTCCACTCAGAATCACTGATGCTCGGAGACTGCGGGTGTTCAGAGGAGGACCCCCTCAGCTGGAGGTGGGGGCTGGTCCTCCCTCGGCTCTCTCCTGTCGTAGAGAGACCCGGTGTGTCTGGAGCCGTGCCTGTTTGCAGGTTGGGCAACTGCGATGATCATGTCAAGGGCACGCTCAGAGCTGGCCTCCACTTTCCTGTCGCATAGTCTGTCCCACACATTCTCTATCGGGGCCAAAAGTAAACCTGGATTTTGGAAACAGAGTCACAGTATATAGTCTCTAGACCACCCAGGATTTGTTGCTTGTCTTTATTTATGTTTTAAGTATAAAGTTCTTCCGTAAAATCAAAGCTGTCATACCCCTGTCCCAACAGGATGAGAAAGCCAGTTCCCATGGAACCCTTTTGCTTGGGAAGCTCCCACTCCACACTCTGCAGGAGGCAGTGACGTGGGGAGACTGCTTGGTTGCTGGGCAGTACAGATGAGACTTGAATTTCTTCTTACAAGGCTGATAGATCTCTCCACCCCACGTTGCTGCTGCAGGCCTAAAGTAATCATTTGGAACAATTTCTTTTGGTCTGGGATGACCTGGAGTTGTTCTCCGGTTATTTGTAAAGAGCAAAACTCACTTTCATTTTCAGATAGGTGCGGAAATATTTAGCGGCTTTGCCATAAATTAACAAGTATCAAAGAGTTGAAAATGTATATACTGAAATCTACCAACTTTCATCTGGGGTTTGGGTGCAGGGAGAAAAGGGGTTATAAGATAAGGGGAGGGGAATGATGTTTACCACAGGTACGAAGTAGTCACTTTAACGTGTGAGATCTCTGCCTCATTGAATTCAGGACTTTTGAGTACTTGAAACTCTTCATATTCTCCCGTCTTACAGTTTCTTTTAAATTCATGAAGTAGAAAGCATTATTTTTTGTCTAGTGTTTTGAGAATCAGTAGCCTCGTCTCACCCTCTTTAACTTGGATTAAAGCTGTGGGAGGAGGGACTGTTGGCAGTGGAAAGTTCCCGTTTTGTGTATGCATTTGGGGAAGACACTTCTGCATGACATACCAGCAGCATTTTAATTCATAGTTCCTGTGTGTGTGCTTTATTTTGTCATTCTGTCATCCCTTTGACAGAGATTTGAAAGAAGATTGTCAGATACTTCTTTCCTTTTACTATATCCCTGTTTAGGGAGAAAACAAACAAAATTTTGCACATATGGTACACGCCTAAAAAGCTGGGTGTGACCTCTGTGTTTCAAAATCATTTCCGTTCTCTTTTCGTCCGTCTCCTGCTCCTGACAGGTCCAGCTGCTGGCAGCGCATACGTACACAGGGGAGGAGGGAGGGAGTGACCTGTCCTGAAAGTAGCTTCTGAAAGTCACTGATGGATAGTTGCCAAAGTCATCTGTGGCGTCCTTAGTGTTCTTACATGGCCTCACCACACCTGCTGATCCTCAAGAACACGCCCCAGGGCCCGTGGGCCCCCCCTGCCCACCACAGGCTTCATGTGTGTTTTGACCTCTCTGCACCGCTCAAACCACCAAGACACGGCATTTACAAGGTGTCGTCAGTTTGGAAGTGGACTGGATAAAAATTTCCCTTTATTTCATATTCATTAATATTGTTCTTTCTCTCATTTGTGTTGTCACATGCCCTGTATTAAAAAAAGAAAATTCTGTTGCCACTGAAGTAAGATGCTAAGTGATTACACCTGGCAAATGATACGGTTCTTTTTATGTACCGCAAGGGTGTGCGCACAATTGGAGTTGCTATGAGAAAATAATTTGTATCCACTTGTGATCTTGCACAACAGACATAGATACCTGCAGACTGTTTCCATTTCCTTGCAATCTTTATCTATAACAATGACCTTTGTAGATCGGTTATTTCTGTACTTTAGCTGTAATAAACTTTGTAGATCCTGTGAAATGTTATTTTGCCTAAATCACTTGAGACTTGAGTCTTTAATAACAGCATCACTCTTCACTAAAGTCAGTCTCTTGAGTTTCCATGACTTGGCTAGACGCTCTTGACACTAACGGATTAGTGTTACATTTTCTGGGGGGGTTCCACTAGGGCATTACTGTATAATGATGACTTGATGTTGCCACATAGACTTCAAAATATATAATATTTTGGGGGTTTTGTTGGTTGCCCTATGTTCTATTGCATAGTGTGAAATGTGTAAAGCCGATTCAACTGTATATAGGGTAGCATATTGTGGACTAGTCATAGTGTACTTAGGACTGCCTGTAATATTTAAGCTTCGTACTATTGTGTGCTGGTAGGAACATATAATTTTTGTACATTATATTTACTAATGTCGCCTTTTTTATTTTACAACTATTTTGGAATTCAGATGTGTTTTTTGCTTCCGTGAGAATTAATTTGGAAAGGTTTTTAATGACATTCCAATGATTTCAGATTTTGCTTGAGATTGACTTCAATAAATTGTCCTGTATGTTCCAAGTTAAATGTGTGGACTTGTTCATTGCCTGTCGTTTCTTACGAGCCCCTGCAGCACAGTTCGGTCTGGGATGAGTTTCCTTCCCTGGAAAAGCCTCCTACGGATCCTGCATCAGCGCGCCGGGGCTTTGATGGGGGGGGACACAGGTCCCCGATTGGAGACGCTCCGTGCTCCTCGATCCTTGTGGCGTGAGAATGTCGAGGTGCCCGCGGGTCCTGCCCCGGGCGAGGCCACCCCTTCCCCCCGGCTGGCTGGGGAGCAGCCGGGCCGGCTCTGCCTTCCCCTTCCTGGACCGCCCGCGCGCGCGCGCGCGCCGCCGCCTCCGCCCGCCGCCGCCGCCACGTCATCGGCGTCCGGCGGCCGGAGCGGATGGGGAAGGCGGCGGCGGCGCTGGGGGTCGAGCTGGGCGTGCGGCTCGGACTCTTCCTGGCCTTCCTGTGAGCGGGCGGGGCAGGGCCGGGCCGGGCCGGGCCGGGCGAGCGGGCAGCGGGAGGTGCCACTTGCCCCGTGCGCTCTCCTGCAGGGCCACGGAGCTGCTGCCCCCCTTCGAGCGGCGCATCCAGCCCGAGGAGATGTGGCTGTACCGCAACCCCTACGTGGCGGCCGAGTACGTCCCCGCCGCGGCGCTGTTCGTACGTGGGGGCCGCCGCCGCCGGGCTCCAGGGCGTGCTCCCCGGGCGGCGGGCGCAGGCCTTGGTCCTCCCTCCCGGGGCTCCGCGTTGGTCCTCCTGGGGCTCTTTGTGGGGCTCCTTGGTGGTCCTCCTGGGGCCCTTTGTTCGTCCTTCTGGGCCTCTTGGATTGGCCCCATGGAGGGGAGTGGAGGTACTCGTTAGGGGAAGGGCCCCCGGTGTGGCCCCTGGCAGGTGCGGTCCCGCAGCAGCCCCTCCAGCTGCAGAAGGGACTGTTCTTCTTTCCTAACCTTTGAGATGCTCTGGTTCAGGTCATTGCGTTTCTCTCCCCGCTCTCCCTGATCCTCCTGGCCCAGTGTCTGCACAAGGCCGGCTCCAGAGACTGCCAGCAAGCCTGCCTGGGTAAGAGGGGCTGAACCCTTCCTGGGGAGCAAACCTGCCTGGGGAAGAGAGGGTTAACCAAACCTGCCTGGCCACCAAGCCTGCCTGAGAGGAATTAAGTTAACTCTTTATGGGGAGCCAGCCTGCCTGGGGGAAGAGTTCACCTTTGTTGTGGCCCTGAGTGATACTAGAGTGGATAAGGAGCTTAGGGTCGACCTGGGTTTAACCCCCAGAATCCCATATGGTCCCCCTAAGCTCTGACAGACGTGATCCCTGAGCAAAGCCAGGAATAAGCCCTGAAAAGCACTGATGTGACCCAAAAAACTCAAGTCTTAGTGTTAGGATGAGAGAGGTGTTGTGTCGTGGGGTCACCACTACAGTTAAAGCCTCAGTGTATGGCGGCCCCTGAGTCTTGTGTAACTAGAATACTAATTATGCCTCCCCTGAAATAGAAAGCAGCACTGCAAGAACCTGACCAACAGCCACTCTGTACCTCGGTAGTTCAGACGGGTTATGTGTACCAGAAGTGTGTGCAGCCTGGTATCTAGGTCTTCGCTGTTGTCACATGCAGTCACTGAGGGTCATAATTCCTGGTATACTTGGCTCGGGTCAAAGCGTGTCCACTCTGTCCATCTCAGAGAGGCGTGCCTTCATTCCATCCGGCAAAACCCACAAACGCTTCCTCTCTTGCCTGCAGCCGCCAGCTTGGCCTTGATGCTGAACGGTGTCTTTACCAACACAGTGAAGCTGATTGTGGGCAGGTAAGTCAGGGTCTGTCCAGCGAGCTGCTCAGAGGCACTGCACACGGCTTTCTCTTGGCCCTATTCTCAGCCTAATCCTCTTCACCACTTCCTCCTTTCCCTGCTTGACCCGGCACCTGATTTCTTTCACCAGAGCAGATTCCCCACTGACCCTGCAGTCTCTGTCCTCCCTGAAGCTGCAGCTCAATCTGCTCTTTTATTACTGAAAAGAAATCAGATGTTGGAGAGGTTTTTTTCACCTTCTCTTCCTAACTGAAATGTTGATTTTGGAACATTTCACTGGTGACTACCTTAATTCATTTTCATTATTTAGGCTGTGACTCTAATTGACCAGCAAATAGAATTACTGATTTCTGGTATAACCAAGAAATGCTTTCTGGCGCTACAGATGATCTGTGTTCACATCCGGCTTTTCTTTCGCAGGCCACGCCCAGACTTCTTCTACCGCTGCTTTCCTGATGGGGAAGCCCATGCCAACCTGTCGTGCACAGGAGACAAGGACGTGGTGAATGAGGGTCGGAAGAGCTTCCCCAGTGGACATGCTTCCTGTAGGAATACCATGGATTCTATTTACTTGATTATTTTGTTTTAATCATTGAAATTCTTTTTTTTTTTTTTCTTTTTGGGTCACACCCGGCGATGCTCAGGGGTTACTCCTGGCTTTGCACTCAGGAATCACTCCTGGCGGTGCTGGGGGACCATATGGGATGCTGGGAATTGAACCCAGGTTAGCCGTGTGCAAGACAAACGCCCTACCCACTGTGTTATCACTCCAACCCCGAATCATTGAATTTCTTACCAGATGCTTATGAGGATGAAAACATCTCAATGATATTCTTATGCCTAGAAATTGTTTCTTCTTTATTTGTTTTGGGGCCACACCCGGCAGTGCCCAAGGGTTACTCCTGGCTCTGCACTCAGAAGTTATTCCTGGCAGGCTGGAGGGACCATATATGGTGCCAGGGATCAAATTCGGGTCAATCTCATGCAAGGCAAACGCCCTACCCATGGTTCTATTGCAAGAGTCCCAAACTGTCCTTTCTGTGATAGGTCTAAGATTTCCCTACACCTGAGCCTCAAGTGTTAGGGGAAATATTCAAAGACAGAAGAGAGGGGGCGGAAACAGAGGCTAGAGACAGACATGCATCTGTGCTGCCACCATGTGGTCTGAGTCTGGGCACCACACATGCTCTCCTGGGAGGCAGAGATGGTCTAAAACCAAATCTAAGATCGAGATATTTCATTCTTACAGTACTGCTTTGACTACAGTCAAGACTATATAGTCAAGTACTATATATATACATATATATATATAGTAAAAGGTAAAGGCCCTCCCGTTGATCGTCGATTTGCTCGAGCGGGCCCAGTAACGTCTCCGTTGGAGACTTTGTTGTTACTGTGTCTGGCATATCGAATACTCTCGGTAGCTTGCTGGGCTCTCCGAGAGGGGCGGAGGAATCGAACTCGGGTCGGCCATGTTGGCCGCTTGTAAGGCGAACGCCCTACCCGCTGTGCTATTTAAACAAGTAGTATATATATATAATATTTGCCTTTCGTTTGCCTTGCACGTAGCAGACCCGAGTTCGATCCCCAGCATCCCATATGGTCCCCCCGAGCACCGCCAGGAGTGATTCCTGAGTGCAGAGCCAGGAGTAACCCCTGTGCATCGCCGGGTGTGACCCAAAAAGCAAACATAATAGAAAAAAATATTTGCCTTTATTAAAAAATTGCTGTCAAGCATTTTGGATGGTAGATATTTTAGTATTGTAACAGCTCAATGAGCTGGGTTCTATTATTATGATTCCATTTATAGATGAGGAAACTAAAGCTTTGAAAAGAAACCTGCCCAAAGTCTTGTAGCTGTCCAAAAGCTACTCTTGGGTGAATACAAACTTTGGATTCTCTTTTCTTCTCCCTGATAGTAATCTCTATCACAAACCAGGCTCATAGCCCTGGATCTTGCATTTGGAGGTGAATGAGGTGCGGATGAGCTTCCTTTAAGATACGTATTTAAGGATTTTCTTCTTCTAGTTGCATTTGCCGGCCTGGCCTTTGCCTCCTTGTACCTGGCAGGGAAGTTACACTGCTTCACCCCACGAGGCCGTGGGCGGTCATGGCGGCTCTGTGCGTCCCTGTCCCCTCTGCTCTTGGCAGCTGTGATCGCACTGTCCCGCACCTGTGACTACAAGCACCACTGGCAAGGTAAGCAAGCTGATGGCCAGGGGAGTTCTCCCTCATCCTCGTCCCATCCCGAGCAACAGGCATCATGAGTGGACTGAGCACTGCAATGGGCTAGCCACAGGCCCATGCCGGCTGGCCTGCCCCCCCCACCCGCCCCTTCCAGGAACAGATTCCTCAGAGCCCTCTGGAAGTCTACTTTCTCTAAGTGAACAGACGAGGCTCTCTTAACTGTATGCGACACTATTACAGCCTTCACCCATGTCCAGTACCTGGTGGAGGGAAGCATCACTTACTGGGAGACACTGGCCTGAGTTGTACACTATAGCATTGCAGCACTGTCCTCCCGTTGTTCGATTTGCTCGAGCAGGCACCAGCAACGTCTCCATTGTTATTACTGTTTTTGGCATATCAAATATGCCACAGGGAGCTTGCTAGGCTCTGCTGTGGGGGCAGGATACTCTCGGTAGCTTGCCGGGCTCTCTGAGAGGGGCAGAGGAATCGAACCCAGGTCGGCCGCGTGCAAGGCAAATGTCCTACCCGCTGTGCTATTGCTGGGTTCTACTCTATGTGGGCTCTACACTAAGTATGTATGTACAGCGTAGGACAGATGAAGTGAGCACAGTGGCCAGGAGGGGCGCCCTTACTTTCCATTAAAGAATTCTCCCCATTATCCTCCGGGGATACATTCCAAGGCCCCTTATGAATGCCTGAACTATAGAGTAAAGGTAAAGGCCCTCCCGTTGATCGTCGATTTGCTCGAATGGGCCCAGTAACGTCTCCATTGGAGACTTTGTTGTTACTGTGTCTGGCATATCGAATACTCTCGGTAGCTTGCCGGGCTCTCCGAGAGGGGCGGAGGAATCGAACTCGGGTCGGCCATGTTGGCCGCTTGTAAGGCGAACGCCCTACCGCTGTGCTATCGCTCCAGCTCAACCCCTATATATACTGGGCTTTGTCCTGTACATACTTTATTGTAAGTTTACTAAGTAGATATACTTAATAAACATGCCACTGGCCCCTATCTGGGTGTGGACTCCAAATTAAAAATAGATAAATTACAGTAAGAGTTTAACAATTGTAATGTGAAAGTAGCCACTCACTCTGAAGTTTTATTATGCATTATATTTTGACAGTGGTTTAATCTCAGGTAACAATCCGCAAAAAGAAAATCCAAGATATGAGAATACTGTGTTTTGAAATAATATGTAAGTTTCAGACAAACTCTGTCAGAAGTGTTTTACAATGAACCTTAAAGTGTATTGCTTAAAAATCAAGCCACAGTATGTACCTGCTAGGGCACTTGCCTTTTATGTGGTCAGTTGGGGTTTAATCCCCAGCACCCTGTGTGGCCCCTGAGCACCACCAGGAGTAAGCAAAAAAAAAAAAAAATTTCATGAGATTTTATTCAGAAATAGAAAATTCAAGAAGACATAAAATTAAACCAAAGGAAATTAAGTTGAGTGATAAAATATCCACACAAATGTACAATTTAAGAATTCACAATTGTTGCAGTGCCAGGTATGTGGCTCTCAGTGAGAGAGCATGTTTAATGAGGTTTATGTTTACTTCGGTTCAATCCCTGGCACTGAAAAAAAAATTGAAAATTAAAGCATTGCTCAGAGACCCTTAGGTGTTGTTTTAAAAATGACAGTGCTAGGAACTGAATCTGGGGCTCCGGCTAGTCGTGCCATGCCATGTCCCAGGGTTTTCATTCCTCTACAGCTACTACAATGGAAGAAAGATACTTTTAACAGTAACTGAACACTGAGTGTTGTTATTCTGAATTTTAAAAATTCTCATGTAGTATACTTGGAAAAGGCCTGTTTAAAACGTGTTTATGATTTGGTATATAGAGGACAATGAGATCATGATAATCCTATATAGAGGATAAAATTGAGACAAACTATAAACTGGGGACATTGGTGGTGGGAAATGTACACTGGTGAAAGGCCAGGTGTTGGGGGACTGGAGCAATAGCACAGCGGGTAGCGCATTTGCCTTGCAAGCGGCCAACCCGGGTTCGATTCCCAGCATCCCATATGGTCCCCTGAGCACCGCCAGGAGTAATTCCTGAGTGCATGAGCCAGAAATAACTTCTGTACAATGCTGGGTGTGACCCAAGAAACAAACAAACAAAAAAATAGAAAGGTCAGGTGTTGGAACACTGAAATCCAATCATGAATGACTTTGTAACTGTATCTCACTGTGATTTAATTTAAAAAATTAAGACAAAAAACAAAAGAAACTATAAACCTGAGTCTGAGAAGTTTTGCCCAGTAGTTTGTGAAATACTAGGTACATTTGGACACGTTACTTCTCAACACTTTAATTTCCTCACCCATAAATGGGCATGGTAAAAATAACACAACCCACTTCACTGGGCTAAAATTGTTAAGCAAATAACCCGGAGAGTCCAGTTCTCCATTCTGTGTAGTGTCTAGCGTGATCTTTAAGAGTTGACTCATAAAGGCAAGCTCTTGCCTCCTTTTTTTTCAGATGTGCTAGTTGGATCCGTGATTGGCCTGACTTTCGCCTATGTCTGCTACAGGCAGTATTACCCTCCTCTGACTGACGCAGAATGCCATAAACCTTTCCAGGACGAACTTACACTCCCCACTACCCAGAAGAAGACTGGTGATCTTCATCATTTTAGCGCTGGAGCTAAACACTGGAGCACTCTCAGTGGAGAATAAGTGAATCTCAAAATAGGAATTTCAGGTCTTTTTGTTTTTTCACCTCTTACAAGGCAAAAACGAGGACAAAAGTCCTGTACTTTGCCTGTACGTGATTCTGTGGTCTTGCTGCTCCTCACATAGATGGATCAGAAGGTTCTTTCCCACTGACTTTGTGCCACATATTCTGGAAAGGAGACCTTGCAACCGTCTTAAACAGCTATTGTCTGCTTTATCAGACTGATACCCCTGAGTACAGGGGGTTGGGCACTTGCCTTGCACATGGTTGACCCAGGTTCAATCCCTGGCATCACATGTGGTCCCCTGGGTTCAGCCAAGACTGATTCTTGATTACAGAGCTAGAAGTTAGCCCTGAGCATTATAAGGTGTGCCCCCTCAGAGAGAGAGAGAGAGAGAGAGAGAGAACTGTACACCAATAGTACTTTTATAGTTAAATGCTATTCTTAGAGCTTGTCACAAAGACACCTTGATATAAGCCTCACTTTATCCTAGCTAGAGTTGATTATCAAAATTGCATTTCCATTTCCTATAGCTTAAAATCCAGGGCATGACCAATTAAATTATCAAACCTCAAGTAGGGTCCTGTCCAATTTTAGCTAATTTACCACTGCTATGTCTAGCCAGATATTGCTATGGACATAAATAACTTAGTGAATTGCTAAAAAAGCATAATATAGAAGAAAATAGTTGGGAGTCTGGTTTCTGTAATAACAGGTCATAATTATTTCTACCCAATTTGTCCTTGACTGTTCATAATCTTTCTCTTCATTTGGGTAATCTGCCCAAATGCACCAACTCTGCCAGCTGGCTGAGGCAGAAAAGAAAAAAAAATAGGGGCTGGAGCATAGTACATTAGGCAGGGCGCTTGTCTTGCACATGGCCAACCCAGGTCAGATCCTGGGCACCCCATAGGGTCCCCTGGGCCCTGCCAGAGTGATCCGTAGGGAAAAGCCTGGAGTAAGCCCTAAACACCAGGGATGGCCCCAAAACAAAACAGAAAGATTAACTTATCTAGAAGATATGGATCTATCCATTTTCTTAAGAACCAATTATGGGGCATCACCAAAACTGATTGATTTCTCTGTATTGGGATTTAAATACTTCAGAACCGCCAGAAAGATACAGGAAGTCGGGCACTTGTCCTGCACGCAGCCGGCTGAGTTCGAACCCTCACAGCCCCTGAGCACTTCTGGTGTTGTGGCCCCAAAATACTGTGACCTCAAAATACTATCACCTTCTGTGATCTTTATATTGTATCTTTTTCCTTGGGCAAATGGTGTTTTTATTACTTTGATACATTTCCAAAGTGTGACTATTTCCCCCATAGTACGGGCTGATAAGTCTATGTACTAAGGAGAGTCTCAATCTTTGCCTTTTAATTTCCATGCTTTAAATTCTGTCATCTGCCAAAATAAAGAACATGGTATGGGTTGTTTGCCCTAAACTTTAGTTTCTGGGGATGCTGGGGGTTGCCTCCAGGGCTTCATCTATATGAAGCACATGCTCAACTAACTCTTTTGGCCCTAGGAACTTTTTTTTGAGAGTTTCAGTAAGATATAGGAGAAGAGAAAAATGGTTATTGTATCATTTTCTTTATGACAGATTAAATCCGGGAAAAATAGACAACTGGTCAATAAGATTTTATTTCAGTATTTACTAAACTTTAAATATAATCACGTAAAAAACAAACATTTCAAAAAGTGCGAAATATTAGAAAGCTAATCAGTGCTGTTTACTCTTTCCATGCAAACAGTCTCTTGCTGAGATAAGCAGTACCAGTTCCATAGCAGGGAGTCTGCATAAAGTTATGCTCTACCAAAATGTTTAAGTCCGCTTGGTCAAGAGATTGCACATGATACAACTGAGTAGTGCAAATAATATACAACGAAATAATTTAAAGCAAGCTTCTTGCCCTAAGTAATATACAACCATGATAATATCAGATAGATGGGATATAAAGCTTTTCACTTTTTCTCCTTTTTTTTTCCAGTTACCTGCCCCTCACCACCAGTAAAAGAAACATTTAATACAAATGTGGTTTATTTAGCTATCCAGAGTTATGCTCTTCATCTTTGGTTTCAGGGACTCATTCTAGTCCTTTGGTTTGTTTACTTACAGTAAATAGAATGCTAACATAAAGAATAAAATTAAGAATTTGAAAACTTAACAAAAGCTTCCCCTTTAACATACTAATTGTTCCTTAATTTTCTTATTTCAAACCAGAATTTCTATAACAAAGTATTCCCAATATTCGAAATGTCTTTCTGGCTTAGTCAGCATTAGTATATGAATGTTGGTAAGGAAAGGACAGGGCTGTGATCTATACTGAATCACCTAGGCCAGCTCTAGAGTGACAGTAATTAACTTCCTTCTCTTTCCTTTTCTTCTCAAAAAGGAACAAAGACCACTGCTGTCTAAGGGATGGCTTAAGAAAATAAGAAAAATGCCAGTGCTTTGGATGCCATGATACATAATGATTTACAAAAAAACTCACAAAAAACAAAACACAGCTTGCCTGCTTCCGCCTCATGGGCTGGTGGAAGCATGAAAAGAGTGAAAACATCACAGGGAATTCTGACCACTGAGGAAAAACATGCCTGTACCTGAGCAGATGCCACGAAAGAAATGACTCTACGTTCACTGTTCTTTCCAAGATTTCAGCTTGCGCGACCTAACAGTGGCTTTGCAAAATCGCTCCTTGGACCTCAGGGAAACGGGTTTTCTTTCCAAATAAAAAGTTTGCCCCACATCAAACCTACCTGTGTCATGAACCTTTTAAGTAAGCAGTCTAGTTTATTGGTATCTAAAAGACAGTGGAACCCAGGACCTCACGTGTGTAAGGCAGGTGCTCTACCACTAAGCCCCACCGATTCTGCAGACATCAGTGCCCCTCACACAGGGGGATGAGGCAGACGACAGGACACCAAAGGGTTTATGTATAACCCAGTCTGTCAAGACTGTCGGTTCAAGTTTTCAGTTTTATACCTTTACCCTCAATAACGGAAGCTACTAGGCCGGAGAGAGCACTCGGTGGTCTGAGACCCGGGTTTGATTCCCCAGCACTGCATGGTCTCCCAAGCACAGGGCCAGGAGCAGCCCCAAGTATCACCAGGTGTGGAACCAAAACGAAAGTCAGATTCAGCTGGAGTCTTGGTATACAACACCTCTGCTTTATAAAAACTCAGTTAATATGAACTAAATTATACCCTTTAGCTTCAGAGCAACTGAAATAGCTTTAAAAGGAGGAGCAGCATTAGTACTTGCTAGCAGGAAATCTGCTTGTTGAAGGCAGAGAGTAAACAGTGCTCTCTGAGCTTCACTTTAGTCTGTTCATTTCTGTGTATGTGGAGGAAAATGATTTTAAAATTTCCCTACTCGACAGTCCTTTCCATATCCACTCAGACTTGGTTTTGAAATGCACAGAACAACAATGAGATGAATATACTCCAAAATTCCTTCGGAAACCTCTCGAGTCTGCTTCCAAACTAGGTTTTTTATAAAACAAATATTTCTATCTATGAGGATTTCTACCCAGTCTAAGGCAAATCCAAGCAAAACAGACTTTACCTTCTCAAGTGGTAAGCTGCGGCACTTGGTACCTACTGATCACCATCAAAGAATTAAAGATGTAAACCATCCCTGGCTATGGAAAAAAAATAATGTTTTTCTATAAAGCCATCAATAAAAAGTAATAGGGTCTTCCTATTGCTTTTCCACTCGCTTCCGAAGGAAGATCTTCTTCCCAAAACCCAGTGCTGAATGGGACAGGCAACATGCAGAACGATGCAGCTGAGGTGAGGGAAATGGCAGCAACGAATAGGTCGATTTTCTGGGGACGGAGCCTCAGTGTTCACCTACGGGAGAGAGTGGGGAAGATTTCAGAAAAGATGCTGCGACAGGAAGGCAGCGGGGAAGGCCCCAGCCTAACGCTGGTCACACACCGCAGGGCAGGCTGGGAGTTACGTCTTAGGATGGGCTCTTTGGAACTGGAATTGCAACTGACTCTGAGTGATGAGAACTGGGGTGAGAGTCTGAAAACTGTTGTTGTAAAAAATCACTAACAACAAACAGTAGCCTTGCTTTAAACGGCGACTGGCCTTTTTCCCAGGAATTTTAACCAATTCCCCTCTCTCTATATATAAATATGAATAGCTCAAATCTTGTGAAAGGTAATAGAAAAGTGTGAGACGCCATAGTTTCTTAGAACATGTTAACATGTAGAAACCATGCGGCATAACATGACGTTTAAAACTTACGTTAAGCAGCTATGGACGGTCCATTTTTACTGTAAAGGCTGATCAAGGAAGATACCCTGGGTCTGGTAGATTTCTTTGAGGACCAACAAAACTGTATCTTCAGATTCCCTGCAAAGAAAAAATATGTGGTAAAAGAAGGAACTAATGTTTGTACTAAGATACTTTCCATAAATTAGAAATTTCTGTAAATTTTACATCATTTACATAAATTAAAATTTGTATAAACATAATCGATACAAGCACAAATTCCAAAAGCTGAAAAGGAAAAGTGAAATCTGACTAGATAAACATTTTCTATTTATCAAAAACCACCTAGGCAATATCATAGAAAAACTGGAGAGGGCTGGAGCAACAGCATAGTGGGTAGGGCGTTTGCCTTACATGCGGCCAACCCAGGTTCGATTCCCAGCATCCCATATGGTCCCCTGAGCACCGCCAGGGGTGATTCCTGAGTGCAGAGCCAGGAGTAACCCCTGTGAATCGCCAGGTAGACCCAAAAAGCAAAAAAAAAAAAAAAAAAGGAGAAAAAGCATTTGCAATTTATTTATTTATTTTTTTGCTTTTTGGGTCACACCCGGCGATGCTCAGGGGTTACTCCTGGCTCATGCACTCAGGAATTAACTCCTGGCGGTGCTCGGGGGACCATATAGGATGCTGGGAATCGAACCCGGGTCAGCCATGTTGACTACGTGCAAGGCAAATGCCCTACCCGCTGTGCTATCGCTCCAGCCCCAGCATTTGCAATTTATATCACAGACTAATCAATTAAAAAAAAAACACAGGGTCAGAGCCACTAGGACATCTGCTGTGCACACAGCCAACCCAGGGTTAATCTCTGGCACCCCATATAGTTGGAGTAAGCCCTAAGCACTGCCAGCTATGGCCCAAAAGCAAAGCACAAAAAAACATTTCATCATAAAGAAGAATGCAGGTAACTTTCACAGAAGGAAATAAAAATGGCACTTAAATGTCTGTCAAAATGCTGAAAGTTGTACAAAATGGAAAGGATTTATAACTTTTATTATATCCTCTCTCATATATATATATTCATATATATATGTATGTATGTATATATATGAAAGGAAGCCAAAATACACGAGAGAGAAGATGAGGAAGATTCAGAAGATTTTGTAAGATGTTGGGATTCACAAAAATTGATCTACAAATACAATGTAATCACAAGATTCAAGAAAACTTTAGTAGTAACAGACACATTCTGAGCACAAAAGAAGATGCAAAGGCCCTGCTGTAGTTAGAATAACTGAATAAGAAAGTAGAAATACTAATGATTTCAAGACTTACTCTAAAGCTGCAGTCATCAAGTGTTGAGTCGGAAAGGCACAGCAAGGAAGGTGCTTGCCACGCGCGTGGCCGACCTGGGCTCAGTCCCAGCACATCAGGACGCCTGAGCAGGGTGTGTCACCCGAAAGACAGTATTTATTTGCCATAAAAATAGACAAGTTGGGGCTGGGGTGCTAGTACAGCAGGGAAAGCCCTTGCCTTGCAGGTTCTATCCTCAAAACCCTTATGGTCCCCGAGCACCACCAGGAGTGATCCCTGATGTAGAGCCAAGAGTAAGCCCTGAGCACACTGGGTGTGGCCCCCAAACAAATGAAAAAATACACAAGTCAATGGAACAAAAGAGCCAAGGCAACTCAGTGGCTTAGCCATGTGGCTTACCCAAATGCTCGAGTAAGGGCTAGCCTGACATAGAAGAGTGAACCTCAATCCTTACCGTAGACTGTGTTAAAATCTCCAACTGAACTGGAACTGCTAAGTGAGAGCCGGGGAGTGTCCATGGGGCAGAGCCATGCCTGGGGTGTGGGGGCCCAGATCCCAACTCCCAGCACTGCATGCTTCCTCCCTCTCCACCCGCCTCCCATCACCTCACACAACCATCTGGCCTGACCCCCTGGGCTCGACAACCCCGGGGGGCCGGGGCCACCTGAGCACTGCTTGGAAGACCACAAACTGCTGGACTGTGAAGCACTGTCACAGCTGCAGCTACCTGGTAGGCAAGTACCCTGTCCTCTGTACTATTTCTTTGCCCCACAGGAAAATCTGAAAGACTTTGGGTTTGGCAAAATTTCTGGGGCTGGAGCAACAGTACAGCAGGTAGGGTGCCTGGCTTGCATGTTGGTGACTAGCACCTCATATGGTGCCCCAAGGCCCGAGGAATGACCCCTGAGCTCGGAGTCAGGAGTAAGCCCTAAATACAGACAGGTGTGACCTCCCAAACCAAAAAGTGCTTTGGGGGCCACGCCCAGCAGTGCCCAGAAGCTATTTGTGGGGTTGCTCAGGGGACCAGGTGCTGAGTCTTGAGGAAGGCCACCTGGGGCATACACTCAAATCACTGAGCCACCTCTGGCTCTCAGAAGAAATTCCTGCAGCTGAGTAATGAAGACGATCCAGTCTGGGGCCAGAGAGTGAGGAGCTGAGGCACTTGTCCTGCAGTGGCTGGCCCTAGTTCAATATCAGGCACCACACATGGGCCCCCAAGCACAGCCATGAGTCATCCTTAACCCCCCCCCCCAAAAAAAAACTAAAAGAAATAATTTTGTTTTGGGGCCACACCCAGAGGTACTTAGGGTTACTCCTGGCTCTGTGCCCATGGGTCACTCCTGGCAGTGCTCAGAGGACCATATGGAATGCCAAGGGCTTGCAAGGCAGAGCCCTACCTACTGTACTCCACTGTACTCCAGCCCAGGTGACCTATTTTGTTGTTTCTTTTATGTTTTGGGGTCACACCTAGCGATGCTCAGGGGTTACTTCCGGCTCTGCACTTAGGAATTACTCCTGACGGTGCTCAAAAGACCACATGTGATGCCTGGGATGGAACCCAGGTTGGTCGTGTGCAAGGCAAGCACCCTCCCCAATGTACTCTCTCTCCAGCCCTCTGATAATCTTGTTTTGTTTTGGAGCCACCCCCGGTGGTGCTCAGGCCTACTCCTGGCTCTCTGCTCAGCAATAACCCCTGGCAGTCTCAGGGGGCCAAATGGGGCCTGGAGATCAAACCCAAGTTAGCCATGTGCAAGGCAGGTGTCCTACCCTTTATGCTATCTCTCTAGTTCCTGATAAACTATTTTTATGAGAAAATACTCTTCACCACTGATGTGTAGATAACATGTACACAGTAAAATAGGTTCAACATTATGAATCATATTGATCAGTGTAAATAAAAACCATAATGAGACCATTATACCTCGAAAGACTGAAAGACTAATCCTAATATAACCACGATACAGAGCAATTGTCAAATATGCTAATGAGAATGGAAAAATGCCAAAGAAACAGGTTTATCACAAATTACCTCGTCATCCATTCTTAAAAATGAAAGAATATATCCATCCCCACCTTCTCCCTCCCACCTCTCCTCCCTTCTGGAAGACTGAGCCTGGGTGAGGCACACTGTTCTGTATCTCTCTGCCCCCAATTTAATTCTTAGTAAAATTCGTTATGTTTACGTTAAAGGTGGGGGAGATGCCAGTAGTTGCAGTTTTTCTATTTCGATCGTAGGTATACATCCTGGCCAAAGGGCAGCCAAAGGACACACTTTGAACATTCTGCTAACTGAACTCATGGCTGATGTCATTGAGCCCCATGCACCGAAATTATAAAATGAAATCACTCTGAGTCTTCAAGTGTAACAAACCTATCCTTTCCCCACATCTATCAAATCCCTCTAACACCAAGAAACCAAGAAAGACTCCCAGAAACAAAATAAGAAACCTTTACCAGTAGCACAGGTGACTCTGCAGAGCGAATAAGTACTCGTTGAAGCTCTCGATGGGCTTCTCCTGGAGCACGTAGTCGATGCGCTGGCCCCCGTTCAACAGCCCCACGTTGATGGGCGGCTCTTCCTCCTTGGCAGCGGCCTCTTCTGCGCCATCTTCTGCACGGAGGAACCAGAGCAAAAATCACACACGTCCCACTCCTCCACAGGTGGCTTGTTCCTTCTCAGACGTCAGGTCAGCCACAGGATCCTCTATTCTCTCCTCAGAAAGCTCTCTCCCGTTTTCCTCCCCGGCCCTCGAAAAGCTTCTCCTCTAGTGGTACTGATCTGGAGGTTGGAGAGACAGCATAGCAGGCAGGGTGCTTGCCTTGCATGCAGTCGACCTCAGTTCAATCCCCGGGACCCCATTCGGTTCTCTGAGCACCACCAGGACTAATCCTGAGTGCACAGCCAGGAGCAAGCCCTGAACACTGCCAACGTGTGCCCCCTGACAAAAATAACGTCATACTTTGTCCAAGCCATTTTTTGTGTACCCTTGATTGCTAATTCATTTTCCTTCCGTTCATAAACTGAAAGCAAGCAAAAACAGAATTCTAGGGTAGTTAAAAACTAAAACTAGCAAATACAATGTTATGAAATTAAATTCAGAGGGTATCCTAGCTAATTTGCTAGTTAGCACCCAGCCAGGAAACTGAGAGTGTCCTGCCCGCATGTATGCCTGACTGGGAATCCCTGTAAAGGTGATTAGAGGATGGCCCAAAAGCCTCCATCCCTCTCGAAGAGCCTGGCAAGCTACCGAGAGTATCCCGTCCGCACGGCAGAGCCTGGCAAACTACCCGTGGCATACTCGATATGCCGAAAACAGTAACAATGATGGTCCTCATTCCCTTGACCCTGAAAGATAGTAACATACATAGATATTCTACTGTAAAGGGTACTTCCCAGAGTAGGCTTTTAACATCATCGTAATTCCCATTTGCTAATGGGTTATGTTTCTGGGGTTTCTGGTCCTGGGGATCCAATCCAGGGCCTCATACATACAAAGCATGCAAATTCTAACACTGAGTTACACCCTTTTTTGGTGGGCTTTTGTTTAAGGGCCACACACAGCAGTGCTTAAGAGGGCTTGGGGGAATCAATCATGCAGTACTGGGAATCAAACCAGGGCATCCCGCATGCAAAGCATGTGCTCTCAGCCTCTGTGCTATCTCTCTCTCTCACCCCAGGGAATGTTTTAAAACCTTGTTACCAGATAATCAGATTCTTGTGCCATTTTTTTCCTCAAAAATAATGTTTTTCCATAATTTGTGGCTATTAGGTGACAGAAAAGGTCAACAAAGTTGAAGGTCCATTAGGATTCACAGTACTGGCCTATACAATAAAAAGGGAAAAGGAGAGCCAGAGAGAGATTACAGGAGGTAAGGCATCGCCTTGCATCCTGCCGATCCTGATTCGAATCCCCGGCACCACACGTGGCCCCCACAAGGACCACCAGGGGTGAGCACAGAGCCAGGAACAGCCTCTGAGAACTGCGAAACATGGACCAAACCCCCTTCCCCCAAAAAAGCAAAAGGAAGAAGCCCCCAGGAGAATGGAAACTACACAGTACAGAGTGCCTCTCGTGTGGCGAGAGGTAGGGAACCAACATGGAGAACATCACTGACCGTTAGGCTTCTCTGAACTTGATTCAGATTCTACTTCAGTTTCTTCTGCAGCTTCTGCCGCTGGTAAGGCGGGGTCTGGCGTTCTGGTGAAAGATTTCCAGGCCATACGTAGTGAGCCTAGAAGGTTGTTCTTAAAGTCCATACTCATCCTGGTCAAGCCCTCTCTGAGTTCTGAAATTAAATGAATTATGAAGAGCCTAGGGCCTAATATTGCTGAACTAAGTGAATTAAGTCTAGTTCGTTTGTACTAATCAGAAGCTCTAGAATTATCAAGTCTATACTCAGACATACCTAAGTGCATTCGCTTTCTGCCTTTATGATGCGGGATCAGCATTGGCTCAAATTCCATTCCTGGGACCACCATTGGTTCAATCCTGTAGGCCACAGGATCAAACTACACAGGAAATACATGCGTTAGAGTTAACTTTTCTGAAGAAGTGGAAATAGTCTGAGAAACTCATTACATCAGGCTCATTACATAAAAAGTTTTCTGCTCTGTCACTTCCAGCCCAATACTATTTTAAGCTGTCTTCTTACTACAGAATAGCATAGAAAAAAAAAAAAAACCCAATGCAATAGATGTTATATTATGGTAAGCTGGTAAGAGCTATTCAGTGCTTACAGGATGATAAATATTGAAGAAACCTTTGCATGTTGGAAATTTGTAGCTGGGATCAATTCTTTTTAGTCCTCGAACAGTCAGGAACATCCCAATGGGAGATCCAAAGGCAAAGAATATTTCAGGTTTATATATGAGCCGAGGGTACTTTACAGACACCTGTGGGAAGGAAACAGAAGCATCTCTCGGTAAAGCTCCTCTCCAGGGCCGGAGATAATACGGGGTTAGGGTGCATGTCTTGCATGAAACGAGCCACGGTCTGAGCTCTGACACCATACAAGCCCCCAAGCATCACCGGGTGCAGCCAGGGAGCACCCAGGCATGGAGAGGTGTGGCCCGACTCCTCCCTCAGGCACTAGCACTGGTCAGCAAGGTGGGCTGACCAGCACCTGGTGGGAGGGTGCAACGCGAGGCTGGGAAAGTAGCGCAAGAACCTGCTTTGCGTGAAGACTGAGCTCAATCCTCAGCACAACAGGGCTCCTGAGCACTGCCGGGAGCAGCCCCCAAGCTCCCCCAGTGTGGCCCAAACACCATTTCCACTTTTTCCTCCATGCCAATGGAAACAGAGACCCTGAAGAAAATCAGTTCTGTCACCTGTCCTATGCCAACGTCCAGATATTCGTTTCCAGTATCATCAATTCCTTGGCAGCACTCTGCGTCTCTGGGGACGTCAGACGAATTCATCCCTGAAGTTAGTGGTGGGACCGCTCTATTGATACCCTAAAGAATTAAAAATAGTTTTGTGGAGCTGCTATGAAATAAAAGTACCCAAAGGATTATGAAGTTTTCAGCCGGCTTAAAAGGACGCTTGGAAGAGTTTTTAAATGACAGTCAATGTGCCATATCACTGCATCACTGTCATCCCACTGTTCATTGATTTGCTCGAGTGGGTGCCAGTAACGACTCCATTCGTCCCAGCCCTGAGATTTTAGCAGCCTAAAACTCGTCCTTCCCAACAGTGCCGTATTAGAGGCTCTTTCAGGGTCAGGGGAACGAGACCTGTTATTGTCACTGTTTTTGGCATATCAAATACACCACAGGGAGCTTGCCAGGCTCTGCCGTGCTGGTAGAATACTCTTGGTAGCTTGCCGGGCTCTCTTAGTAGCTCATTCATGGCCATGATCCAGAGACTCACTGATAAATCTCGGAAGAGAAAGAGCAACAGGCTGCAGAGATGCCTCCACACCCCAAAGTCACCATCCAGTTAAAAATTTAACTCTAGCTCTATGATTCTATTTAAAATTTTAGAATTCCTGGAGCATGCAGCCCCATACATCTCATACTTTGCCTACCTGATGTACCAAGAGTATATCAGCATACAAGGGACAATCTGTAAAGACATGTTAGTAATCTCTTATACAAAGGCTGACTGGCTTCGGGGTGAGATACAAATCTTTTTCACACACTTTCCTCTAAGGAAACATTTTTGGGTCATTTTTAGTGAACTGTTCACAACAAGCAATACAAAATAACTTATTTAGTATGTATTCTTGGGGCAGGTTTGGGTGGTGATGGGAAAATTCAAAATAATGGTGGTGGGATGCTTGAATGATGTCAATACTGGTGTTGGAATACTGAATATAATAAATTATTGTGAACAACTCTAAAAATAACTGTCACAGTCACGGTCCTCCCATTGTTCATCGATTTGCTCGAGCGGGCCCAGTAACGTCTCCATTGGAGACTTTGTTGTTACTGTGTTTGGCATATCGAATACGTCACGGGGAGCTTGCCAGGCTCTGCCGTGCGGGCGAGATACTCTCGGTAGCTTGCCGGGCTCTCCGAGAGGGGCGGAGGAATCGAACTCGCGTCGGCCATGTTGGCTGCGTGCAAGGCAAACGCCCTACCGCTGTGCTATCGCTCCAGCCCATCACTCTTAAGGTAGCCAACTAAAAATAAAAATAAATAAATAAATAAAAGACAGCCAATAATTGTAGCTGATGGACACAAAAGCTGCTATAAGCTACGAACTGACATCCCTACATCAACCTAAAATGACGAAAGCTGTCCTGTCATTTGGGCAGCAAACACTGAAACAACAGCACAATGTTAAGGACTGCTAAAGAGATTTAATGCTTTTTTAAAAAGTTGTATATACGTCTCTATGGGTACACAATATGATGCCTACTAAAGCAAGAACTGAGAAACCTTTTAAAATGCTAAAACGGGACCAGAGATAGTACAATGGGTAGGGCACTTGCCTCGCACACAGTTCCTCTGGATTTGATCCCCAGCATTCCACATGGTTCCTGAGCCCACCAGGAGTAAGCCCTGAGCACAGCCAAGCTGGCCCCAAAACACCAAACAGAAAAGGGTTGAAAAGTGGCTGGAGAGACAGTACCGCAGCAAGCTACTTGCCTTGCACATGGCCAAGCCAGGTTTATGCCCAGTACCATGGCCCACGAGCTCTGCCAGCAGTGATTCCTGACCTTAGAGCCACGAGTTAGTCCTCAAAACCCCTGGGTGTGACTCAACAACAACAACAAAGAAAACATAAAAAAATGGGCACTGGTGGAGGGATGGGTACTTGATCATTGTATAATTGAAACCCAAGCACAAATATTTGTAAATCTACAACTGTACCTCATGGTGTTTCACTAAAATTAAAAAAAATACATAAAAAGTGATTACTAATAGGACAATGGAAATATTCTGGAATCAATAACAATGATCATACAACTCTGATACAGTAAAAAATATCAAACTGGAAAAAAAAACCCTCAAGTCGGACGTGTGCAAAGGAAGCCCCCTACCCACTATATTGTCTCCATCTAGCCCTGAGGTGATAGGACTTCTATCACCTATCACTAATGCTAAAACAACTAATAACAGTTTTAAGGATATCAATAAAAATATGCTTAATTGCTGAAGAGACCCAAGACCAGTAAATAATGCTTGGTTCACTCAATACAAAATATAATAACATAAAGAACTTTTTATACCAACAATCTATATTAGTACATACCACTGAGTCTTTTCTGGTCCTAAAATAGTTTAGTATCTTCTTTCTTGGTCCTAAGGGTATCCCCATCTCCTGCAGATCCTTTTCTGAACACAAGGCCTAGGCATAGAAAACAAACCATATTGTGCTTATTTATCTTGGTACTTGGACCACACCCGGTAATGCTCAAGACTTACTCCTGGCTCGGAGCTCAGGGGTCACTCCAGGCAGTGCTCAGGGAGCCAGAGGTTGTGCCAGAGATCAGCGGGTACAAGGCAAGTGTCCTACCGACTGTAATATATCTCTGGCCCCTGTTCCTATTTCTAGGCAAAATAAAATCAAGTAATGTTCTTTAAAAAACAGAAAAGAAAGAGAAGTCCTGCCCTGAAAAAAATAAGGTCTACACAATCTGTTATTCTTTGATTTCTATTACTAAAGTATCCTCATGATACAACATCCTTCATAATTTAAAAATAAAGAGTGCAGTTCAAAGAATAAAAAGTGGGGCTGGAGCAATAGCACAGCGGGTAGGGCATTTGCCTTGCATGCAGCCAACATGGCTGACACGGGTTCGATTCCCAGCACCCCGTATGGTCCCCTGAGCACCGCCAGGAGCAATTCCTGAGTGTATGAGCCAGGAGTAACCCCTGAGCATCGCTGGGTGTGACCCAAAAAGAGAAAGAAAAGAAAGAATAAAAAGTATCAATACCAAAGTATTGGTATATACCTAAAGACAGGGGCATATCTAAGTTCATGACAATGAAACACTGATTACTATGCTCACACAGATGTCACAATCCTAGGAATTTCCAATTTGTCACTCATGGACAAGCAGTAAAAACATATAGCAACAGAACTAATACAGAGCAGACAATCAAGATCCCAGATTAAGTGCTCCTGATCAGGAAAGCCTAGCTTTACCTGCCCATAATAAATTCATTCAACTTGTTATCATTCTCCCATCACTGGGTACTTGTTTTCTTACTTAGAACTTAAGTGTCCGGTTATTTAATGTGCATCACTTCCAGTAACAATAAATACCACGACGTAGGGAACACAAACCACTCTAACATCAGTACTTGATCATAGGAACCACCTACCAACACCTATTAAGTAATTCATGTATCCTGAATCTGAAAACAAATACCAGGTCAGAGAGATGACCCCATGGCCTGGAGTGTATATTCTGCAACCAGGTCAAGGTTTCATCTTGGCACCATGGTCCTGAGCACTGCCAGCAACAGCCCCCAAGTACCAAGCCAGAAAGTGACCCTAAGAACTACCAAATGTGGTTGCAAAACAAAAGAGAGTGGCAAAAAAAATGCAAGTATCAACAGTTGAGCTCTTGAAAGATTAAGAGAAATAAAAGTTGCGTAATTGGTGGTCATTTGCTGATTTCTGAGCAGTACTTTTTTTTGAGTGTGTACTCTAGCACTGTATGTATATCAATATCAGCACAAAGCATAGATCACTCTATGTGATTTTTTTTTCTGTATTCATTTTTCAGGCCACATTGACAATGCACTCAGGAATAACTCTTAGGGGCCAGAGAGATAGTGATTCTTGAGTGCAAGCCAGGAGTGACTCCTGAGCTTCACCCAGTGTAGCCCAAAAACTTAAAAAAAAATGGGGGGGAAGGAATTACTCCTATTTAGCAATGCTCAGGGGACCAAATGAGATGCCAGGGACTAAAACCAAGATGGCCAAGTGCAAGGCAAGTGCCCAACCTGTCGTACTATCTCTTTAGCCCTTTACTTTATATGATTTGAAAAACAATTCTATGAACATCGGTAATAATAAATTTGTGACTAAAATGCTTCCATTACTAGAGATGGCACAGGGGTTAAGCCACATGACTTGTATGCAGAGGACCCCAATTTTATCCAGAACTCGGGGTGTGGCCCCTGAGACTGCCACAGGCCTGAGCAGCACTATTCCTCATGTCCACCGGAGCCTTGCGTCTCCTGAGGACCTCTTGGGAGGCAAAAAGGAAAAAAAAAGCTTTGAATGAATAGGCAGAGATAGTTATTAAAAACAAGTAATAAAAGTGACTAACCTAAAACCCCCCTATGAATAACTTTGTAAATCACGGTGCTTTAATAAAATTTTTAAATTAAAAAAATCAATTAAATGGTACTATATAAAAAGTTTAAAGAAACTTTTTTTTTTACCAGAGCTTCCTTATCTACTTTCTCCTTCTCAAAGACACTATAAAATTCAGAGAGCTGAAGTTTCTTCAAATCTTCCTCTAGTGTCAGCGTGTCTCCATGATCCGGTACGACATCCAGAGAATCCTAAAAATCAAGTTGCAAAGCTCAATACTCTAAGGAGAGGAATAGTTATGCTTTCCTCTATTAATTTAGTTTTGTAATAAAGAAATGTACTATGTAAAGGTTTCCACAAGATGTATCTGAACTGTAAACAAATTTTAAATCAAATTAAGAAGTAAACTTTAAGCTACCGAGAGTATTCGATATGCCAGACACAGTAACAACAAAGTCTCCAATGGAGACGTTACTGGGCCCGCTCGAGCAAATCGACGATCAACGGGAGGGCCTTTACCTTTACCTTTAAGATTTTTAACTTCAGTTAAAACTTTCTTAAAATAATCAAGTATTTTTTGTTTTTCATCATAATTTGCAAAACATTTTCTGAGCTCTCCTTAGGAAAACAGTATTTAAGGCATAAAATAATCTAAGACAAAGCTCCTATCCTAGAAGAACTCATGGCCCAACACAATACACTGTATTTTTTTAAAAGTATATATATGTACACATACACATATACATCCATATATACATATATATTCCAAGTACTAAATTAAACTAGCACTATAGGTAAGTGTTCACAAGATTTTGTTTTATTAAAAGAACAAATATCAAGTCCTCTCACTGCCTTCAATTTATATAAATTATCAGTTTGCATGTGATCAATCTTTATTTAATCATATGTAAATTCCACTCCAGCTCAATGATTCTATAATAAGATTTTATTAACAGATCAGCAGTATAAATGTATAATATACGGTATCTACTTATTTCTAATTTTTTTGGGGGGGTCACGCCCAGCGATGCACAAGTGTTACTCCTGGCTCCGCACTCAGGAATCACTCCTGGCGGTGCTCAGGGGACCATATGGGATGTTGGGAATCGAACCCAGGTTGGTCGCATGCAAGGCAATGCCCTACCCACTGTGCTATCGATCCAGCCCCTCTAGCTATTTTTAAATGTGGCAAAAATCTGTAGAAGCATAGCTACTTCTGTCATTCATAGCTGTCAGAAAAAAATTACAAATTTATAAAAATAAATATAAATTTAATGTGAAGGCTTGAGACTAAAATAAAACATTTAGGCCTAACATCTAAAAATCCTTACTAATAAATACTATAAGAGAACCTAGCTGAATATCTAAATTACCTTTTCACTGTCAATATTCCCCAAAGAATCTTTCTGATTTGTTAGAATATCAAACAATATAAGCGAACCTATAAGTAAAATAGAAAAAAGAAGTGACAATTTCTAAGCATTAGCACTACAGAGCTATCTTTCATACAAAAATGTGATGTCAGTTACCCAATGTAGCAAAATTCACAAAGCAAACGGTCTTTTATCCAATTTATCACCCCTCCAGCCCCTCCCAAAATCATCACATTCCGTTTTAAGCCTAAAACTGGATTTGATACTGATAAAACATACTGTGCTTTTAAAATAGGGTCCATAAAATGTGAGAGTCCTCCCTGGTCGGAAAGAATTCATGTTACCTAAACTATGACCAGCAATGGATACACCCCCTTTGAAATCAGGGTTCCTCTGCAGAAAAAGCGTATATATTCGGTTCATTTCCGAAGCAACTGTGTTCACAATAGTCTGACAGTAGGTGGGGCTATTGTAGAAGAAGACGTCCAGAATAGTGTCATTCGTGAAGTGCCTTAGGCGGTTAATGCTGGGCAGGGTTATCCGCTGCAGATCTCTGAAAACAGTAAGAGATATTTTAAGCAGAAAACTTAAATACAATCCATAATGTCCTCTAGTCCAAGCTTCTTACAAAGTGGGTTCACAAGGTAGCAAAACGGGGCAATGGTAACAGACTTCTAAACATATAAGAACCAAAAATTAATTCCAAACCAAACATGTAAGGAATCTGAAGTGTTTCTAGAAGCCCATGGACACTCCCCCCTGATACATTTCTCAGGTGAAAGGGGCTGATGGTTGAAATGAAGAAGCCCTGCTCTAAGTCACTATCCAGCTAAGTCTTCTTCAAGCTTAGAGACATCTGAAGATACAAGTGATACTATAACTTTGTAGGAACCGGAGGGCAGAAAAGCATGTTCAATGAAGTCACGGGAATGTGACTGGTAAATTTCTGAGTGTGAAAAAAACCAAACAACCCAGTAATCAAGAGACTGAGACGAATGGCATATCGACTAACTGCAATTCATAGATCTTAGTTGGATTTCAATTTAAAAATGCGTATGCACATGAACTGGCATTTGTACGCAGATACAAAATGGTACGTATATGTGTATGTGTTGTTTATATACATGCATACATCATGACATTAGCTGGAAATTAGAACACTTGAGAATATATATGCTGATGTAAGAATAATTGAGGAGGCCAGAGAGGTAGCTCCATGGGCTGAACCATGCTCTGCATGTAGGACGCACAGGTTCAATCCCCAAGCACTGCAGGGAGGGACCCCTACGAAAAAGAGGTCACTCCCAGAGGTGCAGGGAGACGCGACATTCAGCCATTTGAGCAGGCCGAGGCTGTGAGTTCGATCCCGGCTACCACCATGCCAACAGCTTTCCTGCTTGGGACCAACCCAACCACAACCAAAGTGTGTGACCCCAAGAGGCATCATGGTCAGTTAAGTGTGTGAACACCACCACCAAGAGTGTGAAATAAGTTGTCACAATAACAGCCACAACAGAAGAAGGGAAGGGTGGGGAATATAAAAATACACAGAGAAAAGATGGGTAGCAGACGCAGGGATGAAGATGAAGGGGGCAGCACTGGCCGTGTGTTTAGGCTTGTTGAGGCTGGGTAATCATAATCAGTATGTTAAAATTGATTAGACATACTGCTTTTAGAAACATAATTCTCTAAAACAAAACCTTAGAAAGTATACGGAAGGGCTTTTGCTGAAGTTTTCAACATTAAGGTTTTTTGATCACACATCATCTCCCAATGCAAAATTTCTAAAAGCTGAAATAAAGCGAGTCAGCCAGAGGCCAACAGCACACACACAGAATTCTCAAAAGAGAATGATGAGGGGACAAAGTAATAGTATAGCAGATAGGGCTTTTGCCTTGCATGCTGCTGACACGGGTTCCATCCCTGGCATCCTATGTGGTCCCCTGAACCCTCCCCGGAGTAATTCCTGAGTGCAAAAACCAGGAGTCACCCCTAAGTGTCACAGGGTGTGGCCACCCCCCCAAAAAAACAAAACAAAACAAACAAAAAAGATGATTATATGCTGGTAGAATCTAAATGAACTTACAGTTAAAGCTTTCTCAAAATTCCCAGAAATATTCCTCGAAGAATCTACTGCTTCTGTGGTTCAGTGAGGGCACGCGCTTAGTCACTTCCTGGCATCACCTCACACACAGAAGCATGAGCACCACGCCAGGGCAGCAACATCACGGCAGAGCACAGGCCGCAGGAATATAATCAAATCATAGGGTACTAAGAACTGAAAGACACTGGAAAGTCCCTTCTACTTTTTTTTTGTTTGTTTTGTTTTGGGGCCCAGCTGTGCTTAGGGCTTACTTCCAGCTCTCCCTCAGGATCACCTCTGGCAGTGCCTGGGGACCATATGCAGTGCTAGGGATCAAACCCGGGTTGGTTATGTGCAAAGCAAGTACTATCTACTGTACTATCTACTGTACTATCTTCTTTCTAAGAGCAGCATGGAAATAATGCTGATTACTTCCTTTATCTTCCAGAGAAGCATTCCAGTTCTGTCCTGGAACTTTATTATTAACACATTTCTTTCTGGAGAGCCCACAGTTCAGAATCAATCTTTTCTGATATTACCATAAAATTTACATTCGACATTTCGTAAAATTTCTTGTGATTTAGAAAGTCATCACTTAAAGGTCATTGTGCTAATTATATTTCAGGTCGTAATTGCTAGTAACGTTTGGAAATTTATTATTTTGCCCGTAAATCTGAGCAAATATTATTTAAATATGGTCATGAAAGAAATAACCATCTGCTTTGTACATCCTGAGGTATGGTTAGCTTTTGACATCTTAAGATAGAAATGTTTATACTATAGGGCCAGAGCAATAGTACAGCAGGTAGGGCATTTGCCTTGCACGCGGCCAACCTGGGTTCAATCTCCAGCATCCCATATGGTCCCCAAAACACTGCCAGGAGTAAATTCTGTGTGCAGAGCCTGAAGTAACCCCTGAGCATCGCTGGGTGTGACCCAAAAAGAAAAAAAAAATTTACACTATAAACAAAATTCACTATTTGCACCACTGGGTATGGGCCAAAACACAAAGAATACAATGTCTGCCTTTTTGTGCTTTAAAAAAAAAAAGCCGTTTTAATAAATATTAATAATTCAGTAAAATATAATGGAAGACAGCTTATTACCTCTAAATCTGGCTATTTAAACCAAGAGATTTGATAGTATTTAATAATACATAATTAAGAGAAGAAAAAAAAACAGAAGTACAAAACTTGGTGGCCAGAGAGTAAGGCGATTGCTTTGCACAAAGCTAACACAGGTTCGAGCCCAGCAGCACATATGGTCCTGGAAGTACTGCCCAGAGTGATCCCTAAGTGCAGAGTCAGAAGGAAATCCTAAGTACAGCTGGGTGTGGCCCAGAAACAACATATAGTGCGAAATGTTTGAGGCTGAAGAGACTTTAAATAATAATCATCTACAGCAGCAGAAATGCCACAAACATAATCAGAGAATATACTATGATTCTGGTAAACGAAACGAAGGCTCAGGAGGTAGGGGATATTCCAAGGGCTGAAACATGCCTTGAATGGGCGAAGCTCAGCCCATTCCCCTGCACAGCTTGGTAAGCCCTGGTGGCCCTCAGCACCACCCTTCTAACCAGCACCACATCACCAAGCTAAACACAGAACCATTAGGCTCATCCCAAGGCCAAGTATCTCTAGGAGGGACCGTCCCAGCCACCACAACAAACCCTTGCCACTACTGAAAAGGCATAGCTCCTACCACTAATACCTCGCCACAAAAAAAAGAGAAAGGTATTACTCACACATCCACTCCAGTAGAATGTAAAGGACTATGCCAGTTGACTGGAAGAAATTCTACCCTCCCAATCTGCTGATTTTCCTGAGCTTTCTTAAAATGTGTCTGCAGCAAGTTCAAAGAAACACTGCGAAAGTCATTAACTGAAAAAGAAAATTAACTTATGCATCAACAATGAAAAAATAAAATCAGAGAATTAAGGATGAAATAAACAATGTAATTACACCGTCTATAATTATGTTTGACTCATATACAACAGAGGATATTTGGGAAAAATTACCAGTATCTATAGGAAAATGGATTCCTTTGAAATAGAAGATGCTTTCATCATACAGAATATTTTATCAAAGAAAAAGTTAAACTAAAAATTTCTACTATTCCTGGGGGCTAGAGCGATAGCACAGCGGGTAGTGCGTTTGCCTTGCACGCGGCCAACTCGGGTTCGATTCCCAGCATCCCATATGGTCCCCCTCAGCTGTGCCTGAGCCAGGAGTGACCCCTGTGCATCGCCAGGTGTGACCCAAAAAGCAAAAAATAAAATAAAAAAAATTTCTACTATTCCAGGAACGGTTTCAATTTTTTTTTTTTTAAAAAATCTCATCAGTGTGTCAATAGGCCTCAAAATCAGATTCTTCCTAACATTTTGGTTCTTACAAACAACCAATGTTCAATACTCCAGCTTTCTAAAACACCCTTGAAATTTATATTTTAATCAATCTTAACCTTATAGTTTATGCTGAGTTGGATAGTACCCTCCAATCGGGACAGAAACACTCTGACTTCTATCAAGTTGGCGGCTTGTCGGAAGACAACCCGAGCCCGAGACGGGAACCTCAGCTGCGCTCAGACCTGGGAACTGACTGGAAGAGTGGTAACTGAGTGCACAGAGAGAGCGCCTTTCCCGCCCAGGTCCGGGAAGGCCCCCAGTCCTGCAGCTCGAGGTTAGCAGCACCTGGATGCATTACAGTGATAAACAAGTTAACTAGTGACTGTATGTGGTTGCTGATAAAGGAGGAAATGTGCTATGTGATGTACTGTAATAGGATAATTGCCTTGTTATTAGTAGGAAGTTGCTTTTCTGATCATGGAAAGTATATAGCCACTGATGGTTTGGGGTACAGACACTGTGCATGCTGGACATGTAGTCATCTGTCCCTTCCTGAGCGCACTGCATCGTCCTGGTCTCGTATCCTCTTGAGATGTATCAGGGGCTATCCCTTTCAAAATCAAGTTTTACTAAGGACCTGTATTAAGTGGTTTTCGTGATTCATATTATGATAAGCTTTTTTTAATTTTCTAGCTGATATGCCCAAATATACTTAGGAATATTTAGGAAGTATATTAGGAAGTATACTTAGGTATATTTCAATTAGAATATAAAAAAATTATCACAATATGAGTTACAATATGAGCTATAAAAAATGGCTGAAATTTTTTATTCAATTAAATGGTATCTTTTTTTTTTTTTAAGTGAAGCTAAGTACTTGTTATTGACAAAACTTGCTTAGAAAGACGTACGTGGGGCTGGAGCAATAGCACAGCGGGTAGGGCATTTGCCTTGCATGCAGCCGACCCGGGTTCAATTCCCAGCATCCTGTATGATCCCCTGAGCACTGCCAGGAGTGATTCCTGAGTGCAAAGCCAGGAGTAACCCCTGAGCATCGCCAGGTGGGACCCAAAAAGCAAAAAAAAAAAAAAAAAAAGTGCGAAGAGAGAAACTAGGGACGTGTGTTCAAGAGAGTACACGGCCTTCTTCAGTGGAATAAGCAAGCCAGGAAATAGAGAACACAGGCTTGAGGGAAGCCTACACTGTAGCATCCTTAAATGTGCAATCGTAAGAAACAGGATCATCACATTTTAAAGCAATTCATAAGGATTAAGGGCTTATTCACTAAAGAGTTGCTAAAAAACAAATTATTCGCCTAAGAAATGTACTGTTCCACTCGGTCTAAGGGGGGAACAGACTGACTCCAAAGTTCTACACACACATGCTCTGCAAACTTACCACACTGAACGATGCTTCTGAAGCGGAGATCACAAGCTGGCCCGATGCCGTGGACCACAAAGACCAAGTGATCTATCTGTAAAGGCTCGCCTAGGACAGAATCAGAAGAAAAATTTGACAGCAAGTCATGTGTTCTAAAATCACACATTCACAACAAATAAGTGACAAAGATGTGCAAGTTAATATGAGCAGGTAATTTAAAGGACATATAATTGTTCTATGCTTAACTACTTAATAAAATTACAATGACTTCTCTTAAAATACGTATAAAAACTTATCTTTAAGTTGTAAAAAAGGGGAGGGGGTGGAGCAATAGTACAGAGGGGAAGACATTTGCCTTGCACATGGCCAACCCCAGTTCGATTCCCAGCATCCCAAATGTCCTCCAGGGTAACCAGGAGTAATACCGAGCACAGAGCCAGGAGTAATGCCTGAGCATCTCCAAGTGTGGCCCAAAATCCAACAAAAAAAAGGGGTTAAGGCACTTGCCTTGCATGTGGCCAACCCTGTTCAGATCCCCAGTAATACACATGGTCCCCTGGGCACCACCAAACGAGGCCTAAACACCGTCCCCCTCTGCCAAAAAATAAAACAAACTCAAAAAGATTGTTTAAAAAAACTTATTATTAGGCTCACTAGATAGTACAGTGGGTAGGGCACTGCCTTACACACCACAGACCCAGGTTCAATCCCCAGCATCCCATATCGTCGCCTGCACACTGCTAGGAATGATTCCTGAGCGCAGAGCCTGGAGTAACCCCTGAGCATCAACGGATGTGGCCCCAAAACAAAACAAAATTTTACTGTTAACGAACCTTATGGAGAATTAGTATAGAAATTCTCCCGTGTACAGCTTCAACACTAACATATATCCCATTTAGTTTATTAACCTCCTCTCTTTTATGTGTATGTAAATCGTATGTTTTCCTAAATTATCTGCGAATTATAAGTGATCAGATTGCACATATCTATCATTATCCTGTATACAAGCACAGGGCAGTTATCAGATTCACACAATTTAACAGTAATAGGATTTGGAGGTGTGGGTGTGAGGGGGTCACGCCTGAGGTCACTCCTGGCAGTGCTTGGGGACCACATAACTGGAATGCTCGGGGATCAAAGCAAGGCCAGCTGCATGCAAGGCAGAGGCCCCACCTGCTATACTATCACTCCAGCTCCAGCAATAGGCCTTTTAAATATTATTCTTTTGTTGCTTGGTGGAGGGTGGAGGCACTCAGGGAACCTACGGCGCACAGTGTCAGGATCGAACCTAGGGCTCCTGTAGTACATACACTGCAGCCCTGAGCTATCGCCCCAGTCCTCTACTATACTGGGGGGAGGGTGCTGTTAAGCCACACCACCACTGACCAGAGCATCAGACAGCAGAAAAACTGAACTCAGGCCTTGCACACGCACAGCAAGTGCTCTACCACTTAGTTACATCCCTAACCCCTACCATGTCTAGTATGCAACGAAAGCCTGAAATTTTAAACTCATCTTTTCGAATTAGCCTGACTCGGACGTTCTAGTCAAGAGACAACCATTTTCTATGTAAGATAAAAGGAATTTGGGGGGCCTAGAAAGATAGCACTGCGGGTAGGGTGCTGGCCTGGCATGCAACCAACCTGGGTTTGATCCTGGGCATCCCATATAGTCCCTCATGCTCATCAGGAGTAATTCCTGAGCATCACCAGATGTGGACCAAAAAAAAAAAAAAAAAAGGTAAAAAAAAATTAAAGAGAGGAATTTTATAATCTAGTTAAGTATATTATAAAACCAATAATAAATGGCCCTACTTAGACATCAACAGATAAATACCATAATCCTACTGAAAAAATAGTTCTCATTTCAAAAGCTTCCAGGAGTTAAAAGGAATAAATTCCTAATCAAGCAGATGAAATCACATTTCATCACATTCCTTAGAATTAGGATTAAATCGTTTATCAGCCCTAATGACTTCCAGGTTTATATTGCCAGTTTCACCCAACCTCCTATGTGTACTAAGCAACTTTGTAAGAGGCTGTCATGAGATTCTTACTAGGTGATGTGACCATTTTTTCAGGAGACGGAGGAATGGGCCAGGCTCTGCACTCTGCAGGCCGCTCCTGGAACTGTGCTCAGGAGTGCTCCCTGGCAGTACTGAGGGACCACATGTAATACACAGAACTGAACCAGGTTCACAGACTGCCTTAGGCCTTGTACTACCTCTCTGGCCCATGCTATTAATTTTTTTTGTTTTGGATTTGGGGCCATGCCTGGCGATGCTCAGAATTACTCCTGGCTCTGTGCTCAGGAATTACTTACTCCAGGAGTGGGGTGCCAATGCCCCCTGCATTAGTGCTCTGACCCCCACAACATTAAACATAGATTAAAGCCATATAATGAAACAGTTTTCTTAAGTTTTTTTGTTTTGTTTTGGTTTTTTGGGTCACACCAGGGCAATGCACAGGGGTTACTCCTAGCCTTGCACTCAGGAATTACTTCTGGTGGTGCTCACGGGAAATGGGATGCTGGGAATCAAACCCGGGTCGACCACATGCAAGGCAAATGCCCTACCCACTGTACTATCACTCCAGTTCCATGACAGATTTCTAAGCCTTGTGGAAAACCCACACTCACAGGTAAAGATCATCATTTAAGTCATGAGTCAGAAAATGGAAAATAAAAATGATTACCACAATGAATGTCCACAGAGATGTTTTCAACTCCTCTCTTCACTGTTCTTGGTCGCCCCTGCTCCGTGGGTGTCGAGCCCCATTCATCAGAGCTTGCAACTGGCTGGTAATGCACCATAAGCTTAAATTATGAAAAAAAAAAATCAGAACAATAAAGACTTTCTACTTTAAAAGCTTCTCTACTTATTCCCTTGGAAGGTCAGAACATGCCTTTCAAAACAGTCAAATCTCAACTGGAGTTCTGATATGCATCTCCAAAACTTGAAACTGAAAACCCTGAAAATAGGGGTTTTTTTTTTTACACATTTTAAGTATGCTACAACTTAATTATACTAGATGAATTTAAGAATACAAGATCTTATTCTTTAAAAAAACATATTTATTGAGGTACTGGGATCTGCAATATTGTTATTCATACTTTTCATGTTTGTAACATTCCAAGACCACAGCAGAAAGCCCATTTCCCCCTACCCGGGTCCAAAGGAACCTCTCCATGCCACACCCAACACGCTGTAAACTCAGTTCCACAAACAAAATAGTCAAAAATCTTCGGTTCATTAGTTAGTCCCTTACTATGTTTCTTTTTTATCTCATATTTGGGATAGATCTCTCTTTTTCTTAATTGTGGAGGTAGTAACATCTACACACATAGGTGAACAGAGCTAAAGTCCTAGAATTCAGATAGTTGTATCAATAATTGATAAAGTAACTTTTTTTCAAAAACGATTTTAATAGAATATAAATTTAAAAAGTACATAAATAATTTTGTGCTAATATATTTTAAGAGTTACACGAAAGAGATAAATTCTACAAATAATAAAATTTAGTAAGAGAAAATAGAGTTAAGAAAAATTTAAGGGGAGCATCTGAGTGGGCCTATAGAAGCATGAAAGTCTGTTTCATCCGTTTCATCCTAAGAATGGGGATATTGGCTTTATGTTAGAAAATATTATAAGAGACACTGGTGAAGTATCTGTATTAGTAAGGGTCATAATAAAAAGCTTCCAAGATGAACTGGAGTGATAGTACGGTGGGCAGGGCGCTGGCCTTGCAATGGTGTAGGGAGGTTCACTCTCCAGCAACTCACAATTCCCCCCAGCCCCGATCAGGCCGTTTTAACTAGGAAATACAAAACCCTCTTTCAGCAACACCCTATACATGGAAGGGAAGTCACGTAATCTCAGTGACTTCTTCTCAGGGGCAATGTTTTCCCTAAGAAACTTTTGTCTTGGGGATATGGTACCGCCAACAGGTACCCACTTCCCAATACACATGTGAACCAACTCCAGTACCACCCTGTAAACTCTACTACTGGCCTTATTTCAGAGACCCATAAATAAATCTCGAAAGAAATCAAAAGCCAGAGACACAGCAATGAGTCCTGGAAGACACCACAAAGCCAGAGATCTCTTTGGACCCCATATCGAGCCAATTTCACCGGGGCACCCCAGATGGAGCAGGTACAGTCTCCCCCCAGTCTCCCCACCTACTCCAGATGGAATCACAGTGACCAAGAGCATCCACAAGCAACGGGGGTTCCGGGACTAAATCTCCATGACGCGTGGTTGCAGAGGTGCTCGGCTGTCCCTCCCAGGCTCCCGCCCGCTCATCTGACACACCCACAACGTGTCTCCAGGCACCATCTTAGCGTACCAACAGCCCTGGTCCAGAAACGCCCGACTGAATCTCATGATGCCCTACAGAAATGTATCTGGAACTCAGACACTTACAATGTAGGATTCCAGAAGCACGTGGCCACAGCACCCATCATATTCAAAATGAACAATGAACAATTAATGATCTAGCATCTGCCCCTGGCAGGCAGGCTTAAACAGTGGTCGGAAAATTCGAGTAAAACATAATGCTCAAAAGTAGAGAGAGAGTATTGGGGAAATTGTCTGCCATGGAGGCGGGGTGAGGACTGGGAGGGGGGTGGGAACACTGGTGGTGGAAAGTGTGCACTGGTGGAGGGATGGGTGTTCGATCACTGTACAGCAGAATCTCGAATATGAAAGCTTTATAACTGTATTTCACGGTGATTCAATTAAAAAAAAAAAGTAATGTGGAGTTCATACTAAATTCAGTCACCTTAATCGATGGCTGAATAAATAGCAGTACTCCTACATTTAAAAAAAAATTGTCTGTTTTTTGGGTGCTGAGATTAAACCCAAGGTCTCACACTACACAAAGCATGTACTCAATCACTGATCTGTAGCCCTATCTCACCTCTAAAAAAAATTTTTTTTATATTAGCTGGACAGGATATATAATAGTAGCGACTATTTGTTTTAAGTTTCACAACTATGAAGATAATATAAAAGATTTCCAAAGGTCATACTAAATACAATCATTCAGAAAAAGAAACCAACTGAGTTATCCTTAGTTAGGAAATCAACCTTTCCTCCCATATTAGACAAAGACTTTAGTGTGCCTTACCTTTGGATTGTGTAATATAATAATTTCCCTATTGGGAGATTCTATTTTCTTTTTCCATTCATCCAGAGTTACAGCAAGCATGTAAGTTTCCTTAAAAGAAAACACATTTCATTAGATTTCTCTACTACATTATTTAAAACAAATCTTATTCACAAGAAAAATGCCAGATAAAATATTACAATAAGAATTTTCACACTCCAAACAATATGGATGTTTCTCAAAAAAATAAATATTGAGCTCCCATTTGACACAGCATCCACTACTTCTGGGAATATACCTTTGAGGGCCCAAAAACATACAGCAAAAACACCATCTGCATTCCTATGTTCATTACAGTGCTACTCACCATAGCCAGAATCTGGAAACAACCTGCCTGAGTGCCCAAGAACAGACGAATGGATAAAGAAACCATGGCACATCTATACAATAGAGTACTATATAGCTGTCAGGAAAAATGAGGTCATGAAATTTGCCTATAAATGGGTAGACTTAGAGAATATCATGCTTCAAAGTAAATCAATGAAAAAAAATTAAAAATTTTTAAAAAAGATTATCATGCTGAATGAAATGAGTCAGAAGCAGAGGGACAGATATATAATGACTTTGTTCATTTGTGGTATGTAAATATAAATATATAGTAGAAGAATATATCTATGGCCAGGGAAAACAGGGGTTAGACCGGTCAACGGTTGGATCTAACCACAAGTCTATGTGGGGCTGAGGGAGATAAAAAGAGAAGAGACCAGTATAGCAATAACCACCGGGAATGATCATGCTGGACAAGAACCTAGTGTTGAAAGTAGGCAAAGGGATATGCTTGATAACCTTTCAGTATCAATATTGCAAAACGTAATGCCCACAAGGTGGGGGGGGAGAGGGAGGGAGGGGGAGAGAGAGAGAGAGAGAGAGAGAGAGAGAGAGAGAGAAGGAAGGAAAAAGCATCTACCATGAAGGCAGGCAGGGGGTGGGGGGGTAGGGGGTGATGGGAGGAAACCTTGGGAAACTCGTGCTGGGAAATGTACACTGGTGGAGGGATGGGTGTTGGAACACTGTGTGACTGAAATTCAATTATGAACAGCTTTGTAAGGGTCTATCTCACAGTGATTCAATTAAAAAGTTAAAAAATATGGGGCTATGGTGCCGCCAGCAGGTCAATCTGTACCTGTGAGGCAAGTGCATCAGCAGCCTGATGGCGCCTTCAGACTTCCAGATACCCCAAAATTGCTGCTGTGCCTGTGGCCAGACCCAAAAACTTGGGGCAAAGTTAACCAAGAAAGTAAACTGCCAGAAGTTAGGTATGTGGGAGACACACCCACAAACCACCTCTGGCTCAGCCATATAATCGGAGGCATGGCCTCTCTGGTATCTGATCGAACTGCTTAACGGCCTTGATCCCAGAGACTCAGAAACAAATCTCGGAACCCGGTGGCTTTTGGCAGAAATGCGTCTGGTCCCTGCAGTAGGTTACCAGCACCAGGCCACCCCAGGTGGGAATAGGTTTCATGCCTTGGCTTGTTCCCCCTGGTGGCTCAGTGGCCACCATTCTTCAAAGGCCATTGGACAGTCAGGTTTGGGTCCGCAGTGAGGAGACATGCAGGGACTCATGGGATGGGGGTGGAGCCAGCCTTTTCCTCCCCGTCCCAATGAGACCCCAAGTCGCCACCCACGAATGGCCTCTCTGGCTCCTGATCAAGCTGCTTAAGGGCCTTGATCCCAGAGACTCAGAAACAAATCTCAAAACCCAGCGGGTTTTGGTGGAAATACATCTAGACCCTGCAGTAGGTTACTGTCACCGGGCCACCCCAGGGGGGAAAGGGTGCTGTCCCTCCACCTGCTTCCCCTTGGTGGCTTGGTGGCCGCCATCCTCCAGAGGCTATTGGACAGTCAGGTTTGGGCCCGCAGTGACGAGATATGCAGGGCCTCACGGGAAGCCGGCCCTTTCCTCTCCATCCCAATGAGACCCCGAGTCGCCACCCATGAATGGTCTTTCTGGTTCCTGATCAAGCGGCTTAACGGCCATGATCCAAAACGGCCAGAGACTCAGGAACAAATCTCGGAACCCAGCAGGTTTTGGCAGAAATCCCCCAGATTTAAGTGTTAAAATTTCGGAATTTCAAAATCACGCAGCTACTACTGCAGCCATGTGATATCATATGCTATTCATAACCAGCAATAGAAAACAAATTGTCTACTGTTGCCTTTTTGGCAGATCCGAGTGTTGGGCTAAAATCCCAAATAATGGTGGGTCAGGTGTCAAAATACTGAATGTAATCCAAGTAGAGAGAGTAATGTGGAGGTCATCAGCCCCACAGGTAGGGGGAAGGTGTGGGGTGGGGATATACTGGGGGTTTTGGTGGTGGAAAATGGGCACTGGTGAAGGGACGGGTGTTTCTCTGTGTGACCAAGACTTAAACCCAAAAGCTTTGTAACTGCTCTCACAGTGATTCAATAAATAAAATTCTAAAACAAAAAAAAAGTTAAAAAATAAGAGATGAGAGAAAAAATTTTTCATACTCCAACTTATCAAATTTGATAATCCTTTTAAAATTAGAATAGATAATAGTATATGGCAAAGAAAGAATCTTTCCTACTCTTGTCATTGAAATTGAAGTAAATTTCTGTTCACATTTCATTCAATAATTATGAAACATATTTTCTATAAAATTAACAATAAGGCTGGAGCAATAGCACAGCAGGTAGGGCGTGTGCCTTGCATGCGGCTGACCAGGGTTTGATTCCCAGCATCCCATATGGTCCCCTAAGCACCACCAGGAGTAATTCCTGAGTGCATGAGCCAGGAGTAACCCTTGTGCATCTCCGGGTGTGAGCCAAAAAAGCAAAATAAAATAAAATTAAGATTATAGTTTTTGAGTTATCAAATTTATTTTAAATTTCTGTTAGAAGTATAAATAATTAGAGGAAAAGGGGAAAAAAAGTACTCCAAATATGCCCTCTAGAGATCATATTCATATTTTTCTGTTAATAATAATGTGCTCCAATTTTTTTAAAGAAGCAAAAATTAGATGCTTTTAGATTAGGAAAAATGAAAGGGGGCAAAAAGACCAAATCTGTGGTCATGGTTCGGGGGCCAGGGAGGTGGCACAGTGGTAAATCATAAGCCTTGCATATATACAGAAAACCTGGGCTCCATCCCCAGGAATAGAAAAAAATCAAATATATATCAACAATGCTGGGACTAGGGCTCAATTGGTACATCACAGCCCAGCATGCCTGAGGGAGCCCTGGGTGAATCCCCGGCACCACGTGTCCCTCACCACCACCATAGCACCACCACATGTGGCCACACAACAGTAACACAGAATATTAATAATGGTCATTTCAGAAAAACATTTTCATTTAAAGGTCTAATAGTTTCCATAGTACCGGCTGGAGCAGGATTCTCAGCCATCTGAGTTGCGGTTCAACTCACTGCGCAGGGATGCAATGCTGGCTTACCCAGGCCACCCTGGGTAAGCACACCTGGACAGGTGCCAGCTGCACCCAGAGATGCTCAGGAATCGAACCCAGGTCAGACACATGCCTCGCCTGGACTCTACCCACTGTACGATCTCCTGTAAAATCAGAACTTAATACTACTCTACCACAGAGCTGGAGAGATGACTGACTCTAAGAACTGGAGCACTGGTGTCACAGGTAAGAGGTTTCAGATTCTATCTCCAGCACTGTGAGTAGCCCCGGAGGCCACTGCACAGCAGTACACTGCAGGGTCCTAGTGCAAGAGCTGCACTGTCCACCAAGCACCATGGTGAGGGACCATCGGGGCCCGAGAACCACTAGAGAGGCCCCGAGCCAAAATACAAATTCTTTTTCCCTGGAACTTGCAAAAGAAATTATCTAAACCATGATGGAAAGAGACCCAAACTCTTCCTGGAAATCTCATACAGTTAATCACAAGGAAGAAAGCTATTAAATAAAGATAATTATAGAAAATGATGAGTTAAAAAAGTCAAAAAAATAAATAAAATAAAAATGAAAAGAGTCAAAAAGAATACCTCTAGTACTTGGCTGAAGCTCTCCGAGTAGGGGACATACTTATTATCCTTGTCTCCCTTGTAAAACCAGGTGCACCGTCTCACTTCCGATGCGAGCTCGTCCCAGTACACGGCATACCGCATCCTCTCCCCCAGATGGACGTCATACCTGCCCCCGTCAGTAGGGACGACTCTCCCATTGCAATCTTTTCCTATCAAGGATTGGAAAGGGGAAAAGAAACAGACGTATATTAAAGTAAGTTTACCAAAATACAATACTGAGTTAGACACTTATAGAGCCTTTTGAAACAAAGTTCTACTTGGTTAAACAGCAAACAAAATGGCACAATCTCTTTCTTGGGGGTCACCTGCATCTCAACTATGCACTTGGCCACCTGCATGTTTCACCTGCCTCTGGAAGCTCATGTGCGTGCTCGTTCTCCTCTCTCTCTCTCTCTCTCTCCCCTCTTCCCTTTCTTTCCTCTTTCTCCCTCCTCTCTCTCCCTCTCTCTGTCTCTTTCTATTTTCGAATTACTCCTGGAGGTGTTTGGGGGATAATATGGATGCCAGGGATCAAACCTGGGTTGGCCGTGTGCAAGGCAAAACACTCCATCTGCTATGCTACCGCTCTGGCCTTTTTTTTAAAAAAAAAATTTTTTTAAATGGAATTTAACTGATTATTTTTGCTTTACAAATTATCAAGACTATTATTTGTTTTAAAGGAACACGGGGAAAAAACCACACAGAAAACTTTCTGTTCTTGTGTCACTTAAAAGAAAATTATGTAAGGCCAGAGAGATAAAATCAACAGGCTGGAATGGAAGCTTTGCATGAGGCCCAGGTCAATTCCAAGGATCAGTATCGCATACTCCTCCCGACACTGCTGTGAACGACTCCCAAGAACTGCTGGTATGGCTCCCTCCCAAATTTACTCCTTTTGTTTTGGAGGAGTGGGTAGTTTGGATAATGATATACTGCTTGACCTAAAAAAAAAAAAAAGCCTAATTGCTGAAGAAACAGTTCAAAGAGCTGGAGTGCGTGATTTGCATACAGGAAAGACCTGGGTTCAGTCCCCTGTACTCCTGAGAATCTGGAGTGACCCCCAAGCACAGAACCAGGAGAAGCCCCTGAACACCACCACCTACAACCAAAAACAAAAAACAAAAACAAAACCCAAGTAGGAGAAAAAAAAATATATATATATACACATATATACAGTAGGGGCCAAGAGCACACTTTCCTTGTAGAATGCCAAGGTTTGGGTTTGATCCCCAGCACTGCAGGGTTCCCCTGGGCACCACCAGGTGTGGAAACTACTGGGTAAGAAAAAGGTAAAGATCTAAATTTAAAAAATTTTTGTGGGGGGGGGGGGCTGGAGCAACAGTGGGTAGGGTGTTTGCCTTGCACACAGCCAACCTGGGTTTGATTCCCAGCATCTCATATGGTCCCCGGAGCACTGCCTGGAGTGTAGAGCCAGGAGTAACCCATGAGCATCGCCGGGTGTGACCCAAAAAGCAAAAAAAAAAAAAAAAAAAAAAAATTTTGTAGGGTGGGGAGTTGGGCCGTAGGGAGTTCAGAGAACCATATGAAGTACTAGGGATCTAACCAGGGTCTGCCACATGCAAGGCAAGTACCTTGACCCCTTGCATTAACTCTCCAACCCAAATTTTGGAAAAAAAAGGGAGGACATTTGGACCACATTTCAGGGGCTTATTTATGGCTCTATGCTCAGCACTCCTGGTGGTGCTTGAGGGATCACATGCGGTGCTAGGGATCAAAATGGAATCAGCTGCATGCATAACAAGTGCCTAGACCCCTACACTATCTCTGTACCCTCCTCTTGCCCCCCCCCAAAAAAATTGTTTTCTGCTTCAGTTTGGCTTTGGGGCCATACCTGGCTGTATTCAGGGATCACTCCTGACAGAGTCCGGGAACCACGGGGGATTCCAGAGATCAAACCTGGTTTGGCCTCATGCAAGGTAAGAGCCCCTTCCCTCTGTACTATCTCTCCAACCCCTTTCCCAAATTTCACAGCATTTAAGAAAGACTTTCTGAAATTTCACTGAAAGAACGAAGAGTAAATTAATCACCATGATGATTACGGTACCGATAAAACAGTAACAGCCTTCCTCTTGCTTCAGAACAAAAGGTGGCACGTTACATTCCTTCCTTTCCACTATAAATACTGCTGACGCCTTATCAACAAAACCTGGATGCTTTCTAGAACACAGAATTTACTTACAACGGCACAGAAATGACAACAAGTAGATTCATGTTTTCAAAACACAAACCGAATTCTTGAATATCGTAAACTGGTGGGTAGTAAGGCAGATCCTTATACACGCGCGCACACACACACACACACGCTAACAGCACTACCGATTCACCATCAGCAACAACACAGTTTGCAACAACAACCGATTCACCATCAGCAGCAACACAGTTTAACGCAGAGCGGAGAGCAGCTGGGAGCTAGCTGCTGCCGCAGGCTGGGGTCGGAGCCTCACCGGAGCCATACGCCTCCTCCAGCTGCTGCGAATCCTCGGCGTTGAACGGGATCCACGTCTCCTTCGCATCCACGATCTTACAGTAGAACCAGTGAGGAGCGACCGGCTCGTACAGGCTGCCAGCATCCATGTCTAAGAGCTCAAAGGAACTGCATGAGTTGGGTGACGGCGACGGATCCGACTGGGGCAAAGGTTCCCGTTGGGGCTCCACTGATGACATGTCGCTCTGGAAGACACAAACACGCACGCACGCAGGCACGCACGCACGCACACACACGCACACGCACACACACACACAATCAGAAAACGACTTTCACTGTTAGGAACTGCAACTTCCGAGACGGACGCCCGAGACCTGTCAGAGAGGAGCGGGCAGGGCAGGCGCCGGGGCAGAAACCGTCCCCGTCGATGATCCGCCACCCAGAACACCGCCGAGTCCGACTCCGGCCAGCCCACCCGGCCACCCCCCCCCCACCCCCTGGCGCCCCTCACTCCCGGGGAGGCACCCAGGGGTGCTTGGGGGCGCCCCCGGCCCGGAGCCAGGCCCGCCGCGCGCACGCGCCGCCTCCGCGTCCGCGTCCCCGTCCGAGCCCGGCCCAGGCCGGCGGGGTCCCGGCCGAGCGCTCCGAGCGGGCGCCCCCCCACCCCCCCGCGGCCCGCGCCGACCCCCGCCGCCTCGCCCCGACTCACCCGCGCCCGCAGCCCGCCGGGCGGGGCTCCCGGCGGCGGCCCAGGGCGTGGGCGAGGACGCGGGGCCCGCGGCGCGCGGGGCGGCCCGAAGCCTCGCGAGAAGAGGCGCAGGTCGCGCGAGACGCGCGCCGGCGGGGACCGCGCGAGGCGTGGGCAGGTGGGGCGCGCGGGTGGGGGCGCGGCGCGAGCTGGGGGCTCGCCTGTCTGTGCTCCACCCTCACCCCTCGCGGCGCAGGCACTGACGGCCGCTTGCAGGCTGGAGGGCCAGGGGTCACGGGATGTCGCTCCGCGTTTTTTGGGTTTTTTTTGTTTTTTGTTTTTCGTTTTGTTTTTGCTTTTTGGGTCACACCCGGCGATGCACAGGGGTTATTCCTGGCTTATGCACTCAGGAATCACTCCTGGCGGTGCTCAGGGGACCACATGGGATGCTGGGAATCGAACCCGGGTTGGCCGTGTGCAAGGCAAACGCTCACCCCGCTGTGCTATCTCTCCAGCCCCTGTTTTTTTTTTGTTTTGTTTTGTTTTTGCTTTTTGGGTCACACCCGGCGATGCACAGGGGTTATTCCTGGCTTATGCACTCAGGAATCACTCCTGGCGGCGCTTGGGGGTCCATATGGGATGCTGGGAATCGAACCCGGGTTGACCGTGTGCAAGGCAAACGCCCTCCCCGCTGTGCTATCTCTCCAGCCCCAGTTTTTTGTTGTTGTTGTTGTTTTGTTTTTGCTTTTTGGGTCACACCCAGCGATGCTCAGGGGTTATTCCTGGCTTATGCACTCAGGAATCACTCCTGGCGGCGCTTGGGGGACCATATGGGATGCTGGGAATCGAACCCAGGTGGGCCGCGCAAGGCAAACGCCCTCCCCGCTGCGCTGTCGCTCTCCAGCCCCTCTCCGCGTTTTTTGTGTTCTGTTCTGTTTTGTTTTTCCACGTTTTGTTTTGAACCCAGTCAAGCACTCGATTCTGCAAAGCACCCGGTTCCCCCGAGTGGTGTCTCGCGTGCCGTGCTCGTGCTCGTCTAGCCCCGACCACCGCCCGCCCGTGTCCCCAGCTCCCCGCGCCTGCCGACTCCCGCCGCCCCTGCCACCTTTCAGAGTTTGGGGTTCGGGCCTTAGAGCTCAGTGTTGTGGGCCAGGGTCCAGCTGTCATTCCTAACACCGCCTGGGCACCCCCCCACAACACACACACCCCCTGTTTCTCCTGTCTCTCTCCTCTTCTCCCCACCCACAGTCACAATCACAACCATCCTGTTATTCAATAATTGCCTCGAGCAGGTCCCAGTAATGTCTCCTTCGTCCTAGCCCTGAGACTTTTTTTTTAAGTGCCACATTCGAGGCTCTTTCAGGGTTAGGAGAATGAGACCCTTCATTGTTGCTGGTATTTGGCATATTGGATACGCCACGGGGAGTTTGCCAGACTCTGCCGTGTGGGCAGGTTACATTCGGTAGCCTGCCAGTTTGTCCTCTTCTCCCCACCCCCAACCCTCCTTGATTCCTTTCCTTCTCCCCATACTCTGGGGCCAAGGGTGATCCAGACAGCCCCCTCCCCTGCACCCCCTCTAAACCACCATATTCCCTCATCCACTCACTCTCAATACCCACATGTAAGTGGTCCTCGTGTCGGTGGACCCCTTGAGCGGGTGGCTCACGTTACTCAGGAGAGAAGGACAGTCGTCTCCTCCCACGACGCCCCTGCCACCCGGGACCTGGGAAGAGTAGGACCGGGAAGGTCCCCAATAAGTCCACCCTCCCCCCCAGCCTCCAGCCCCCCAGCCCCGCCAGGTGGCCACCAGCCCACACCCGAAGTCTGCCCACTTGGTCTTGGGGCGTCGGAGTCAATCCCCACCGCCCAATTTCTCCAGGAGCCACGGACTCAGCTCGGCACGAGGATTTGCTCTTTGCAGGAAAGGAGAAGCCAGTCCCAGGCCGGACCCAGGGTTTTCAAAGAATTTCAGGAGTAGACAAGCAGTGAAGTGAAACATTTTTTTTTTTAATTTATTTATTGAATCACTGTGGGAAAGGTTACAAAGCTTTCAGGTTTATGTCTCAGTCATGCAAATATCAAACACATTTCCCTTTACCAATACTTATTTTTTACCATGAAGAACCCCAATAAAACCCCACCCCCCACCCCTCCCCGTCCCTGTGAGGCAGATGAATTCTAGTTAACACTCTATCTGCTTTGATTAGATTCATTGTTTCAATAAAAGATTCACCACTATTATTTAGAGTTTACCCCCCCCCCCCCAAATCAGACATGCTGAAAAAGCATTGTGAAGTGATTTGCTTTCTACAGCTGGGTTCAAGAATTAAATGTTGGTTTTGGATTTCTGCTATTTTACCTATTGACCCTGGAAGTATTTCTACTGAAAGTCAGATAGTTAAGAAATTGGTTTCTGTGTTCTGGAGTCGTGGCCGTGCTGGAGAGCCGCTCGCGGGGGGCAACCGGTGGCCTCGGTAGGGCGTGAAGGGCGGAGCGAAACGCCCCCCTTCCCATGAAGTTTTAGTCGCCCCCACACTCCCGGCTCATACCTGCTGTCCACAAGGCTCCCATGTGGCCGCCATCTTTCTTTCCAGAGAGGAGAGGGTGAATGGGGCAACACCCTTTCCCCTCCGGCAGACTTGATGGGCTGGATCAACGCATAGTCCGTTCACTTTTCTGCTCCAAGCTGCTGGGTTCTGCATTAAGTCCTTGTGCTTCTGGGGCCATGGCCGTGCTGGAGAGCCGCTCGCGGGGGGCGACTGCTGACCTCGGTAGGGCGTGAAGGACGGACCGGAACGCCCCCCGACCCATGAGGTTTTAGTCGCCCCCACTCCCCCGGCTCATACCTGCTATCCACAAGGCTCCCATGTGGCCGCCATCTTTCTTTCTAGAGAGGAGAAGGCGACTGGGGCAACACCCTTTCCCCTCCGGACAGACCTGATGGCCTGGATCAATGCATAGTCCGTTCACTTTTCTGCTCCAAGCTGCTGGGTTCTGCATTAAGTCCTTGTGCTTCTGGGGCCGTGGCTGTGCTGGGGAGCCGCTCGTGGGGGGCAACCGGTGACCTCGGTAGGGCGTGAAGGACAGACCGGAACGCCCCCCTTCCCATGAGGTTTTAGTCGCCCCCACACCCCCGGCTCATACCTGCTGTCCATAAGGTTCCCATGTGGCCGCCATCTTTCTTTCCAGAAGGAGGAGGGCGGAAGGGAGCAACACCCTTTCCCCTCTGGGCAGAAATGATTGCCTGGATTAACGCATAGTCCTTGAAGTGAAACATTTTTTATCTGGAGGATTTTTGAAGGGAAGGAGGGAGAGAAAAGTGGGAGAGTGGAGAGTAAGAGAGACAGAGTAACCTGCTGGAGAGAGAATGTCAGGAAGCTTCTCCAAGGGTGGAGAGCGAGCCTTGAATGGGCTCTTGGGCTGGCTGGCATTTTATAGGCTCTTCTGGGGTCTTCTTGATCCGGAATGTTCTGGAGTCTTCTCTGGGCTGAATCGCAGAAGTTAATCAGATTAAAGGAGAGGTCCGAGGATTTTCGAGAGGAACTTCATCAGGAGGGGTCCAGTCTCCCCAGGGTCTGCTGATGGTCTTTGTTTTCTATATCCACAAGGAAGATCAATCTTAAAGATTTCCTTCCCAGTAGCTTTGTTGACCTAAGTTTCATTGCCAAGGGCCTTTCCCTGTCTCCCTGCCTGCATCAATACCACCCTGTGTTTATCCTTCTTCTGGCTACTTCACTTATATATCTTCCAGTTCCATCTGTTTTTTTTTAAAGCTTCTTCAGAAACCAAAATAAAGGAAACAAAAGGAACTTTCACATTGTCTTACGTTTTTGGCCTGGAGAGATAGCACAGCGGGTAGGGTGTTTGCCTTGCATGCAGTCGACCCGGGTTCGATTCCCAGCATCCCATATGGTCCCCTGAGCACCGCCAGGAGTAACTCCTGAGTGCAGAGCCAGGAGTAACCCCTGTTCATCGCCAGGTGTGACCCAAAAAGCAAAAATAAATAAATAAATAAATAAATAAAAAACACATTATCTTACATTTTTATTCTTTGTCAAATTTACAACTCCTGAAAAGTTTCTGTTCTTCATAGAGAAACTTGTTCTTCATCTAGAAACCAGGACTGTCCCATTCTCTAGGACCCTATCGGATAATTTACTAATTGGACTATTAATAGTAGCTAACATTTACTGAGCTCGTTGTGGTAGAGTTGTAAAACCTGGCCACTATAGTTCCTTCTATTTGCAGAGATAAAATGACTCACCCAAAGTCATGCTACCACCACGTGAGGAAGTCTTAAATTATGGTCTGACTTGATGCCTACAATTGAGCATCTGAGTCAGTTAAGCCACTGATCTGAGCTTGAACCCAGGTACTCTCTACAAATGCCTGAGTGAGGCCCTGTGGGCATGCCAGGTGCTGGGAGTCCCCATAAACCCAGTACTGGGAGAGGGGGAGTCATGTATCAGAGTGACCTCTGGCCCCTAGCTCTCGTGTAGGTTATATCAGCCACTCAAAACGGAGAATTTTAAATAGTAATTCATTTCCAGATGACAC